GAGTGTCGTTTGTCGAATTTTATTTTGTGACGTAAATCAAGTTTTTCTCAAATATCTAGAGTTTTCTATTTTATTCGTAACCCAATGAGATGCTTAAAAGAAGAAATAAATTTTCACCTCTTTTCTTGTCTTTATGAATCATTTTGTACAAAAATCCGCAGTCTAGTTAGCATTTTTGTTGGGGATAATGTGAGTTTTCTTTGTGACAACGAAGTAAAAAAGAAATGTTTTCATTGGTACGTTAATGTTAATTTTTTTCGTAATAATTCCTTCATCTCAAAAGCGAACTAATAAATTCTTTATTATACGAACCGCCGACTCTGAATATTATCGATTTCGAAACAGAAAACTTTGACAGAATTTTGATTATGATGTCAGTAATAATGTTTTCATACTAATTAATACTTGCTTCACGATTTCGAAGTACATACAATAAATTGACCATCGTTTCGTGTTTCGTTTTGTGTTTAGACACTGGTAAACTGTTCATGGCTCCATTGAAGATCAACAGAAGGATCGTAACTAGGGAACATATGCTTTATAAATCAACAATAATTTCGATAAGAAGATCGAATGCAGAAGTATTGCTTAGAAACCGTGGGACCAAGTTCGTCGCGAATTGAATGTAAACAGCAGTAATGAAACATAATACGAAAATATAAAAATCATAAATAAATCAATTGAAGACACAATGACTCATACCAGCAAAAAAACGTGAGTACAGAATCATGACAATTAACTTAAAAATGTCAGCTCTAATAATAAATTTTTATTATACAAATAATTAAACCCTCCGTAGGCAATGTGGGTTCACTGAAAACCCAAGTTAATTCCCCCATTTCCCGGTCATTCCTCCGAATTTTTATTTTTATTGAGAAAAGTTTAATCATTTGACGTGATTGTATAATATATAGTAGAAACTTTGATAAATATCCCAGGATTTCTTCAGACCTCTTGAAAGCCATTAAAACGATAAAAAAAAATCAGTTTTGGAGCACAAACAACTCAGTTTGCCTACGGTGCGTGAAAAACTATATTTGCCTATGGAGGGTTAACAATTAGTAACAATAAATAATAATAAATAATAATAAATAATAATAAATAATAATTTACATTCGATATAAACCCAAAGACTGATACGTTTTATGTAATGAAATAGAAAAAGAACATTCTGACCATGTATATTCTAATTATTAAGCAGCGCAGGTGTGTCCCTTAATGACCGTTGTTTTCATTTCACGAAAGCGTGCCCGCTTCGTTTTGCATTTCACCGTCTGGAAACGCGTCACGAGGATAGAACCGCGTAAACACGGCGAAAAGAAGAAAAAAAAATGGACGGTCCAGTGACGAACAGCACGGGTTTCGGTGTCCCATTGGAAGGCGAGAGTCTGAAGCACTTTCCACGGACGGTCACCATCGTCGCGGCTGCATGCGCGGTCGTTTTCAGCGTCGTTGGAGTCGCGGGTAAAATTCAAGTTTAATTTATACACGTTAACTGTATTTATGTACAGTCGGTGTCAAAAGTACACCCTTTAAAACGGAACAACTTTTTTAAAATTGGTCCAAATGACTTGAGTTCTTTTGTGAAGTTAAAGATATTAGTTTACTAAACGATGTGTAAACAAAAATTGAAAAAGTTGCAATTTGTTGGAATCGCGAAGAAAATAGTAAAGGTCGTTTTTTACAACTTTTTAATCTGAGACTATAATGAAAATTTAATAAATACGTATCGAAGATTTATGTTAGTTATATACATGTTGAAAATTTCATAAAAATCGGTTAACATTGCTACGAGATACAAACGATTAAAGATGTTGAAAATCGCAGTTTTTTGCTGCTTTTGACCCATAACTGTAGTATATCTAAAGATTCTTACATCTTTCGATGCCTGATACTCTTTTCTGTATTAACAGATTTCAATGAAAGTTTCAGTATGTGTGTAACTAACATAAATCTTCGATACGTATTTATTAAATTTTCATTATAACCTCAGATTAAAAAGTTGTAAAAAACGACCATTACTATTTTCTTCGCGATTCCAACCAATTGCAACTTTCAATTTTTTTTTACACATCATTTAGTAAACTAATGTCTCTAACTTCACAAAAGAACTCAAGTCATTTGGACCAATTTTAAAAAAGTTGTTCCGTTTTAAAGGGTGTACGAATGCTTTTGATACCGACTGTATACCTACCACAGTCACTTCGTTTATACCACTAACACCAAATAAATAGAAATTGCGAGATAATTAGATCGAAGGAAATTCTATTCGGTGTAATATTAAAAGGAATAACTGTTAAAAGTAGACTTCTTGTTAACCAAATGTTATAAATATAATGCATTAGTGCTAGTGTATTTTATAAAGATTCAGCTGTATATCAAGAAGTCACATTAAGCAAGATTCAGTCTATCGAAGGAATTAGGGTTCATGATAGTTAAAACCTTAATTAAACATTTAAATTCTACGGTGATGTTAAGTTCTTGTTGACCCACGGTGTATTCTCTCTCGAGTTACGGCTATTAACGCCCCTAATTTATGCGAGAGGGTGTCAAGAATTGGGATTATTAATGTCTTCTTTTTTAATTATCCACTTAGGTGCGTTTCCTCTATAGACCAAACACGAAACTGACTACTTAGTTAATTAATTTTAATTATTTTCGTCTGACATAAATGACAGATAGCAATAACTTCATAAAACAAATTATCCCATCAAATTTATTAATACGAATTTCTTCGATATTAATTACAGGTAACCTCCGTACAAAACGGTGGTCAACTTCCTAAAAATTACTAGCTACGTATACTATGGAAATTCATGTTATACGAAACTAAAAAGTAGTGTATACGTACATATATACCTACGTAAAAAACAAAGTTACATTCCAAAAAATAACAAAACTGCACTATTTTAAGCAATTCTCTAATCATGTCAAGTGAAACCGTGTTGTAGAAATGTTGTGTTGTTCGGAGGATTCCCTGAGTCTCCAACCATATTATGAATGCCGTGTTATACGAAGTTTGTCTGCATTAACACGTTCGCTGCCAGTAGAAAATCGTAAAAAAACGTATCATATATCACCGATTTGTATTCTGATCCACAAAAACACACACACACGCTGTCTTCGTGTTCAAATGAGTTATTAAATTTGGATTACTTTAACCCCCGACTACTAATCTAGGGTTAAATACTACTACACTACCCTGTGACTTATGCTATTACGAATCATTCGTAAAAATTACAACTAAACAAAAGTACGTAATATTTTCGTAAAATATTATTTTCATTGAGATAAAAACCCACGTTACAAGTATTTGTAATAGCTGGATTTAAAAATAATGAAAAATTAAGACAGCAATTATTCATTCTGATTTCTAAGAATCGCGAATTCGAAGTAGTAATTTTTACGATAGTTTAGTACTCTAGGGTTAATTATATTCAACGTTCAACTTTGATGTCGTCGATACGGCAGAATCACCCGACGATACACTGTTGACGGCTGACAGCGAACGTATTAAAAAACGACAGAATAAATGAGACTAAAGTGTATAATTAATAATGTCATTAATATATATATATATATATTTTTTTAACAAATTACAGGTAATCTAGTGACAGTAGTAGCGCTGTTAAAGTACACAAGACTGAGGCGACACGCCACCACCGCTTTCGTGATAAGCCTTAGCATATCAGATCTGATATTTTCCGCGGTGAATTTGCCCTTAACCGCGAGCAGATATTTAAACGAGGCGTGGGTGCTCGGCGAGACACTGTGCAAAATATTCCCGTTGTTCTTTTACGGGAACGTGGCAGTATCTTTGCTCAGTATGGTGGCAATTACGATCAATCGGTATGTAACAACAAAAGCGTATGGAGGTACGCTTATGTAAAACTTCATGTCTTTTGATATCTTACGATTTCACGGTTGCAACGTCGAATAATCGCGAAATTGTGGCGATTTGTTCGATTCATTCGGACAAGTTCAATGGAAAACCGATACCCCTATAGAGGGTGTTCGAGGTAATCTGTACTATCGTTTTTTTTGTAAACGGTGAACATTAGAAAAAAACCGAAGAAGAAGAAGTTGTAGTATATTTTACTAGTAATATGATAGCGTATTTAAAGTTTTTGTATTTTTAATATTTTTCTAGAAACAAAGGTGACCTTAATTTTTTTAAATGGAATGCTACATATTTTTTTACATCATATGAAAGCGGAAATTAAGACGAGTTCAACCATGTAGTATACTATGGTCTTCAAGGTCATACAAGGGCAGAAATAAATTCTCAAAAATGCATTCTTGCTAATGGAAGCCACATTGAACACGAGATGTAGTCTTATTACTACAACATACTAGTAAATACAATATTACGAAATGTTAAATTTCTTTCCTTTATTTCTGCCCTTGTATGACCCTGAAGACCATAGTATACTACATGGTTGAACTCGTTTTAATTTCCGCTTTCATATGATGTAAAAAAATATGTAGCATTCCATGTAAAAAAATTAGAGTCACCTTTGTTTCTAGAAAAATATTACAAATACAAAAACTTCAGATACGCTATCATATTACTAGTAAAATATACTACAACTTCCTCCTCTTCGGTTTTTTTCTAATGTTTACCGTTTACGAAAAAAACGATGGTATAAATTATCGCGAACACCCTGTATATGCGTGTTCTGATTGATCCAATTTATATTCACCACACGTGCTATTGTTTGTTATTCCATTTACTTTTAAATATGCTGACCAAATGCATGATCGATTACGCGAACTCAGCATTCTTCTTCGGAACTTAATCAGTTTGCTACTCATCCCGATATTATCAAACGTATACCTGATAGATAAAGCGCAGTAACCGGGTGCAGCTGATGATACGTGAAGACTATAATCGATAGTTAAGTTCACATTGACGATCAGTGACAGCGATAAAGTGTAACAGGAAGTCTCTGAATTTCTTACGGAAGCTCATGAATCTTTAACAAACAAAATGAAATATTCGAATTTAGATAATTCTAACGAATAATCTATATTGTTTCAATACAGTTTAATATAGTCTCTAGTACATATTTTAGAAAATAGTCAGATATACTGGCCAACAAAATTGTCAATTTTATGCATTGAATCACATTTCCCTCCCAAATGATAATTTACAAATAATATGTCTTAATATCAGGCCAGTTCATAACCGATTGTTTAAAGAAAAACATCTAATTTATTTATAACTACTGAATAACTTTACTCGTCAATGGTAATTATTTAAGAATCAAACATTGGCTTGGGGTGAAAAAAGTGAGGTAGGCGAAGGACCTCCCACCATTTAGTTTTGGGAGTTACTGAAATTTATGCCAAATTAACATTCGGTTTAACATTTTTCTCAGTACTTGAAATTTTACCAAGAGCTAGTAGGCTTTTCTTCCACTAGGGAAAAAAATGATGTAGGAGAAAGGTATCCTACCACTTGATAAATTTATTTCAAGTACTGAAATAAATGTTAAAATGCATGTTAATTTGGCATAAATTTCAAATCCCTACGCCACTTTTTCCCCTAACGGAAGCAGAGTTCGCTCGTAAGGGCACACTGACGTGAAAATGCGGCTTCCGCTAGGGGAAAAAGTGGCATAAGAGAAAGGCCTCCTACCACTTGGTAAATTAATTTCAAGTACGGAAATAAATGTTAAATTGAATGTTAATTTCACATAAATTTCAATAATTCCCGAGATCAAGTGAAAGAAGGCCCTTCTCCTACAGCGCTATTTCCCCTAGCGGAAACAGAGTTTGCTCGTAAGGGCACACTGTCGTGCAAATTCGGCTTCCGCTAGGGGAAAAAGTGGCATAAGAGAAAGGCCCCCTACCACTTGGTAAATTAATTTCAAGTACGGAAATAAGTGTTAAATTGAATGTTAAATTTCAATAATTCCCGAGACCAAGTGATAGAAGGCCCTTCTCCTACAGTGCTATTTCCCCTAGCGGAAGCCGAGTTTGCTCGCGAGGGTACCAGAGTTACATATTACTCCCCCCAAATATGAAGACTTGTGAACTGACCAGAATGCATTTATTGACCTACATTAAATAACTCTGTTGTTACATTTTAGATACATATTGATCTCAAGATCGGATATATACGCGCAACTCTACACTACCCAGCGAATAATCCTAATGTTGATCATCATCTGGACCCTAAGCTTCTCCTTACTGTTACCGCCGTTGCTCGGTTTTTGGGGAACTTTAGGCCTAGAACCGACCACCTTCTCGTGCACGATCCTGAAGAAGCACGGTTCCAGCCCGAAGAAATTCCTTTTCGTTCTAGGATTCATCGTGCCCTGCGTAGTGATAAGCGTCTCCTACCTGTGCATTTACTGGCGCGTGAGGAAAAGCAGAAAGAATCTCGAAGCTCACGCGGGTGTTTCACGTCGAAAAGCAGGCGGTTTCCAACGTAGAGAGGACTCACGAGTCACCAGAATGATGTTAACCATATTCCTTTGTTTCCTCCTGTGTTTCATGCCGTTGATGTTGGTGAACGTGACCGACGACAAGATCAAAATCCCGATAGCGCACGTGATCGCCTCGATATTGGCATGGGCGTCCTCTGTGATCAATCCGTTTATTTATGCGGGCACGAATAAACTCTATAGAGAAGCGTACAAGCAGATTTTGTGCCCAGTTTCCAGCAAAACACCGACCACCGGTCCGAAACCGACGAATTCCCACTCGAGTAAAGTCTCGTCACCACAGGCGACATGAAATCGATGGATCGTGTAGAACGAGTATGTACGTGAATGTTTTGGATGTGTGGAATTTATGGGAAATATGAATCCAGAGATATTTAGTGAATAACGTTTAACACATTCGCTGCAAGAACTTTGTAAAGCAATCCGCGAGATCCGTGTGTCACAGCGCTCGATTTTTGCAGATTTTTGTATTTACCTGCGCCATCTACCGGAGACTATGTCAACCACTGTCAACGAATTAGATACACAGATTGATCAGATTTGGTTTTCCAAGCGACTTCGTAATGGAAAAAACAGGATGCATAATACGTTTTATTATTCCTGTACAGATAGGATGAATACATTTACAGGTGAAAATTCCTATTGGTGGTATGTGGTGCAACATATACGTATTTTTCTAGTAATGATAGGTATAAAATAGGTAGTAAATGTTTACGGAAATTCATAGTTGTAGATTGTAGACGGTAATTTATAAAGATGAAAGTTAGACAAATATTTATTTCTGATACTAAGGGTTTTATTGTATTAATAATGATATTTAAGTATGATTAAAATTTATTCAAGTTTATAGTTTACTAGATTTTGAAGTTTAAGAAGTGCTGATTCGTTATGAGCAGCGTTTAAGGTAGAATTTCTTTTAATATTAGGTATTAATATTGAATTTGTAATTATTGCGTAAGAAATTGTACTTCATTGGGCATTTGTTGGCATGGTTTACAAACGTACATATTCTCAAATTAGCAAATTCGAGTTGGAACAATAATATTCAACTGGATTACAGAGATTGTAAATTAATTCGGAATATACTTTCGTGGCAAGAGTATCTAAACGATCGTCGAATGTAATTAAAGTATTACAGTGGAAAATTGATTGTAATAGTGAATTATTATATCTTCCTTCTGTTGCGAATAAGTACGAAATTTAATCGATGAATTTACACCACATAAAGGACGCAATTTGACAGGTACAACCGGTACAACTAACGTGAATACTTTTATACAAAGTACATTAGGAAAAACTTGAGAATTCTTTCATTAAATACAATAAGCAAGCCAGGAATAGTTTTTAGATTTGTTTGTAAAATTTTAAAAAGGTAATTCATTTATCAAAAGTAAATATGATAATGTTAAATGTACAGATTTGTAAATAATGCAAAGGTAAAGTTGAACAATGTAATGAAAAATTTTAATTAAACATCGAAGATGATTTTAAACTTCTCATATTGAATTTATTCTAATTTCTATTTAATTACGATATTGTATTCATTTTTCACGTGCTTGTATCCCGTTTGTGGGTTACAATATAAAATTAATCAAGTTAAAATTCATAATTCTGTTCTTACCAAAATTACAATTTCAAGAATAAATTAATAATAGAAGAATTTACTGAGCAAAATAATATGAAAAACAAAGAAAAATAAAGTCTGGTACCCTGGGTTAAATGGAGGAAGAAAGGTGACGGCTCGCGAACTCGTATCCATCCCCTACTGCTTTGGAACATAGTGGGCTGGTCCCGTATGTATCAGACCCGAACCAAGGGTAAACGCCAGTATGGTAGTGCAGGAGAGCCTATGATAGGCTTCCTAACTGGTACGGGGCAGATATCCACCCCACCCCCTACCTAAGCACGCACGAATCTTTCTCCAAATCTTATTTCCCAGGCAAAGGCTAAACACGTCCGATATCTGGCTTCTCAATAGAAACCAGAGGGATAGGCAAACAGTCTTAGTATACGGACCCACTGCCCGTACCCTAAGTCTGTGTCGAGAATCAACGAACAAAATAAATTAATAACAGCTGGGTATGCACAATGGATGGTTACAATTTAAGTCTATTAATCGATAGACTAAAATTAATAATAATAATTATCATTACGATGTGATGAATATCTAATGATGATTTGGATGTAGACTTTTGGTGTGGAACATTGTAATTTTCCAACACTTCGGTCAAGACACATATGTAAATGTATTTCACAATTTCAACCATGAAGGGTATGCGGTTGTTTCCATAAGTGACTTTGAAATAAAAATAACTTTGAATATTTCGTAAAGATACGAGGATTAGTAAGACTTTGAAATTTGGAATAACATTGAAATTGATAACAGCTGGAATATTTCAAGTAACTGTAGAGGTAAATAGAATATCAACCTAAACTTGTTTGCAACGGTTGACACTGTATCCCTTCATATGCACCCCGTTTAGTTTACTTTGGACAACTCTTACAGCGTTATGCTGGCAGCTTTCGTCTTGACCAAGTATTTGATTTAAAGCTTAAAGAACGTAGATTAATCCCTGTATATTGATAATGACAATAAAGGACCAGAACACTGTTAACATTGCATTTAATCGCGGAATACCACTATTTTTTTGACCGGTGACGCCACCCGTGGCAAGTCGCTCAAACTGTTAGCCAAATCATAGCGACAGGAGTGTGAAAAAAAAAAAAATGAAATCTAACGATGTTCATTTTGAACTCCTAATTACTGTGATTGTAACGAATTCCCGTGCGTGAGCACTCTCATTTCCTCTCTGGTGGCGTCATCCGCGACAAAACGTTCAAACTGGTAGACGATCATCGTTTTGACACAGGTGGCACCACTGGTTCTGTACCTCATTTCTATCACAATTGGATGTTTTATTAATTATAGATGGTACCACAAGTTTTGTACCTCTTTTCTACCTGTTTCTACCACTATCACAATTGGATGTTCGTACTAACCAATATTAACTATAGATAGCGAAAATATCAAAACTATATTATTGAATACAACGAAACAAATGTGAAATTGTTTATCTTTAATATGTCATATTTTACTTACGTGTAATTGTTATAAAATTGCATAACCGAACGCTTTCGAAGATGTCTCATATAATAGTATTGCGAAGCTACAAGCCGGGCGATGAAATCAATTGCAAGGAATTAATAAAAACCGGCGTGCTGTCATCGTTAAATTCAACATTTTTTGGAATAACTTTTAAGGAATTAACTTTTCAAATGATGATTTTGTTTGCTGCTATTATGTTCATCTTCTTTGGATTACCTCTCACCGTTTGCCTTTTAGTTGTTCCTCTTGTTATTTTCTTTGTATATATTGGAACTTACATAGGTTTCACTACGAAAGCTATGGAAGTCAATGAAGAAGTTTCTAATATACCAAGGTAAAGACTCATTACACTCATGTATTTTTTACCTGCTATAAGAAGATTGTAAACTTCATATTTGTTTTAAGAAACTACAGATAAATTGATTCATGATAATTCTCATTATAAATACTTCAAACAGGATTTATATGTCCAATGCCTTTTCCTGTTTTTGGGTGGCTGAAGCATTTGAGCCTTATCTAATGACTGAAAGTCCAAAGAGTATACAATATACCATTATGACAGAACAACAATTCCGTGACTCAAACATAGATATTTCATCTCAAGTTAAAAGGATTGTGGGTACAATTGCCCTCTGTAAAAGTCACAGATTAGACAAAGGTGCATGGATTAAAAGATTACATGTGCATGAACAATATAGAAGGAAAGGAATAGCTTCATGCCTTCTTAATATTGCTGTATTATTTGCAATAGAACAAGGATATAGTTGTGCTAATACTGTTGCATCAGAATACACAGAAGGTGGAAGAGAATTATGTCTTAAAAAAGGTTTCGAATTACAACAAATGTATCACAAACCTATCCTAGGTTCGTTTATAACAATATTGATGTATGAATTAACATATCAAATTAAGCCAGGTGAAGATGTCTATGTGCCTCCAATTTATAACAAAGCAATGCTTAATAAGTAAGCATTAAATTTGATACTTCGCTGAATACTCTATGAAAGTTTGTATGATATTAATAAGCCTGACTATATGTATATTTTCCAAGAAGGAATCTCTGAGAGTTATATTTATATCTAGTTATTATGTAGGATTATTTATATTTTATAATGTTACTTAAATAATGAAAGTATTGTTGTGGTTATAAAAATTTATTTTGTAATACACTAGTTAAGAGAATATTTTATATGACCTTACTGTATATGTACAGTATTTATATGAATGATTGAAAAGAATATATTTTTCTCATTTTTTCATATGTTCCCAATATATTTGAACTTCTTTATTTTCCCAATGTTTTTCTGTTATCTTTGATAAATAGCTGTAATAAAAAATGTTTACTTTATGTATATATATGTTAGTATTGTAACAGAAACTACGTTTTCTATTTGCTATAGCTTCTCTGTTTATTTTAATACTTTGCTATTTTTTCTATAATTGGTGTTATTCTATGGGTGGGCAGATTTATAAGCAACAACTGTTATTTAATTTCTGGTAACTCACCAGCTTGATATTGAATTGCAGTGCAATAAGGAACTCTATGGGTTTATGTATCACAAAAATGTGCAGATAATGAGCAATCCTATGTCAGATTAGAGACTTTAAAAATCTCTGATATCTGGAACTATTGACAATATAAGAAGATAATATTCACTGTTTGATTAGATTTTATGAAAGAATATAATTATATTATGGATGGGCCTAAATTAATAATATTGAAAGATTCAATAACTCATTCTACTTAGTACCTACTATATCCACTACTACACAAGTCAATAGTAATAATTGAAATTATATGCAATTTATGAAATACTGTTATTCAGTTTCAATTCATCATGCATTCATTTGTATAAAAATAAGGCAAACTTCTTTGAATTTTACTCCTGAAGATACCCTTCTATATGCATAATTAACAAAACATCAGAAACACATTTAACTTCATTTTCAGACCACAATGTAGAATCCTATTGATGTATTAACGAAATAAGATGTGTTAAAAAATATTAGTATTATACTTACTTATCGCGAATGTCTTTTAATAAACTTTGTTCTTTTTCTGTAATGCCATTTCTCAGAACATCAAGATTCATTTTCAGTTGCTTCAGATTTTGACTTCCAACAAGATATGTGGATATGTCTTCCCATTGTAGGGAATACCACATTGCTAATTTAGCGAGTTCTACATCATGATCCTATAAATGTAACATATAATCAATCTAAGATAGAATATATTCATATAATATGTTAACATTTTTTGTGTAATAAGGATTTTTTAAATTGTCTTATATTGCTTATATTAATTTCAGCATATTTAGTCTACCTTACAACATTTCCCTGCATCTGCACATATTTTCTTTGTTTGTTCTGAGCTGGGGTGCCAAGCAGGGGGGCCATTATTAGTTAAAAGTCCCATACAGGGTGATGCAGCATTGATTATACCAATATTTTTTGACTGTAAAATATTACAAATCACAAAACAATAACATATATTAATTTTTCAAACGAAATAAACAATTTTGTGTACCAATAATTTGCATCGAAAAATTAATGAAATGTTAATAGAAATTGTACCTTGAAGAATGGAATATATTCGAGTAGCGTATCGTCTATTAACGTAAATCTCGCGTAGCTTAAAATACAAGATATAGGAATATTACTTTGTTCGATACATTCTTTTAAAATGGACACCGGATATCCGGTAATACCAATGTACTTGGCTTTGCCTTCTGCAACCTTAGCCGACAGTTCCGGTAGAGTTTGTGTAATTATTATATCTAAACTTGGAGCGAATTCAATATCATGAATCTGCAATCATACAAAGAAAAATTACTAAAATATTAAATACAAAAAAAGCAGATAACTTAACTTACTTGTATAACATCGACATAATCCAAACCCAAAAGCTCCAAACTCCTCTTGAAACTTCGTCTAGTTTTCTCTTTGGAAAAGTCAAACATGTTTTCGTAATCTAATTCATAGCGTCCGATTTTGGTTGCAATGTAATATGCTTTGCGTGGAATGCCTTTCAAGGCCTATAGACGGATGAAAGTATTTGCAATTATTAAGCAGAATATTAGACAACGAACGAAAATAAAATAGCACGCTGTTGACTATTATTGTGCGAGGCAAAAATCATCAATTACTTTTCCAATTAGAGTCTCAGAACGACCTTGGCCGTACCATGGGGCGGTATCAATGTAATTAATACCCTGTTTTATTCCTTGACGTATCACCTCAATAGCTTCCTCTTCATCATATGTACTGTCGACGAATCCGAATAACAATCATTTAATTACAATAATTAAAAAATTTGAAGAAAAGAACGTTTGCTCAAAAAACTATAAATTTAATTACGCTCTGAAGCCCTATTAATTAATACAGCCGGACCCCCGTATTCGCAGGGGATTGGGTTCAAGGTCTTTCGCGGATACCGAAATTTACGGATAGTAGCTAAACCTACTATTACATACATATGAATATTGACGTGTAAATTCGGTTTCTGCAGGGAAAAAGTTATTTTGGAACAATGGTAAATTTATTAATAAATCTATATAATCAAATGAATTTTATTGTTTTTTCTATAGAATTCGCTTTTTCCTTGTAAGCGTTCACATGCTTTAGATTCCTATGATAATATTTTATTTTATTTTTATGCAGACTTATTAGAGACAGATTACATACTTAAATGCAATTTTTTCGGATCACGGTCAACCGCGGGTAAGTGAAACCGCGGATACAGGGGTCCTACTGTATTGCATATAATAGAAGGCAGAAGGCATACAATTTTAGATTTGTATTTTCTGATTGTATTATCATGCGTACAAAGTTTTGTGACAAAGAGACCGATATTGTTTCCGTCGTATTATTGAAGTTGGCTCATGATTTGTGCGACTATTTCATTTTTTTGTACATGTATTAAAATGATTTTTCGTTACTAACCCATAATGGCAACCAAACGGTCCACAACCGAGGGAGAGTTTACTGACTAATAATCCAGTATTACCAAGAGGCCTGTACTCCATGGCTTTTACAGCCTCCAAATCATGAAAACCTTCGACATATGTGGGTGGCAACATTTCTCTGTATATTTCAGAAAAATTAATCGAGATAGCAGATTCTGCTAAGACATATTATCTCGAATCGTCAGTATCGTATAAACTAATTCAACCACGTTAATAATATTACAAAATAATTCAGTTAAAATTAATAATTAATCTATATTAATAATTTGTATTAAAAAGTAATAAGCAATTTAAGAAGAATAATCTACTTTAGTAATTTTGTATATATTCGAAAATGACACTGAAAAAGTGAAATATGATGTTATTTTAGTCAAGAAACCGGTTGAACGTGTGTATCACTTACAAATGTATGCAAGAAGAAAGTTTTTTTTGCAAATTCAACTTCTACAAAAGATCTACATTTTTTATGTTTAATTACTTGGTCAGTATGTATCCACAAGGAATAAATTTTTACATAAATTTTTGCGATTGGAAATATTTTTCTATTTCTGCATCTTGAGTTTTGATTTCATCATTTTTTATCCATCTTTCGAAGAAAAACAGCAAATCCAATATTCTATTAAATTTATACGGGTTCGTGAAAATATAAAAATTCATTCCGTGAATGATTTCTGTAAATATTATATTAAATTTAGAATACGGATATAAAAATGATGTTTATACATGCAGCGTAAATAATTATATTCATCTCGTATTTTTAGCTTTCAAGGACCACAGCCGCTTAAGTAAGTTAGAGAACGTGTTGTGGCAGATACAAACTGGAAGTTATTGACATTGACATGTCAAGATAAGATTATCTCAGTTCTGAGATACCATAAATACTTTTTAGTTGATAATAAACTACACGGTGACGATCATATATTATCAAGTAGTAAACCAAGATAATTACTCACATATAATTGTATCTCTCTTTATGCCACAAGATTTGTCAGTATTTAAATATAAGAAGGTAAAAACAACTATTTCTCTTTCAAAACACGTATCATAAATGCAAGATCTTGTCGCACTTCGCTGTCGCAGGTCTAGCTCGGAGAGCAAGTAGTGAACAATCCGCTTGATAAGGAGAATAAGACTGATCAGACAGTGCCAAACAACGACGATAAGTAAACCCACTGAAATGTAGTATTGCCAACTTTTCAACCAGAGAAGTTTCAACATCGTTCCTGCGGTATTGATCAGAAATGTTGAGAACCCAACAGAAATTTATTTCACCGACAACTGGTACATAGAAACAACTTCAGAATTGACATCACAAATCTCGTCTGTGACCACAGACGATGTTTATGCTGCGTTCATACACACTGTGTGTATTACCACAGACGAGATATAAGAATAGACTTACATAACATGCAATGTAATTTTCTGTCCCATGTTTCGGGGGCGTCAGAAGTCCCCTTACCATTTTAGTGTCAATACCCGATGTTACCGATAAAGCATGAATTCTGAGTATTATTAGCACAAATAAAGTGTTTTTGTGGAGAGTATGAATAGTTTTACTGCCTATTTTATGTGGGAGTATGAATAGTTTTACTGCCTATTATAAGAATCTTAATACGCACGAACAATTACTTTCTGGCAATTAGTAAATTTTTACATTAGAATTTACTTACACATTATATACTTACAAAAATTTTATTTATTGCGAGTAATTAAATAATGAACGTATGTTAATATTCAGCTGCGTGTCTCTCAAATTAAGTGAAATACAGAAGTTTTATTTTCTTGAAAATTAGTGTCGAAGAATGCAGCAACTGGTCAGATTAGTTTCGTCAACAAATCGTAACCCTGTATCGCCACACTGTTTTTTAGGCTGTCAAATATCACACGGAGTCTTTTAGGAAGTAGTAAAATCTTTTACACAAATTCAATGAAATACTTTCAAGTACCCAGTTTAGGGCTATGAAATTAGAATGTTCAAGAAGAGGTAAAGAAGTTTCATATTTGCTATTATTTGGTGATACTGTAATAGAAACCGGTATCCTGTGAAAAAAATCATATTTAACGATATGAAATGAATAATAAATAACGGTCTTAGGGATTTATAACATCATAAATAAACGAGAACGGTAGAGCCAGCCGCGGTATCGGTGTTCTCCATTCATGCCGACGCGTGCCGAACGGTGCCTAAGAATTTTCACACTCCTGTCGGTATGATTTGGCTACCAGTTTGAGCAAATTGCCACGGGTGGCGCCACCAGTCGAAAAATAGTGGTATTCCACGTTTAAATGCGATTTTAACAATGTTCTCGTCGTTTATTGTTGTTGTCAATGGTAGGACATTAATCTACGTTCTTTAAGCTACAAATAGAATGCTTGCTCAAGACGAAAGCTGTTAGTATAACGTTGTAAGAGTTGTTCAAAGTAAACTAAACAGGGTACGCATGACGGGATACAGTCTGAACCGTTGCAAATAAATGTGATTTTAGAATATTTTTGTAATTATTGGTTTCCAGTCGCTAGAAAGAACTAATCTACGTTGTTCAAACTTCGAATTGAATGCGCGACGAGAAAAAATGATGCCCGTTCAGCGGTGGAAATGCAATCGAAATCTGTTGCAAGTAGGGTTACCGCCCCATAAGGGGCTACGGTAATACAGGCATATCGAATTTTACTAATTCAGGGGTTTTGCACTATTGGGTCCATGCATTAAGTCCTGAGGGACAATTTGAGACTAATGATGTTCATTTTAAGCGCTTAATTACTGAGATATTCGCATTTCTGCATCACTAGAAATTCTCACTCACCTGTCGGTATGATTTGGCCGACGACACACGATCCATGTTGATCTGACTACTTTGTATTTAATTTATGATAGTTTACAACTCGGAATGATATCATGTGGCAGTTCGTTGTATTCGTCTCAACAAACACTATCATAATATGAATAAAACAATACAGGATTCCATTTAAAAAAATTAACTTGACTTTGATATCTCCCCCACTACTACACTTATAGAAAAATTATTTTTACTTTTTTAAGTGTTACAGTGATATTTCGTTATATGTTCCATAATGTCAATAATATTGATTTCCCCGCAACATCCATGATTATTACAAATGTCAATATAACGAAATATGTTTTACGCGATGTTTGTGGTGTAATAAATATCTGCGTTTCGATTACGTTTTTGATACGTATTACTCACTTATATGTCATAATATAGAATAAAAATATGCTATTTATTTCATCGTCACTGTTAAACTGTTGTAATAACAATGGAATAATAAAATAATTTACTCAAATGTACATAATAATACATATACATATTCATAAAAACAATATTAAACGCAATAACTTTTTTGTAAGCGCAAAAAAAAAAACCAATAGGTCCGTCAGGACTGGAACCCAAGACTCCTTCCTAATACGGCTACTTTACAGCGAATGGACAGAAGAGAATCCGTTCACGACCATGGTCCCTTCGATGATTTTCCGACGTACCGAACACTCATGATCTGACACGCGACGCGTGAAATTCGTTTTATCTCGTGGGTGCCGCGGTGGCGGCCGACGACTCCATGCTCTGGCATTCCCGTGGGTGACGTATAAAGCCGTTCCGTGGGCTTTTCCTCGTCTCAGTCGACGTACCGCCAACGTCCAGCGATCTATTTGTCCGCTGGACATCGCGGGGCATGCGTTGCCTCGAGTCGAACCGCGAAACGAGCGTACCGTGAAGGCGATCGGTGGAATCGAATAATCGGACTTGTTCGAGCCAGAATTGGATATATCGTCGTGGAAGTCGACAGAACGTCTCACGCGTGATCGATCGTTGGCAACGATCGAAAAAACAAAAATGATCCCGACGTGGATCGTCGCGGTGCTACTCGCCGTCTGTTCCGTCGAGTCCAGTCTCATACCGGACAAAGGTAAGAGACCAGCCATCCTATTACAATGGGTGAATAAATTATTATGAACACTTCGAAATACCACTTATTTGAATTTTGATCAAAAACGGAATTAATAACACTGGGGAACAGGGAAAAGATTTTGTTCGTGTTGTCGGGGATTTAAGATCGGTTTCAGAGTACTCGTGGATCCTGATTTCGCATTACATCTTCGTTTCAGGTTGATTGGCTGCGATATTCTAAATAATTGAAACTGTTGAAATCGAACGTGTCGATTTAAAGTACCTACCACGTTTGCTTTTTTGTTACCTGTAATTTCGAAAGAATATTCTTGCGATTGTTTACTTTCGGGTTAGTGATTTCCAAAGTAAAGAACACGGTAACATAAAATATTTCATTTCTCCACCTGTTCATGATAATTTGATCACCTATTGTAGAAACGTATCTCGAAATTCTCGATTTTCGGCCGTTGAGAGGATCTAGTTTCGTTGAAAACGTGTTCACGGCGTTTCAAACTTTCGATGATTTTCCGCCAGTTCTGTCGCATGTCCCCAAAGATTGATTTATAGTTTATAGCATTAGGTTGCTGAGTAAATTTGTTCTTTTTTTTAGGTTCTTTATATGCTTTTGAATCTATGTGAATACCATCGAGAAATGTATGCCTTTTGAGTTGAATCGAAATAGAAAGTGGGTTGTTCAGAGTGCAGACAAAACTGATACAACTGCACTAAATTAGTAATACTTAACACTAGAACTACCAGCTTCAGATTTTTTATTTCACAATTACTAAAATCCTAGAGACATTTCCATACGCATTTATGTTACTTTTAATTGCTTATGTACTTCATATTATACTATACTAAGCTGTATTTTATTATATATTACACGTATTAATATATTACACAAATTAACTTAGCATATATTCAACGCTGGTAGTTCTAGTGTTAAGGGTCTAGTGGAATTTATAAGACTGTTGAATAGAAACAAAATAATGAAACTATACTTCATATAGGGCACATAAGATTCTGCGAAAAGTTGTATAGATCTGATTGGTAGTTTTCACTGCGACCGCTTAACACGTTGAATATTTAAGGTTTTTAATTATCGCGTATTTCGTGTGAGAAAATCTTATGTGGATGTGGTAAGAAAGAATAAAGATGGATAAATTCATTGCCTGAATAAAGAATTTGGATTAAACAATAAAAGATAAAAAAAGCTAGTTGTCCAATTTTCTAATTGCAAAATAAAATAGTATTTCTTCTCGTATAAGTAAACACATGTCCAAACGAATAAATTTGCCTAACAAAATTACACGTTTAAACGTCAACCTAAAACACTCGTATACTGATTTTATTATTGTACTATTAATTGCTATTATTCGAATGAAATTGTACTCATCTCCAAGGAGCAGCGTCCAAGGATATTTTAATAAAAACACTGACGCAGTCTTACAGTTACGTCATTATGATTCTACGAAATGAAAAAATGCAAATACAAGACGGAAGGACAACTACGTTTTCTTTTTTGCTTATATTAAATGTACATTTCGAACATTGACACGTGTGTTGGTACAAAAATCGGCATGAATTTTTATGGAATGTAATTTCCTGCTGTTGATATATGGCTGCATATTGTAAATTATAAAATATTATTATCGTGTAATTGTTTATCTCTGTGAGTACATGATAGTTTATTCTAGTTTTATATAGATAATATGTCACAGATTTGAATGTATATTTAAAAGTTTATCAGTAAAATAAGACATTATTGGATCTTTGTTACTTTCATTCGATATAATTCAAGTGTTGAGCATCGTTATAGATATAACAGAAACTTATAGAACTCTAACTTCTTTCAAATATTTCAAGAGTGTTTATTGATCGAAGGTAAGAGAAAATTGGGTTTTATTATGTATAACAACATTATAATGGTAATTATTATACAATATATAACTATATAATACAGTACATATACAACTGTGACAAAAGTAAGAAAAAATTGTCAAATGGAAACGAATGAAAAACGTCATTAGTCGCCAGAGTTCTCAACTGTTTTAATTTAATTTATTCCAAACAATTTAATTAATCAATCTACGTGCATCTTATTGGTCCAACGAATAGGAATTCAACATAATATAAAGAAAATTCAACGTAGGAAACAACAAATACTTTTCTAAGTCCTAACTACGAAACTTTGAGAGTTTCTGTTTTCTTCTTAATGGTTGAATCTCCAAGTACTAACAACAATTAAATATTTATGTCGACAATAAGATAAGATTTTGGTAAACATTAAAATAGTGTGTTTGATTATTTCATTACTTTCCTGCTTCTATAATATTGAACTTCGTGAATTTTAAACTGAATTTTGTCAGTTCGGGAACTAGTGGAGATAAAACAATTAAGAACTAGAATGACGATATGAGAACAGTAGGAACGAAATGGTTAATAGCTTTCTAAATGTACCTGCTTTCGTTCAAATATAATTACATTTTTACACGGCCATTTAATGTTCACGGAGATATCGGTAGGTAAGTGTCTCGTGTGACGGACTGTACCTAGTTTCCGTAGGTGCACACACCACATTCCCATATAACACACTGACGGGATGGCAAACCAGTCGTCGTGCAAGTTGACTTCTTTCCCTGATTTCGTTCTAATCCACGTTCGCTGTTTTCACGCTCGCTGATCCCGCGAACACGTTTAATATCTGCGATTATAATTACGATTAATAATGGACTCTGGGTCCATTTTGATCGAGAATTTCCGAAACGTCATGCAACATTACGGTTCACCAAACACTAATCGAAATATACACAATAGTTTACATTGGTTATTTTATACGAAAATCAGCATATACAGTAAATCCTCGATGAGTGCTCGAAGGCTCCTCGGCACTGACAAGTAGGGAAGAATCGATCCAAGTAAATAGAACTAAATAATCGATACTTTCGTTTCGATACAGAGTATTTCTAGCATCGATACTTTCGGTTGCAATATACAGGGTGTCCCAAAAAGATGTTTAACTGCTAATATCTCGGAAATTGAGCTTCAAATTACAAAACGGTAAAGGACTTTTCGATTTGTATTTCAAAACTTGAATACAGAGTAGATACCTACTCTAGAATTGAATGATTACTGTGGATGACTTCCGGTCCACGATGATGATCGTGGTAGAATACATTTTTTAAATTACTTCGAGCACTTAGTTAACGCTCTTCGTATAACGTAATGTCTAACACTTAATTTAGGAGAAGATCAATTTACTACCGTTTTTGTAAATGTATACAACTCAAAAAAATAGGAAGATCATACATTTCAATTATCATATTTAATACAGCATTCTGCATATCCCAGAATATATATTCTACTCACTCCCATGAACTACTTTTTATTACAACGTTACATTACTTATGTTAATCAGCCGGTGATAGATTCACGATCAATTTCCAGTCGATTAATTCAGAATGATTAGTGTCGTCCTTGTGACTCGCTTGTTGCATACTTGAGACGTGGTATGGAAATGAAAAAAATCTATAACAATTTATTGTGTCCGATGTTTGGTTGGTATTATTGTGACTGGTTACAGTACACTATAATACATGTATAATAATACGTATATTTTGCGACTGATATGGTCTACACTACCGATCATAAGTACAAAGTTTCCCCTCCGTATTAAGGCCCCTTTCAAAAAAGCAAAAGGAATATAGCAAAAAAACGTCCTGGTCTTTATTTATTAAACATTCAAGTAAATAAAAAAAATTTTCTTTCAATATTCGTGCAGCGTACCAAATTGTAAGTGGCGCTAATCGCGTTGATCCGAAATTGAGCTGTCCTATACAAACTGATCGTGATTCTTTTATCTCGTTTAGTTTTGCTCAGTGTGATTATATTTCTTGATCTTTAAAAAAAAACATACTCAATACGATTTGAAAATGTATAACATTACTGTTTGTGTGTTTAAAAATCAATAGAAAAAAGAGAAATTCTGAAAGAATGATTTGCTATAATTATGCATGTATGTTATGTAACATATAGATTATTTATTCCTTTACTTTACACGACGTAATTCGCATTTTTGTTTTAATGCTGTTGATATAAAATATACCTACAGGTTACGGTGTCGCGAAGTGTTATGTTCCCAACCAATCAAAAACGATCACGAGAAATCACGAATCACCGTGATCTGAAACGAACATAATTGAATCACTCGTGATTCACAAGTACAGACTCCTCTCGATTATTGTCTGGCTGGTCCTACACGATTATTGTCCAGGCATTATCCCCACCTCTGGGGAAGAGGGCGTGATACCTGTCAAGCATATACTTTTTTGCCCCTCTGATTTTGTTACTACGGTTCGAGCTTCGGAAAAAAATCGAATTTACGAGGAACTGAAGCATTTCTCCCTATAAGAGTATTGTCCTGGCGTGGACCAGAGTTCGGGACGATAATCGAGTGGAGTCTGTAGCAGTTCACGCTATCTCTAGACCCAGTGTTTGTCGGACAAAAATTAACGATAATTACGTTCCCCACAGGCTTGACTGCGAGTCTCCAGGAAGTATGGGACGACGACAATTTCGCGATCGCCTTGTCCAACGTGAAGTCGAAGAAAAAATCATCGGAGGCAATGGTCGAGACACTTTTGGCCGTCAAGTACGGGTCGTTCGGGAAGAAAACGATGCTGATGATCGACAGACGTGCTAAACGAGGTAACACACCAACGAAATTACTGTAGTATTAAGCCGAAATATTTGAAATTGTGAAAAATTATCTTCTATTTTTAATACAAAAGCTATAAAGCAAATAATAGCACTGAGATTCGATGAAAATAGAAACGTTATACATTATCACGTTGACTGGCATAGTAACCGGGGCCATATGTTGCACGAGAAAAACTTTCGAAATCTACACAGTATCTACGATCTTTTAAATATATCCAGTACTAGAATGATGATCCAACGAAAATGTATAATACGTTCTAGCCTGAAAATACCTGTATTCCGAATAAGAAGAACGTATACGGATAATATTTCATTACGATATTAACCCTTTAACACCCAGACCCTAAAATCGTTATTTCAAAATTATGAGACTGAGTTATATGTTGTATTTTGTTATTTTGAAGTTGAAAATGTCGATATTAGACAGACCTTACCTTTTTCATTTTTTTTTTTATTTTCTTTGTTTATTTTGGAGGGAGTATTTGAATTTCTCAACAGAAAACATAGAGGCCTATTTCACATCAGTGAAACTACGGATCCTTGCTGACAAAAGTTAAATATTAAAATGTGACAGAACTTGACGCATTTTTAAAATGAGTGGTGCACCGGTGCAACACTGGGCGTTAAAGGGTTAAACGTTTTCTTAAGCCATTTCTAACCGTGGAAAATATTTTGTTTTATTTTTTCATACAAACGCCATAAAGCAAATAATATGTAACGCTGAAATTCGAAGAAATACGCAAATGTTGTACAGTGTCGTACTGATTAGTAACAACATAAATCACAGGGCAGTTTAGTGATCTAGGGTTAATACAATACGTGGGCGTACCGAGGTTATCAGTCAAGGGGTGGCAAAAATATTAATACATCGACTGCCACAGTGGAAAAGGCTGTACGCAACCAGACACACTTTATTTTGTTTTTAAAGTCATAAATCGTTGAAAATGTATGCGTTTTGTTAATAGAGGCTGTTAATTGTGTTTCAAATTATATTCCAATATTAAATATTCCGCAAAAATTTTGTAACTCTGAAAAGGGAGGGGGGCAAAATCCAATTTTTTTCTTGTAGGGTGTGGCAAACGCCACTTTTTTCCATCCAGGGGAGGGGGGCAGGGGGCAACGCCCATGATACAATAGTATAAAATGTTGTGCAGTCAACGTTGATCATTGAATTTAATAAAAAAAGGGTAAAAGAATCTTGCAACTAGAGGACAATTATTTTCTAACGACTTATTATGAGCTTCGAATGATCTCATTCAGTAGAGACGACAAAACAATAGAGTCGGTAGGAGTAGGGTAAACCAACCAGTGAATGAGCGAATTGTTGAATTTTTGGACGTTTGAGATTAATACTTGAATGTATTTAATTATAACAACAAAACAACTGTTAAAATTGTAAATACATTTATTTTTCTTAAAATTTTTGTAACGGTAATTATGTATTCTTATCGTAATTTAAAAGAAATTATTTATAAAGTAGAAAACATGTAAAAGCCCAGTAAATGACTGATTTATTTCTGAAATATTTTTAATAAATTAATGCTAAATTAAAAATATGCGATATTGAAAGTGCAACCGCGCTTCCATTTATAAACATTTAATACTTTTTAACTTTATAATTTACATTTCTTACCTAATGGTCATTCACTGGGATACAGTCAATTACTGGTTGGTTTACCTTATTGTATTCTGTTTTCCAGTGATCCTCGAGAGCCTGCAGGATAATGGACATCGAACAGCGGAGCACATCCACGCGAACGGTTTGCGGGACGATCAGCCGATCAAGAATGTGATCGTCTCGGTGCATCAGAATCAGCCTGACGCCAGGATCGACGTTTACGTCGACTGCGTCTTCCAAGGCTCGATAGTACCGTTGAAGAAACGTTTAAGGGAACTGGCAGATGACGGGAACGGTCAGCCGATAGAGGCGGTGAGCAAATTTACTGTCACACTGTTCCCTGTCACGGGGGCTATTCCCATTCGAAGGGGTAAAAAAATCGATACTTTTTTATTGTATTTTCTTAAAGTGTATAACACCTTGAAAATGTGCTCCCAAAGTGATACGCTTCGATTCATCGAAATGACGTACTTGTAACGATTTTAACACATTAGCTGAATACCCCGTAAAATTTTCAAAAGTCCATAGCTGAATACCACAGGGTTCTGCTATTTAAAAGTAAAACGAATCACAATTCACGTTTTCAAAACATTGAACAAGCTTTAGCTAGTTATTATACAAGAGGTGGCATTTAAGTTGACACATGGAAATATCATAAAAACAAAGCATTTCATAAGAAAGTATTTTAGATAAAAATGTTTAGTTTTGATGGGGGAACGAGAATGACATTATTTATTTTCAATCTGGTAAAAGTTTCGAAGGTCATTTGAAGGTAAATTTGTATTCTGTGAACCACTGAGACGTACACGTAGATTAACTAAAAATGTTTCAAAAGTTCAATCAGAACAGTTAAGAACTCGGACGATGATATGCTGATGTCAGAAAAGATTTAGACAAGTACATTTCAAGTAGCAAATGAATTTTTCAATTCCGTAAACGATAAGATCGAAAGGTATTACACACCAACGTATTCTTCTGTTTGCTCCATCTCCGATCTCTCTCTCCGGGGGAGTTACACACACGGTTTGTTACGGAGCCACCGATGACGTTAGAGATCGTAGGATGACGCCTTTCCAAATATGGTCGCTCGGATCAAGGCTGTTTGCTTTATTACGCGCGGGCAGCTAACTCGCGCGTAACGCGTTTAAACCGTTGAATCGATTTCGATTCGCTCGGAATTCATCCTTATTGAATATTCACAGGCGTCCAGCCCACTTTTTCGTTCTCGATCGAGACACATGGATGTAACAAACCTCGGAGGAGTTCTAACCCGATTTATTAAGCTGCGTGTACGCACGGCAGAGTTGGGCGTTATTCGAATAAAAATTCGGATAAATTTTTGCGAATAAAATATTATTCGAATAATCCTCGAATAAAAGTTGCGAATAAAACGAATTTATTCGAAGGAACCAGCGAGTAAGGTAAATCGTCAATCGTTATCCCTAGAAGGATTCCCTTTACCGCATCGTACCCCTTGGGTTCCTATCCATGGACGGGAAGCGGTGTCGCTTACTCCTGACTTTTATTCGCTGCGGAGTTATTCAGAATAACGAATAACGAATAAAGACTTAAATCATTTTTCAAAAGACTGTCCGTACTGGGAAAGACCGGTTAACAAATTCGTATTCAGCCCATAAAAAGCTATCACAAACGTCTATTAACCCATATAGCACATGAGGCCCAACGACGCCTTGAAGACGACTTAAAGACGCCTTAAACCTAAAATAGCTATAAAATGGGCGACTTCAAGGCGTCGTGTGATATCTGGGAAAGGTTATGAGATCGAAAGAAAAAAGTACAAATTTCTCCAGCAGTCAACGATAACACTCGATCCCTCGTAACGGAATTCTTGTCGATAATCTTCCAACGAATTGCGTTTTGCAGTTCAGAGAAAGAAGAAGCCAAGCGAAAGTGTATCGATCATCGTCCATCGGCGACGCGTTCAAGGAGGAAAACTGTCCTAACCACGACACCAGTGTGCACGGTGATCTGTCCAAGGAGTCCAATTGGTTCACCGATATCGACGAATCGGATAGATTTGATCGTGTCGATCGAACCGACGACCTTGAATCGATCATCCCACGGCCCGGCCACGGACATCCCTCGGCTCGATTGGGTCAATCGAATCGACACCACGCGAAACGCGCTCCCGAGGATGATCACGGTAAATACAGTTCGTTGAGCGACTTCGAACTGGATCGCGAATGGGACACCGATGACGAGCAAACGTACGGTCGATCAGCCGCGACCAACAAGAGAATCCCTCGGCGTGGAGACATCGGAATACAGAGTTTGGATGAGAAAGGTAAAGCCGAATAGGGAACGCTCTATACCAGAGTTGGGCAAAATGTAATCTAATTACAAAATCTAAATTCCAATTACAAGGTAATTGCAATTTAATTACGGTACAATTACAATTACGTTGTAACATAACTTTACAATTACCTTGGAATTTTTATTGTAAATTTAGTGTAGTTAATTACAATTACAGTGTAATTTTACAATTACCTTGTAGCTTTCATCGTAAATTTCGTAGTTAATTACAATGTTATTGTAATTATAATTGTCTTGAGATTACATTGCAATTACATTGTAATTGTGATTTGGATTTTCTAATTAGATTACATTTTGCCCAACTCTGTTCTCTATGCTACACAGTAGGTAAACAAACTATTCGCACATTCTTTAAAATAGAACAACTTTTTTAAAATTGGTCCAAGTATGACTTGAGTTCTTTTGCGAAGTTAGGGAGATTAGTTTACTAAATGATGTATAAAAAAAATGTTGAAAAAGTCACAATTGATCGGAATCGCGACGAAAACAGTAGAGGTCGCTTTTTACAACTCTTTTATCTGAGACTGTAATGAAAATGTAATAAACACATTTCCGAAGATTTATGTTAGTTACACACAGGTTGAAAATTTCATCGAAATCGGTAAACGCACTACCTTTGTACACACACGTAACCCAGCTTACCTAGTAATCGAACGTTTTCAGCTTGCCTCACCGACAGTCAAATAGCGAAGACCCTGAACGAGCTGATCGAGGCTACCAAAAGAGTGTGGAGGGAAATCGAATTAAACGTGAGTATTCCCCGCTGTGGGCCCACGTCACATCTGAAACCACAATTCTGTACATAATACCTTCATATCTCATACATTGCCCATTCCAGAGAGTGGAAACGCAACACCTGCGACATTTGATCGAAAATTGCGCCGGCTGTCGGGAACGTCCCGGTGAGTGAAGTTCCGCTGTATCGAAAAATTATTAATCGCGCCCGGGAGAAAACCCCCTCACACCCCCTATTATTCTTCTCTCCGATTTATCCGCCCCAACCCCCACCACCCCCTATCGTTTCACGTATATTGGTTAACACAATTCTCGCGTGGTAACGATTTCAACGATATTAACTGTACACAACGGATACAAATGCTCGTGTTACAAATACTCACATATAATGTACAAAAAGTGATCTTACGTCTGCAATAAACAATGTATACTTTGAATGCAAAGAAAAGAAAAAGAAAACAAAGAAAAATGGAGTAAACCGGGCCTCACTTCGGAGGAATCGTTATCCCCGATATGAATCCTCTGATCCCCCCTTGTCTCGACTTCCTTCACAGTTACGACCACGACGCCCGCGCCATCTACCTGCGATTACAAGTCGCCCTGCTACCCGGGGGCCGACTGTCGCGACACACCACGGGGCCCACGGTGCGGCCCGTGCCCGCCCGGGTTCACTGGCGACGGATACCAATGCACAGCTTGGGTCCATCCATGCGCGAGCAATCCGTGCTACCACGGGGTCCGTTGTTACGAACGCGTGGACGGTTACAGGTAATCACGTGTAGAGGAGCTGGAAAGAAGTTCAAGTGGGACGGGGGCACACGGGGCAGGGGGGCAAGAGACGGATGTACGCATAGTAGACTCGCGATAACTGCACAGATATACCCGTCAAGGTTGTTTACGCGATATTTGAATAATTATAAATTTAGTTGAAAATTTAACAGAACATTCTTAAAAACTTCAACTTTCGACTGCTACTAAAAAATCTCAAGGTCAACGATAAAATTATTGAAAACGAAACATTAGAAAAATTCCTTTCTAACACTAGCCTTGCGGAACTGTAGTTGATACTGAGAAATTGATGACTTCTTATTTAGTTACAAGAAATGACGATTCTGTGACTTTTATTATATCGTAACAGAAGAATGAGTTACTGTTTCATCGACCATGAACTCTGGTCCCATACTTTTGGTCAGTAGTGTATTTATGTACTTAGACAGACGCGCGCGCTCAGCCTACTCTCGGTCGCCAATATAATTGGTCCGTCGACCGAGCTACGAGAAGATCTTATTTACTCTCGATAATTACCCGTTCCTAGAACAGAGATGGGCAAACTCATTATCTAGATAAAGAATTTCGAATAACGAGTAAAAGATAAAAAAAAAAGTCGTATCGTCTTTTTTGATCGACTACACGTGGAAATTCCAATTTTTATAATAAAATAGTATTTCCTCTTGGCATGAGTAAACACTTGGCGAAAAATTATTCAGACTCATTAATTGTTTAAAGTTCAAGTTGGCAATCTTAGATACTACTATTTTTCACCATGTATTATTCGAATAAAATTGTGTCCAACTCTGTCCTAGAACTGCCCCCGCCTGCAGACCCCCAAATGCGGGTAATTATCGCGAGTCTACTGCATTCTGCTCAGTCTGCGTAAGTGTCCACCTGTGATGCTCTTGGCGGTCAATAGGTAACACTACGATGTTTTTCTTTTTCCTTCTTGGTTCCTTCGGTGACGTGTGCTATACCAAAGAAACTTGAAATATTAATTGGTTAATTCTCCGAGCCGCTACGGCACTACTATGTATTCTTTCCAGCTCTAGAACAATACTGTTATCTCTCGATCGGCCCACAGATCTACAAGTTGCCCGCGAAACTATATTCGAACACTTACGCTACGAAACGACCGACCAATGAAATCGAAACGTCTGACCACAATGTGCTATAAGTCGTTATTCGAGGTTTCTATTCGATTGTCGTTACTCATTTGGTATTTCACGAAAATATTGATATCTGTCTAATATTACTTCGAAAGTACCTATATAGGGGAACTACAACACTAAGAACACGCTCTTGTATGTGTACATATACAGTGTCGGTCAGACGAAAGCTTAAAATTCATATTTTTCTATGTATGTATTCATTGTATTCTATGTATTAAGTTACAAATATTGGTTCCGTACAATTGATCTTGTTGGAGGAATTCATTTATTTATTGTGACAGACCGTAGGTGACTCTCTTATGGTAAATGTTTTCAAAATTTTCGCTTATCTAGTAGTACCTATTTGCTCCTTCTAACTAAATAATACTTTCCCCTCGCATTTCTTTTGTATCTTCAAAAACAAGTAAGACATTGAAAATGCTCACGTTAGATGGAACACCCTCTATATTTATCTGCGTGTGTCTCTGACCAAAAGTCTTTCTATGAACGTATTAATTTTTCGAGTGATCTTGAAAGTCTCAAAAGGTTTTTTTTTCCAATGTCTTTCAACGTCCGTGAATAGTTTCTGTGGGCGACTGTACATCTGTTGTCTACGAATTTTTCCAGCTGCGGAAAGTGTCCTGTCGGGCACATCGGCGACGGGCGACACTGCGAGCTGCGTAGGAACGGTTGCGAGACACGTCCTTGCTACCCGGAAGTGGAATGCGACTTGATCATTCATCATCCGTATTACAGGTCGCGCCGATCATTCGAATCATCTGTTATACGAATTTCCCCCTAATCAGACACGGCGGTCCCTAATTCGGTGAAATGAAACCACAAGATCTGGTTCAACGAAACCGTATCGTTTTCATTCCATCACGAGGCAAAAAGTGGCAACGACGCGCATCAAAGTCGGAAGTATACAGGATATAACAAAAATGTTTTAGGGTCCCGGAAATGGGAGACTCGTGAGGTGATTTGAAACAAGTTTTTCCTTAGCAAAAATTGTATCCGAGTCTTTGTTAACGAGATATTAACAGAAAACCCCCACCCAATCAGAGCGCGAGTCTGCCGGCCGAGTTCTCGCGGTAACGTTGGCTACGCGCTGCAATTGGTAGCCGACGTTACCGCGGGACTCAACCGGCAAACTCGCGCTTTGATTGGTCGGGGTTTTTCGTTAATATCTCGTAAACAAAGCCCCGGATAACATTTTCGTTAAGGAAAAACTTATTTCAAATCACCACACGAGTCTCCCATTTCCGGGTCCTCCAACATTGTTGTTACACCCTGTATACATGCATTTCATTTCGAATAACGAATAAAATCTGAAAATTAATTCCTGAATATGACGAGCGACAATTTCACCCGAAAAACGGGGACTAATTGCACAGAAATCTGTGTGCATTAATCGAACAAGATCTTATTCGTTGTTAATAAATTCGAAGGCTAATCGGCCATGCACGATGACAGGTAAGAAGACCATTTCCTGTGCGTTGCAATCCGTGCTTCCGTCGTTAACAATTGCGTTTCCCGAGATTGCGTTCAGGATGATGGAATTGCTTTGCAAATATTCGTTGTATGTCGCTTGTTCGGTCGAAGTCCTATTCGCGCTGTGTCACTACGAGTCCGCACGGTCTCAAGATCCACCGTTACAGTAAAACCTACATTAGTACCCGCTCGACCTACTGCGTAAGCACACCCGATGTTCATCACTGCACAGTGGTCCAGAAACCCGCTTTACATGGCCAAAATTATTTTAGAGTTATTTCAAGACAAGCAAGGTCATAGTATATACATGTAATAGTAAATCGTTGAATTCGTCTTAATCACAGGTATGACATTACTATGTCAAAAATATACAGTGTGCGGCCAAATAACATGTACAAGCGGGTACGAGGTGATTCATTATGAAAAAATAAGATTAAAATAAGGAATAAAATTTTTTCATTTAAGGATTAGTTTTCGAGAAAATCGACTTCGAAAAATGAATCTAAAACATGTGTATTCACCATAGTAGTAAGTAGAAATGGAATGTAATGAACAGACGAGCTAGCCCAGTCCTATTTAATTGCCGTCTCTAGCAGATTTTCAAAGTCAATTTTCTCGAAAGTTAAGCCTTAAATGAAAAAAATTTTTTCTATATTTTAATCTTATTTTTCCATAAGCAATCACCTCGTACCCGCTGGTACATGTTATTCGGCCGCATCCTGTATAATGACATATAAAAACTGAGGTGATTTTGAATTTTTTATAACAAGAATTTTGTTTAATATAATTATTAGACCAAAATACAAACTAAAAAAAATACAAAAATAACATATAATTGCGACGGCCGCAACGTTAGAATCTCGAGCGTTCATTTATTGATGATCTATGACGATTACTTACAAAAATTAATTTCAGAATTTCGTATGCGGTTACACAATCGTCTAAAATTAATAGTATTTTGGATTTCATCATTTTAAAGTGTCTTCACTTTGTAAGTAAAAAAAAGTATTAAACTTGAAAAATTGACTTTTGCCCATGTAAAGCGGGTTCCTGGACTACTATGCACCGGCGGGGGGGTCCCTCGAAACTAGCCAAGCATATGTACAGTGGACTCTAACTATATTGCCACTAAACATATTGCCACGCGAAACACTTCCCCTTCACACCTCCTTTCGAGCACACAAATTCGTTCTCCCACCACGTTGCGTACGCTGGCGCTCCAGTACGCTGAGGAGGGAGCATGGAGGGGGCTCTGAACTCATTGCTATTTTACTCCTCCACAGTCCCGACCATGGCAATATAGTTAGAGTCTACTGTACAATATAACTATACAACTACTAACAATAATAACTACTCGGGCTCCAGTCCCAATTTTCGGGTACTAATGCAGAGTTTACTGTATACATATATATGCCAATGTGCGCGGCGGTGGACACTAGACCACCGCCATCTTGTTTTTCGTGCACATGGATTTGAACTAGCGGAGTCTGAACGAGGGACTTCTACCGAAACGGAAAATACCGGTATTTTCGGTTAAACCTTCGCTTTATATAACCTTATATAAGCTTTACCCTTATAGAAACCGAAAAAATACCGGTATTTATTTCGGTTTTTGGTAATATATCGGTTTCGGTATAACTTTGATGACATAATACCAGTCAAAATCATACCGGTTTAAGTCACCGGTCTGAACAGGGCCTACCTCTGTTCTATTTCGTCTCGTTAAACCGCGTTTCCGTTTCCATTTCAAGTCAGATTCCCTTCGATGTAACCGTGACCACCGTTTTAGATGCGGCCCTTGCCCGAACGGCTACATCGGCAACGGTTCGTCGTGCGTCGACGTGAACGAGTGCGAGATGGCGCAACCTTGTCATCCCGGTGTTCGATGCGTTAATCTTCGTCCCGGGTACAGATGCGAGTCCTGTCCACCTGGTTACACCGGGTCCATTGTGGAAGGGATCGGTCTGGATTTTGCTGGTTCCCACAAGCAGATCTGTCAGGACGTGAACGAGTGCGAGAAGAACAACGGTGGTTGCGGTCCGTACACGGAGTGTATCAACACCGAGGTACAGATTATGAGATAGAGGTGGAATAAAATGTATTAAAAGTAGGTGCGAATCTAACTGGATAGTTTCCGACTATCGGAAGTGCCTAAAAAATCGTGGGGTACTGATTTTTAGACCACCCTGTATATCATTTCCCATGCAGAAAACAACGTTTCGCTTCCTTTTACCGGTATTCCCGTAACTCGAATTATTTCAGGGTTCCTATAGATGTGGCCCTTGCAAGCCCGGATATGAGGGGAACCAAACGATCGGTTGCCGTCCGAGGGGCAATGTTTGTCCTGATTCGACCACCATCTGCGACGATAACGCGGAATGCGTGTGCTTCGATACTGATCGGTACACTTGCAGGGTAAATATTCGAATGAATGGCTTACAATATGACAATTACGAAAAATAGGGATAAAAGTTCTTTAAAACATTTAGTACGGATGGGAATGGTAGTTCCCAATATGGGCGAATCTCGCGGCCGTCTTGGGAACTATAAGGTCCAGACCCTTTCAATCAAATGCCCGTCTTTGGAGCATTGTGTAGGGGATTTGTACGTGTTGTCACGGACGGGGTATAGGAGTACATATTTCATCCAATGTATTTTTTCGGTCCACTTTTATGGGGTTACGTTACCCCATTTCCATTTTAGAGTCACTAACCACCATAGATTTACCGTTCTTATAACGTAGAGGTCACTAAAATCACAGGGTTTTTAAGGTGCGGGACTACAGTTTAGGTGGGCCACCAACTCCCCTAAGATGAAAGATCTATTCTTATACCTCTTCGGGGGTCTTGTATAGCCACAAATAAATGTATCTAGTGACAGCTAAAGGATCAGTTTGGTACTGGTCGTCCAGGGTTACAAATAGTTTAGGGTGCGTATCCACTCGTTACGTATCACCGTTGTGTATCAATATTGACGGGCAAGCGTTGCATCGTTGCGTATGAAAATGTAGTGTGTGGTGATACGATACCATGATACGCAACGATGATACGATACAAGGATATGCAACAAATGGATACGCACCTTTAAATATTTACCTAAACGACAAATCCCATGATCGAATGGGAATTATACATAATTCCCCATTCAAAAATGTGATACTAAAAACATAAAAAAAGAGAAATTCATTTCTCCAGGCCATGGGGTTGGAAAAACGATTACGGCCCGTCCCGAATGTGTTAAACTCCATCTACAGGGTGTCCAAAAAAGATGGGATAATCCGGGACAAGCATATTCTTCATACAAATACAAATCGAAAAGTCCATTACCGTTTAGTAATTTGAAGCTCCATTCCCAAGATATAAGCAGTTAAACGAACTCCAATCAGCTGAGCGGTGGGTCACGCGTACACGCAGGCGCAATCACGAAGCAGAGGTCAGTGATCTGGCGCTTCTTGACTGCAACTGCGCGTACGTGTGGCACACCGCTCAGCTGATTTGGGTTCCTTTAACTGCTTATATCTCGGAAATAGAGGTTCAGATTACAAAACGGTAAAGGACTTTTCGATTTGTATTTGCATGACGAATATGCATGTTCGGGATTGTCCTATCAATTTGGGACACCCTGCATAACCTCGACAGTTCAGACGGTATTGACCTCTTAGCGTGAACGTGTTTTACGTGTACAGTCGATGGCTTGTTGCTCGTTTGACCTTTGGAGGATTTATGATAGGATTTTCACGTAATACCGTTCCCAGTGTCACGTCGGATGGGCAGGAAACGGAAAAATTTGCGGGGTGGACAGAGACAGCGACGGGATTCCGGATGGAAATCTTCGTTGTTACGATCGACGGTGTCGCGCGGACAATTGTCCCCTGATACCGAACAGCGGCCAAGAAGACGCGGACGGGGACGGAATGGGGGACGCTTGCGATCCAGACGCCGATAACGACGGGGTGTTGAATCCTTCGGATAATTGCCCGTTGCATTCGAACCCGGGCCAGGAGGACATGGACCGCGACGGTCCAGACTCGGTCGGGGACGTATGCGACAATTGCCCGTTGGTCAGAAACCCGAAGCAGGAGGACACGGACAACGATGGGATCGGCGACGCTTGTGACAAAGATATCGACAATGATGGTAAGGGAGACCGGGAACAAACGTAACAATTTGTGTTTTTGAGTCGACAACTTTTTAAGTTCCGTAACATTTTTAACAAATTCCTGCAATATGACAATCCTTGATCATTGGACAGCATAATCATACCTAAAAACTTGGGATACACCCAATTTTGTTTTTACACGATAGAAACGTCCTGGAAAAATACGTGTAAAAAAATATACTTTATATACGGAAAAATAGAAGATTTGTTGTAGATCTAAAAAATCAACAAAGGTGTTATAATAAATCATATCAAAATTCATGTTAGAATCGTATCGTTTTTACATGTTTGCTCTTTTGATTTTATAAACGAAAAATCAAGGACCGTAGACTGTGGATCTTTATGCAAGTTCAGATTTTTATCGATTACTTTACTGAACTGAAATTATGCCACAGATTTGTTTCCTTGATCAAAAAAGGTTTAGTAAGGTCCAACGTGAATTAAAATTTATACTAATCTCTACGAAGATCTTTACCGTACCTGTCATCTGCAGTTCACGATAAATATCATAAAATCTGCAGTCTACACAATGACGAAATCGTTGAATCGACACTGTCCGATTTCCAGGCCTTCCGAACAACCAGGACAACTGTCCAAGAAAGAAGAACGAAAATCAGATCGATTCGGACGGGGACAGGATCGGGGATGCCTGCGACAATTGTCCTTTCTACCCGAACGCGGATCAAACAGATCGAGATGGCGACGGTGTGGGCGACGCCTGCGACAACGACAACGACAAGGACAGGGACGGCATACAGGACGACAGGGACAATTGTCCCGACGTACCGAACTCGGGGCAAAACGACGACGATCACGACGGTATAGGGAACGAGTGTGACGACGATATGGATAACGATGGCGTACCGAACCATTTGGACAATTGTCCTTACGTCTACAATCCGGATCTAAGAGTAGGTAGCGAGTACAGTAGACTCACGTTAAATAAGCGGTAAGAACGGCCCAGCTCACACGCATTAGGCCTACTGTCCACTAAGGCGTCTCGTCATAGACGCTTCATAAACATTTGACGTTTGCAAAGCGAGGGGTGATTTCACCCCTTAAAGTCGCGTCTCAGCCGATACAAAAAAAACGTATCCCTTATTTTTGACTGCTTAACAGACGTACAAAGTTACACCAAAATCGGGGGGGACACTTCCGTGCCTTTCCTTGTCAGAGAGAGGGAACACAATGGTCCCCAAATTTCGAAAAATATTTCACGGTTTTAGAAAATATTGGCGACGCCTGCTGGAACGACTACGACAACGACACTGTGGTCAATATGCAGGATAACTGTCCGAACAACAGCTTGATATGGACGACCGACTTCCGTAGGTACGTGACCATCGCTTTGGATCCTTACGGGACAGCTCAAGATGACCCAGTGTGGAGGATCAATCACGGGGGCGCCGAGATCCAGCAACTCGTAAACAGCGATCCAGGAATTGCTATTGGTAACATTAAATCGGATGTTCGCGGAAGACCAAGAGTTGGGCAAAATGTAATCTGATTACAAAACCTAAATTACAATTAGAGTGCAATTGTTAAGAACAATTACAAATTACTTTACTGCAATTATAATTGTTACTAACTTCGATTATAATTGTAATTGCCAGATATAATTGCAAAGTAAATTATAATTGCAATGTGAGGTAAATATTTAGAATAGGAGAGGCAGCTCCGATGACCTTGACCTTGACATATGTTGTCGAGATCGTCATCCTCAGAGACTTTCAGAAGGTTTTAGTTGTCGCTCGTTTTTTATTAAGAAGTAATAAACAGAAAAAATCTGCAAAATGTAGCAGTTATTTTGACTATTGAAGTGGTACAATGAACTTGACCTTCGCATATATTGTCAAGGTCACCCTTCTGAGACCTTGAGAAGGTTTTAGCCGTCGCTCTTTACTTGTTAATAACATATTAACAAATAAAGAGCGACTGCTGAAATTTTCTTTAAGATCACTCAGGAAGATGACATTTACAACATTTACAATGCCAAGGTCAAGGTTATTGGTCCCTTCAATACTCAAAATAAGTGCTACATTTTGCAGATTTTTTTGTTTGTAACTTTTTAATAGAAAATGAACGACGGCTAAAACCTTCTGAAGGTCCTCCTGAGAAGGACGACCTTGACAACATATGTCAAAGTCAAGGTCATCGGAGTTGCATCTCCTACTCTACATATTTACCCAATGTAATTGCAACTCTAATTGCAATTCACAATTACAATATAATGTGAGATTAAATTACAATTACGTACAATTGTAACTATAATTATAATTATGCAACAAGATTACACTTACAAAGGTACTTCGTATTTGCAATTGTGCAAGACAATTGTAATTGTAATTATAGGTAAATATTCACAAAAAGGGTGCCACCCTCGATTTCCATAAATTTTGAATATATTGTAAAGGTCATCCCATCAATTTCATAAACAACGACCGCCAACTAAAACCTTCGCAACACTACTCAGGGAGATGACCTTCACAACATATTAATGTAATTACAAATGTAATTGATTATGCCCAACTACGCGTAAGACCGATAACGTGGTGTGTCAAAACAATAAAAAAAAAGGGCTTACACCTAATAACACCGAGTATCCTTCCGTCGAACCAGGGCCGGATGTATTCAGCGGCGTGGACTTCGAGGGCACATTCTACATCGACGACAACGCGGACGACGACTACGTCGGTTTCGTGTTCTCGTACCAGGACAACCGGCGATTCTACATTGTCGCCTGGAAGAAGGGCTCGCAACCGTACTGGATGCCGAATCCGTTCCGTGCGGTGGGCGATCCCGGTATCACGTTGAAGTTGGTCGACTCGGAGACTGGGCCCGGCGAGGTCCTCAGAAACAGTCTCTGGCATAACGAGGACACGCCCAATCAGGTGAAGATACTCTGGCGTGATCCGAAGAAGATCGGCTGGAAGGAGAAGACACCCTACAGATGGCAACTCTTGCACAGACCGAAAATCGGACTGATCAGATTCCGGTTGTACCAAGGGAAACAGCTGATGGCCGATTCTGGGAACGTGTACGACTCGACGCTGAAAGGTGGTCGTCTCGGGGTTTACTGCTTTTCACAGGAGAAGATCACCTGGTCGAATCTCCTGTACACATGCAAAGGTGAGAGAAAAAGAAGGGGGGGAGGGAAAAAATGTAAACTAGGACACAGTTTTTCGGTCGTTCTCCATTGATCGTGTAGTTACATTTTGTCAACTGTATAGAGGTGTGCTAACCGGTAGGGTTAAATCGAAATCGATATTAATTGACATTATTACGCTTCTTTCGCTCTCTGACACGACTGGAATTATGTCGATTCTTCCTACCAGGGAACCAAGTTCCCAACCCTCCGTGTCTCCAAGCTCGTATTCCATCACACGCTTACCACATTTAATCCTTCTTTGTTCCCCGTTTCGCGCGCGTTTCCCTGCTTCTCGTCGCTTCGTCGAAACGATCGACCGAACGAACACACGCGTACGAATATCCTATATGTATAATGTCTAGTCGAAGGTAACGTTTATCACCTAATCAACTGGCGGGACAAAACTCGGCGTCCCAGACGCTTTGTCAGACACACGTATCCGCCAAAGGAAATGTAAGGGTGACGCTTTTTTTCGGTGGATTTTGGTAGACTTAGACCGCCCTGGGAAATCGGCAGAACGTGCTGTTTTCTACACTTGTCTTAGAGACAAGGCTAGCTAGTTAATTTTCGAAGAAAGCAAAGTCACGATTGATCGAGGCTCAAGGGATGAAAAATTAATTATCAATCGAATTAATAATGTGTTCCCGAATTTTTACCATTAAGTTTTTCTCTTGATTAACTCTTATGGGATTCTGCATTGATTCAAGGTGAAACTATGCTAAAATCTTTCTTTTATAGATCATCTTTGATGGGAATATCTTTAAACATAACCCTATACACATTTTTTTTTAATTTTTGATCTCTTTAAAAAATATATATACTTTCTTTTTTTTGTTGAAAATAATACAAACAGTACAATAGGAACCAATAGTTTACCTTAAAGTAAAGTCCCTGGAGTTTTATACTTGGTTTCGATACAGTCGTGTTACTTCTTGTAAACTAACGTAATTGAAAATACACGAGAATTGACAATAAAAATGTTTCCAACGTGTGTCTCCTTTGGCGGATATATTGTTTTTGGACCGTTACAAACGTTGTTCCAACGATATTTGCATAGCGTGTCGCACAAATGGTTGCAATGGCCAACCTAGCCGGACAAAGAATTCTAAAAAATCTGTTTAATTTTAATTGTGAAAAGGAAACTATCAATCCCGGCCACGGAGTATTTATATAGCTGTATTTCCGCAAACCGATCGTGCCCGATTTGGCTGAAATTTTGCAGATACCTTCATTTTACATAAAAACAACGCCTGCGAGAAGAATTTTTTGGCCACTGGAAAGTTAAGACCTAAAATTTTAGATAAAGTGTTTACCATTTTAGTGTCATTCCTGTAATTTTGAAAACATCCATACCTTAATTTAACTGAAATTTTGAAAATAGGTTCCTTTTAGATGAGAACAATATTTACGAGAAGGATTTTTGATGACTCGAAAGTGGAGACCCAAACTTTTGCGAAAAATCTTTTACTAATGTAATGTCACTCCCTTCGTTACCGACACAGCATTATACTGATCAGAGTTGGTTAGAGACAGTTGAAGAAAAAGGGTATCATTATTATCTTAATAACTTTTTAACAAACAAGGAGCGATGGCTATAACTTTTATGGTAAAATATTTTTCACAAAATTTTAGGTCTTCACTTTCATTGTAGCCAAAAATCCTTCTCGCAAACATTATGTAAACATGAAGGTATTTGCAAAATTTCCGTCAAATCGAGCATGACCGGTTTTCGAAAATTTCACCGAGTATTTTTCAAACCTAATGTAACTTTTATAGACAAGTAGCCATTACGAATAAATTATTTTCAGACAAAGTTAATGCACAAGTGAAGATATGCAGCCTAACCGTTAGGTGTCTACAATTTTTGCAATTAGTGAAAATTTCTCTTCCCTTATGTTAAGAGTACTCTTTTCCCTAGTACCACAGATATTACGTTCGATTCACTAAATTCTCAGCAGATCCTTAAATATACAGGGTGTCCTGTAACTGGTAAAAGAATCGGGAAAATGGTGGTTTTAAGTGAAAAAAAAAGATTCGAGTATATACTGTAGAATAGAAGTTTCGTAGCTTGCTTTGTTTTCGAGATAACCGATTTTTTTCTGTTGCCGACCGTGGTGACGTCAATGGGAATTTCATTGCAAGCATCACATTTACAACCACTTTGTATCCTTTTCATACATTCTAAAGGGTGTTCCGCGTAAGTGTCGCCACGAAATTTCAGGAATTTCCTTGAACATTAAGAAAAATTTTGTTAAACAAAAGTCAAACTACATCTAACTTGTACAGGACTTTCGTAAATCAGAGTTTATTTATCTGCAGTCTTTCTTTCGAGGATATGAATGTTACCATTTGCTTTTTAATGGGATTACAACAGATATACTACAGAGACAAAGAAACTCTAACTTACGAAAATTATGTGCACTTAAATAGAGTTCAACTTTTGTTGAACACAATTTTTTTATAAAAAGTCTTGAAATTCTATTGGCTACACTTACGTGGGGCACCCTATACACTCGCTATACCTGGAATTTTCGGAAATCTAGTTAGCCTCCATTTCACAAAAATCCGAAAGACGAACAAACGGTATTTCGCGAATGTAACACGATTTCAGACGTAGCTGCTTGGACTCTCTTCTCGATCTCTAACACGTTAATTTGTACTTTCCAGAAACTGTGCCGCAATCGATATGGAACGAGCTGCCCGACAGTTTGAAGCACGTGGTGGCCATTGAACCGAGCAACGATATGAAGCCTCAACAGTCGCAACGTAACGTTGACTACGACTTCTTTTGAATTCCCGTTTCCAACAATGAAAATTGCGAATTTATAACAAGTTACTGTAAAAAAAAAGCCCCCCACGAAATGGCGAAAGTAAAGTTAACGTACCCCATTCTTCCTTTAAATGAGAAACATAGGTCGGACGATCGGAAAAAAAACGTAGAACAACGTTTGCACGCGTTTCGCTAAAACGCCCCTGTTATTATAATACTATGAAACGAAGGAGGCGTTTATCGCTGGAAAAAAAAGAAATTATTGTATGCATACTTGGAAAACATTTGTGTTCGTAACGTAAATAAATGTCGGAATAAATCTTGTATCGATTGTACGAAATCGACTTAGGCTCTACGCAAATAAAACATAAAAAAAAAAACAATCTCTGTGCCGGTTTACAGAAACTACGGTTACAGCTTTTTCTACGCCTCCGTTATGGAACAATCATCTACAACCTCGTAAACACACGGACACAGGTGTGCAATGTTTCCAGACTCAGAGATTACAAAACGGAATACAAGAAATAGGGGGTGAAATTCCGAAAAGCACCCACACCCGATTACAAAAGGTTTAAACCGCCGATCGTTGGTTATTAAAAAGTTATTATCAAAGAAATATTGAAAAACATACCGTAATTTTCCCAGAAATCTGAACCTTTGTAACGTAGTGTCTTTAAAGAAATACCGTTAGTTAAAAAACAAACAAAAAGTACTGTTCAAAGCATTATACCGATCTGGGTTTGTTAGAGCTAGTTAGAAAACAAACTGATAAAATAAATACTTGTTTATTTCGTCGTTGAATTCCACCAAAAATCCGCAGGTGATAATAATGACATTGTTTGAACTGTCTTTAATTAACTTTGAAGCATTATACTGATCGGAATCAGTTAGAAGAAGTTCAACCATTTTTTTTGTTCATAACTTTTTAATGACCAATGATCGGCGGTTTAAACCTTTTGCAGGTGACTCGGGAAGATTACCTTGATAACGTATGTCAAGGTCAGGGTTATCAGGTGAGGGTGCTTAAGAAGGGTGCTAATAAAAAATTCTTTACGAAAGATGTTTCGATTAAATCGTTCGTGTATTAGTTTCATAGTTGAGACGTGTGTCCATTGATTTTAATACTTTGGAATAGGTTAAAAAAAAAATGAACGCTGGAAGTACCGACCAGTAATTCTGTTATAACAGATGATGTCAGCACATAATAATTCTACATGAAACAAACAGATGTAACCCCTTGTTTATTCATGATGAGACATTGTTCAGAAGATCAGAGTTCGGTAATAAATGTCTGATTTCTACTTGAAAATGCCCTCGTAAAACAACCAGAAGGGAGTTTTCAGTAAATATTTGAATTCTCGAGATAACAATCGATAAACAACGGTTGTATTCTTTAAAAAAAACATGGAGCAAAAGATTTCTTTCGAATTGTGTCGATAGTGTGTTTTGTAATCTGCCAACCTCAACGGACGTGTTGAAATTCATAAATGTTCGTATGGCATAGTAGTTTATTTTACTATTATTTCTTTATCTATCTGCAAGAAAATAGTTGACAAACGTGGGAAACACTGCGTTGAGTCCAAAACTTTGCACACACCTGTGTATCATTCACCGACTGACGCAATTACTTTAGGGCAAACGCTATTAACTCATTTTCTATGCAAGTTCATCGACCTCGCGAACGATCATCGCGATTCCCTTATTGGTTCATTTGTTTTATCATCCTACATAACGAATGTCGATGGACGCGACGTTACATTCCCGATTCGCTCGTAAAACACAAAGTTTCGTCGGGTCGTCACGTGACTGAATAAATGAAAAAAAAAACCTAACTAAAAACCTGAAAAAAGGATCACGGAACAATCGACATAAACAATAAAACAATGGATAAATGGACCCTGTAGAGTTTTATAAATTATTAATAATTCGGTGATTCATTTTGATCGATAATAAATTATTCATCATTTACGCACCTTAGTGATAATTATCAATAATTGCGTCAGGAGACGACCCAACAAGCAACACGCTCGCAGACTATCGAGCTTCCATCCTAGGGGATTTCGATCGAGAATCTATCTTCGCTATTTGTTTTTTTTTTCGTTTTACTTTCAAAGTTACAGGAATTGTTTTTCGATGCGAATTCGTTAGGTATTGGAACAACCAGAGGCGATTGAAATCGTTCGTGAACGCGTCAACTATCGAAATGGGGGGCCGACCGTGCGTCCCGACGAGGCGGCCATCTTGAATTCGTAATTTACAAAGAAATCTTCTCTAATTTCAACTATAATAGTAGTACGTATACATATAATATTATATGTACAGACGTCACGAGACTCGAATGGAAATGAACCGACTATCCGGTAACGCTATCGACTATAAAATCTCGCAACGTTGTTCGAGAGCTTTCAGACCCGCAAAATGATAGAGTCTACGCAAAAGTTCCCGCCGCCATTTTGCAGAAAATACGTAGGTATTCTTTTTTTTTTACATTAATCATTATCAACATATTCTCTCTGGTTTTAAACTGTTCGTGCTCCAGTCCTTCAGGCAAAAATCGCTAGTAATGTATTTTCCAATGTCTTCCTCATTAAATTGCATATATCACGTTGCACCTGAAGAAATACGCGATGCCTGATTTTATTCTTAGGATGTTATTTGATTTCGACCGCTTTATTCACAATAAACACGTTAAACAGTAAATTTGAAAAATATAGTGGTAAAAAACACTGTTACTTCTATGAATCTTTGGACATAACCTAAAGGTGCGTATCCATTTGTTGCGTATCATCGTACGGTATCGTATTGTATCTACGATACGATACGAAGATACGCAACAAGTGGATACGCACATTTAGAATCCATTAAAATTATATTAAAAATTAGGTATGTGTGCAAATACTTCTTTGATTCGCTGTGTATACTGCTGGTATCATAAGTTTAAATGAAAATAAATGCTGGATTTACACTTAATGTTGTATTCACACAAGCGACGGGAACTATGGCGGCAACCCAATTGCGCTGTTTGTCTCTCCGTTCGTGTATTTAAGGCGGCCGAATGGCCAGTACGCAACGCCCGAAAGAATTAGAATCGATTAACTGGCGAAATATTAACCGTAACAAGCTACTTCGAATCCTGAATAAAATTCGTCCGATAAGAAATCGCGTCGAACGAATCTCATCTGAGAAAACTCGATACGAACGAGTGCAACCGTTGCATTTGGTTGCGCCTGTTCTGGCAGTGGTCGCTCAGAGCTCGAACTCTAAGGCAGTTGAGCGTTATTCAACGAAAAAATAAAAAAAAAAAAATAAAAAAGGAGCAAGGTGCGACCCGCGAAGATCCTTCCTCTCGACGATTCTCCTTTCGTTTCGATTTGTTCGCAGATACGGAAGAGTGTGAAACGCTCGAAAGTGAAATTAAATTAATCGGTGACATTCCGTTGATCAAAAAGCAGACTGAGTTTTTTCACAGTTATGAAACACAAAATGACAATACGTACGAATTTATCGGAATATTCTTCCCCAATATACTTTTTTTTACGAAATTAATATACCAATATTTATGAAAAAAAAACTGGGCGCGTTCAGTTTTAATGGGCCAATGTATTCTTATGAAACGCACTGTATCAGATTTTTTGATGGAAAACGTTAATGTATCGATTCATTTTTTTTTTTTCATTACACTCCTTTCCGCATTTGTAAACCGTAAGTTGCTCGAAACGGAGAAGCACGCGGATTATTTCGCGGGGAGAACTGTCAACGCTTGCAAAACAATTCTCTGCCGTTCGAGAAAAGTAGGTATGTACAACGAGGAAAAAAAAGTTGGCCCGTACCAAGTGGCCGTTTTTTTTCCTAAATCGACGATACGAACGAGTTCGAGTACACGTAACAAGGATTTAGTTCTAACAAGTGTGTATTCTTTTGATATCCGCGCGATTATATCGACTCTTTGAATTAGATACATACTGTTCTGTTCCCCTTTATAAAACTACAGTCACTTAACTGCGAAGATCACAATCGAAGAAAGGTCAACGATTGACTTCGTTTTGTCAGCGACGATTGAAGTATCACTGTAAAAAATAATTGGTTTCGTAAAACGGAGTAAACTCTGGTCGACAAACAGAAGAAACTACGTTCTGACATTCAGACTTGAACAAAGTTTATATTCGTTCTTTTTGGGCGTCGAAAACGGGTTTTCTTTTTTAAAAAAAGAATATAAATCACTTTGACTATTAACTTCGTCCATACGCATATACAGAGTGGACCACAAAACGTGATTAGCTTAGATTATTTTACTGCTAGGTGCTAGATAGAAATTTTTTTGGACTAATATAACATCATTCAAGGAGAGTTTTATCATTTTTCCAGAGTTTTCAAGGTCACCTTCCGTTTTTTAATAATAATTATGTGTCTTCTAGACCAAAGAAACGTTAAGAAAATACCATTTACCTTAATTAAAACGATGTTCAATATCTAATAGAATAATCTAAACTGATCACGTTTCATAGTCTACCCTGTATATGATTAAATATTCGCGTACTTTTCTATCAAAAAAGAATTCAGTATTAGAAAGGAGTTATAAGGTGGAACGTGAGCCCCGAATTTTTACAATGACTGCCATGTGTAACGATCCTTCCTGAAGGTCTAGACCAAAAAACATTAAAAAATATTCTAAATTCATAGAGTTGTCTTGAAAATTCCGTACGATAAGCACTTCTAACAAAATGGTATCACGTATAAGCACAAATATTGATTTTTTTTATATTTCTTCAGCTTTAATTTATTATTCAAAATACTAAAAATTATATATAATCTATAAACTTGTTTTCAAATACCGTACCATAATCAGTCATAACAAAATGTTAGTACGTAAAAGCGGAACTACTTTTTAACATTTGTTCAGCTGTAATTTACTATTGCCTTTGTTTGCAATCCAATGATATTGGAGATGTTTTAGAAGCTTCCTTTCGAAATTATAAACAATCAAAAATTCACAATAATCAGTCACAAATGGTTTCGACCTAGCGTCGCTTGAAAAAGAAAAAACACCCGTAACTGGTAACAAAAAACGTGATATGCAACACCTACAAAAAGGCAACAAATTTTATAAAAAAAGTTGTTAAAAACTACTTGTTAATATTCACAAGGCCAGATTGTGATCCGTATTATTCACACACAAAATAAACGCTGAATAAACTAACTTAAACTGAACTAAATTTCACTATGGAGAAATAAAAATTAATAGTATAAAAAGACACAAATACACTTTTTCAAAAACTGTCCGCCACTGTCCTGAATGCTGTCGACGTGGATTACGAATGCAGACTGAGAATCAAAGTCACGCGAAGGTCCGTTTCGGTCAAGACCGTTTACCCAGGTATCCTTTCCCCTACCCTTTTGGATCATTGTTTAGTTTACGTATTCAGTGTTTTCTCGTGTATGTGCTGCGATCTGCCCTTGTGGAATTTAACGATTAACCAGGGTTTACTGTCGTGCAACGATTCACGTGTGCCTTGTTATGACACCAGAACGCAGAGTTGGGCACAATTTTATTCGAATAATACATAGTTACATACAGCAGTATCTAAGCTCAACATCTTGACTTTTGGACAGTTAATGAGATTAAGTAATTGTTTTCCAAGTGTCTACCCATTCAAGAAGTAATATTATTTTATTATAAAAAATGTAATTTTCACGTTTAATCGATTAAAAATGGCGAAATACTTTTTTTTATCTTTTATTCGTTATTCGACTCTCTTTATCTAGAATCTAGATGATGAATTTGGCCAATTCTGCGAGAAAATACTGCAGGCTCTTGCGTACAGTTGTTGCATATGACATTTACGGCTACGATATGTATTTTTTTCATGCTATGTGTCCAATGCTTCCCTAATGTTCAATTATTTATAACTTGAAAGGGGTATCACGATATCATCAATCTTGATTCTCATCTTATTTTCGAAACTTAGAATCATCCCTTGAATTTAATCCACCCTGTATAAAATTTCAAGATAGCCATGAAAATATTCAAAACTTACATTTCAGCCTATAACATTCTTAATACTGAATTTTTGTTCAACGCGAAAGTCTTTAATCTTCCTTAACTTCGCAACTGTATTCGTGTACTATATAATATTGTATAACTCTATCTCTGATCCTATATCTGTATATCAGAATGAAAACAAATAAAAGAAAAAAAAAGTGACAACATACAGCTTCATTGAAATGTATAACACAAAGAAATAGGTATATAAACTTTCGTTCAAAAATCTTACGTGAAGGAACTACTTCACCATAAATATCCTTTTTAGGTTATGTGTACATTGAAACACGAACACACTGCAGAGGTTAAACTTGCATATGTATATGTACCTATAAATATATAAATGAAATTACAGAACAAAATGTTTTCTAAATTATAAAAAAAAAATTCAGATATTTATGTGCCACAATTATTCGACACAAAGAAAAGAACGATTGGAAAATTCTAAATCCCATTATAGTAGATGCAGGGACTTCGGAACGTCGATCTCGAAACGACAGATATTGACGGATTTAAAGGAACCGAGGCAGGATCACGAGCACGAAAAATACAAGACTAAACGGAAACGAATAAACCGGGACGAGTCGAGGGAAGACGATGGAGGCAAGGCACTCTGGGGCCCGCATTCGACGAAATAATTCCCCTCGGATAACGAGGTCCCTGCGCCGACCGGAACGATCTCCCCGATGTCGTCTTGCTCGTGCTCGTGTAGATCATCGACTATTTATAGAAACGCCACGTATTCTCGTATTCCACTCGACTATTCTAAATTCGACGCGCGTCCTCCAGACATTTCACGGTTAGTGCGTTTTTAAACAATAACATCTCTTAGGCAGTAATGCAAGGCTTCCATGAAGCTTCGCGACGCTTTAATCTGTGAACGGTCGTGTCGTTCAGGCTTTTATCGTGCTCCTAGTCACGTTTTTTCGACCCTTACAACTCGTTTCCAAGCGTTGCATCCTCAACGCTGGAACAGAGTAACTAGAGTTCGTAACGGAATCGTTATTACAGGTCCATTGATCGAGTGACACCTAATGAGGAGAATCAGCTCGCCAATCGCGATTCTCAATCTCGTGTCAAATATTTCTTTCTTCTCTCTACTCTGTTCGAGACTGGTTTTCTTCTTGAACGCTGCTAACGGTAATGGTCTCGTTAGCGAAGCTATCCGGCTTGGACCGGGTCAAAAGCTCTGGTCACCAGGCCTCCGTGTACCTTACGTCGAACTCTTGCAGCGCTGGTAAACACTTCTTCAGTGACTCGAACGTCTGAATGGACAACTTGGTGCTATTCAGGTTCAATTTTCTTAAGCTCGTCAATGCTACACAAACGGGAATAACATTGGTATTGTATTCGCAATCAAGGTAATTCACAAAAAGTTCTACTAACCATGGCAGAAAGTATTTGATCGAGGGTTTATATATGTGTTATACATTGTTTTGCAAATGGAAAATATGGTACATTAGCAGTAGAAAGACTGGAACTTCTATCTACAGAAGTGTTTGCACTCCCATCGAAATAGGTTTATTCTCGTTTCATTTTGTCTAATACTTTCTGTCAGAGGTAGAGTAGTGCATTTCGTAACTGTATAATTTCCGTAGAAAATCACGTATTAACTGATAACATACCGACAAATAAACAACAGATTCATGTAAATGGGGGCGTACGAAATTCCTACATTAGAATTTCATAATACTCTTTTTCAGGAAACTAGTATAGTTATGAAACGCAAAGAAGAAATAGAGAGGCAATTGCCTACAGGCCAAAGTGGAGATCCCTTTGTCGGAGACAGGTGTCTCGCAGAGGTTCAGAACCTGTAGCTTCTGCAGGTGTTCACTGATCATTTGCAGTCCCGTGTCACCGAACTGCGTCGCCCATAGGTTCAGATACCTGAGGGCTGGCAGTTTGATCAGTTGCTCGGCGCAAGCGGACGTCACCGAGGTGAAGGCCAAGCTGAGGCATTCAAGATTCCCGAGAGCTCCTCCCCCCAGCAAAAGAGCTACATCTGCATCCGTCGCGCGAACAGGTAGCGTCAACTTCCTGGGACCGCCTTTCTGTTGCTGTTTCAAAACGTAAAGTACCAAGGTCTCAGCGATTTTTTAAATTTCACGGTGGTATCCCCCCCCCCCCTCAAAGCCAGAATGTCAGGTGAGGGCTTCAAAATAAAGGCCACGTGACGTCACATACACGTAGATAGAATTTTATATATGTATATTAATAGTAATTGTGCACACATGCGAGAATTGCTATAGTGTGTTCATCGTCCACAGCTTCTGGCAACCCAGCTCAACAAAAACAATTCTGGTCCGTCTAGAGCAGTGTTTCCCAACGTGGAGCAATTTAAATATTTGGGGGGGGGGGGAATTAACAATTATTAATATTCGTCACCTCATCAACAACAGTCCTACCTATATGGTTTTGTTTATATTTAAAGCAGATATTAATGTGAAACTGTTTCAGAACATGATTTACTATTATGCTAGGGGGGTATCGAGGTCTTTGAGGCGTTGTGGTGGGGAATAAGCCAAAAAAAGGTAAGAAAGAATGGTCTAGAGCCATTATGGCTATACACTATCAACATGTTTACCCACCAATTCTTGCAAATTCCTCTGTCTCTGGCAGAGAGCAGCGTAACGTTCTTTACCGGACGCTGTGGACTCGAGAGCGTTCACTATCTGCAGCCGGGCCTCCTCGTTCGGCAACAGATGCCACTCTAACATCAGACAGAGGGCCTCTTGCGCGGCCTCGCATCCTCTAACCGCCAAAAGCACGCAGTCGTCCCGCGCCTGTTTCATCAGCGTGCCGATGAACCTTTTCCGGCGACAGCAACAGGCCAGCAATGTAGTCAACTGTTTGCACAGGATGCAGACATCAGTATCCGCGAGTAAACAATGACATTCTGGGTTTATGGTGTATACCCAATATAAGCTCTGTTGGCGGCTGGCGCCTAAAATTGCGAATCAATATTTGGACATCACATTCTGTGTAGAATAAGCCTCTCGGTCGGAGCATATCTGATGACTTTGTTTTTTAAATAAATAACTAAATAAACTAATAGTTGTTTTTACAATTTCATTATACACTGTTGCAGAGCATTCGAATCCATTAAATTTTCACTGCAACAGGTTTTTGATATCCACTATAATTTTCGGTGCACCGATGTTCCATTGTGAGTATTATTTGCAGGTCCTCCCACTTTTCCCAGTTTTCCCACACATTGCAACGGGACTGAGGGTCCCAACCACAATTTCTTTTGATCGATAGATCAACCTTTATGAACAAGTGCCTTGTACTTATACCGCCAAAAATACGCACACACACACGGTCCTTCGGATAGGGAATGAAGATAAACGCAAAACAGCCTTAGGTAACACCTTAGGCCTAGGTTACCTTCGGTAACACGCCTCTGTCGCATACAACACATACACTAACGGCCAATAATATGGGACCATGATTTATAATTAAAGAAAGATGAAACTATTATTCTACAAAGTGTTAATGAAGGAACGTGTTAAAACTGATGGAAAGTGATTTGTATATGTATTGATTGCGTAATTTTTATTTTATGAACTCCGGTCAGTGACGTGTTACCCAAGGGAATTGATCTTCTGAAGATTCCTGATCCTTCACAACAAAAAAGGACACATACCATCTCGCCGAACAATTCCCCCTGATCAGGACACGCGGGACTGGACGGCACGGCGACGTGAATCCAACCGGGCCGCGGTTCTCTGACCGGAAGCAGTACGCGGTGAACGATGCATCTCGAGTCCATCGCCAGACGCTTGATCACGCACATCAGTATCGACTGCTGGACCTCCTTCGTAGCCAGAGCTTCCTCTGGGAAGGGTACCGGTTGCAGCAAAGCGCCGAAACCGGGTCGCCAATCGGCATATTCCGATCTGGAAAACGGAATGGCTCGTTCAGGTTGTTCCAACGGTTACTGTTGGCAAACACCTCCGTCGTATTTGCTTGCAGCAATTCTACAGTGGATGATCAAATTATTATGAAACTTTGAAGTATAATTTATTTGAACTTTAGTCAAGAACGGAATTGAAAATACGCTTGTAATGATACCTTCTTCGTTACAAAACGTACTGTTATGTGTTAACGAGCATATGAGAAAAGACTCCTCGGTCTCTTTCGACTCAAAACATCAGACATTATACAAATTCTATTTTTGTTCGATACTCACGCGACATTTAATACCAACAGGTAACAATCCAACGGAGGCAAAGGGGGCGATGTCGAGGATCCCTCGCTTTCTGGTAGGGAATGACGAACCGCATCGAATCTAAAATCGAACACGAGACACAAACGATGTTACTCGATCTGATCGTATTTAACACTTAGAGTACGGTGACCGAGTCCGTTTGGATCCGAGTGTTTAAAAACCGTAGACAAATCAGAGCTCGGCCAGCAGACTCGCGTTCTGATTGGTCGGGGTTTTCCGTTAATATCTCGTTAACAAAACCTCGGATAACATTTTCGCTAAGGAAATAGTTGTTCCAAATCATCCCAGGAGTCGAACCTATTTTGGGACACCCTGTAGACTGCACGGTCAGGTTGGGCGGTCGTCCCAACTTTATAAAAAGACAGGCTGCTTTCAGAGGACCTGCTATCCCTTTCTGATACAGCCGAGTCAACCACTTAAACCCGAGACCCTCAGAACCTCACTCCCCACCACTTAGATTTAAAAGGGAAATGCCAAGTCCTCCAAAAATTATCTATACCTCTTTCCAAACTTGGGACTACTCCCGTTTTCAGGGGGATGCGAGAAGTCTACATATATTAAAAAACTAAAAAAAACTAAATTTATGGATAAAACACACGAACCTGTGAAAAATCGCAGCGACGCAAACGGATACCAGATTAGGAAGCACCCGAGGATGTGGACAGTCGCTTCCTGGTCCGTGAACGGACGCGATATAGTCTCGGATCGCTTTCTCGCCGTTCTCCGTCTCGTACAGAGCGGCCACGAACGCTTGCAGGAGCTTCCTCATGTCTGGGGATTTGCCAAAGTCCACGGTGTGCTTCAGGCATCTGGTGATCGCCGGGCTCATCACGGACACCAGGGAGGACCGTGGATGACGTTGGACCAGCTTGACGAGAACCTTCGCGAGACAGGCGGGAAGCGCGACCTTCTCGAGAAGCGGCGACACCACGTAGAGGATTGTCTCCGCCCAGTGTTTACGGTCGTTCTCCGACCGAGATGATAACTCCTCGTTGGACATTTCCTCTGTTTGATTTGACTCCTCCGCGAGCGAATCCTCGAGAAGCTTCGCCACCGCCTCCAATGGCGCTGCGGTCACACGTTCGTCTTGGAGCGACGTCCACAGAGCGAAATCCACCATCGACTTCAGCTCTTTCGCCATCACTTCGTCCCGCGCGTTTAATGACACCAGCTGCTGGTACTTGAAGATACTCCTCTAGTGAACGGAAAGCAGAAAAAGGGGCATAACGTCAGAAGCCATTCCGTAAGTACAGTGGACTCTAACTATATTGCCATGGTCGGAGCTGTAGGGGAGTAAAATGGCAATGAGTTCAGAGCCCCCTCCATACTAAGTTCCATCGTCATAGCTTTGGCCTCAGCGCCTGCGCAAAAGTGGATCGTGCTGGTGCGCCGGCGTACGCAACGTGGTGGGAGAGCGAGTTTGTGGGCTCGAAAGTACGTGTGAAGGGAAAGTGCCTCGCGGGGCAATATGTTTAGTGGCAATATAGTTAGAGTCCACTGCAATATTAACCCTTTGCACTCCAAGCACTTGTTTTATGCTATCGACCAGCAACTCCGTGCACACTACTGTAGTAAAGCTTTCGGAAACAAGAAGTTTTATTTCGAAAGAAAAAATTACAAATGTTCATGAATTGATTTAATTTCTAATGTAAGTAAAATTTAAATTTTAGATATTGAAATTCTTCATGGTATGGTACCACTGAAACCAAACTCCTATGTGCATTCTTGGTTTATTTGGACAAATATCGCGGTAATCCTTCGTTTGACGTTTCCTATCCTTTTTCCTGTCTCTTAGAACATACAACGCGATCCGTCTTTTCAGATTTTCTCATTACACTAATTATAAGCTTTCCATATTAACCTGATTTCAGAGTTGGAAATGGAAGCCCTTGATACTTCCGTGAAGAAAATATTCTACGTCGACTAACAGTTTTACATATTTCAAGTATATCAGTGGAGTTTTGTTTTTGTTATATTTTACAGATTTATAAAGAATGTATGAATTGATACCACACAACTTCCATTTCCCAAAAGAACAACTTCCACCACCACTTGAGATTTTTTTAAAAAGCAATACCTGCACCCTTATTTGGCCTGTATCCCCCTGGCGGAGCCAACGGACTGCAAAGGGTTAGATACTATTTGACTAGGGGAGACCGTGGCTGGTTGCCTATAGGGGCTGGATTAACTAACGTCAGATTCACATTAAGAGTCAAAGGTACGGTGAAATCACGATCAATCTGAATTTAGACTATATTTGTCTCATTGGATTACATGTGTGCGATAAAAACCGCTGCTGGATTTGACGTGATAATTGTTAATAACTTTGCACAGACATGTGCAAATAAAAATCGGAATTTTCGGTGTACCTACCGATGTTCCCTTGCGAGGAAAAAATTCACTCTTATACAGTGGGTGATAAAATTATTATGAACACTTCGAAGTACCACTCATTTGAATTTTGATTAAGAACAGAATCGAAATTTACATTTATAATACTAGTACCTTTTTTATTACAATGCATGCTGTTGTGTTTTTACTGACATCTATGACAACGATTATAATTTCTCAAAAAACATATGTATCAATATTTCGTCACGTTACTCTTTGCATCTATAATTACTTGAATCCTCCTCGGCAAACTATCAATATTTTTTCGACACAATATAATTTAATAGTGTTAGAATAAATAATAATCAAGGAAACCAACAATCATCAAACGGAACACATAAATCAGGAGTAACAAGTCATATTTACGAATTATCAACGGTAGCACAATTTGGTAGGTTCTCATTATACAAATATTCGTCGTGCTGTACACTCATTACTGAAGATACCCAAGTATAGTGAAATTATGTATCTATATGCTAAGAAAAAAAAAAAGAGTATACGTCATTATTATTAAAGTCGTAATAAAACCGAAACCATACAGTATGTAATTTCTCTATCTGTTCATAATAATTTCATCACCCAGTATAACACTAAGGTCCAATTGTACACTGGGGGATCACAGTGAACGATCACACGATTAATTTACCTTCCACAGTATCGAATGATACCATTGGTCCCTCGTGTAAGCATTATTCGCTTGGAGAAGAAGAGAACTGTCCGGCAGCACTATGCTCAGGCAGTTTTTATAAGTGGGATCCCATCTAGCGATGGCGTACCTTCGAACGTCCGACATACTGCAGTACGGTATTGGGTGCTGAAGAAATCCCGTGGGCTAAACAACAAATATTGACCTGTCCTGATTACATGGGTAGCAAAGAGAGAGAGAGAGAGATGGTAGTTCCGGGAAAACGAAAGAAAAACAGGGCAGAAATGACATTACTTATCTCTCCACCCCCATACGTGATCGTATTATTGGTGGAACAAATATCTGTGATTAACCTGTAGCCCCATTAAGTGGACCCTATAAATCATACTTTCGACAAGAATCACAATAGTGATATTAGTAGATTGTTCTCGATATGTATGAAGACAGAACTTGCGGTTTATATTAATCAATTTATACCTTATTTTTCAGTGTCAATATACTTCGAATTTTAGAATAATTTTCTGAAAATTCTATCCTTCCAACTTCCACTGATGTTTGGTAATGTTACTCGACCGCGGATGTTTGCGTAAATATAGAATTTTGTTAGTTAACCAACGGAAACTAGAATCCAATAGGAATTTATTTACTTCGTTAAGGGTTCTATCAGATTGCAAACAAAACGAAAATCTCGTGAAACTCAACTTCTCATTATAATGACATCTGGACAAACAGAGTATATTCTATAAATTCCAAAAATTTACGATATATCAATATTATGAATATCGATATTTTTTGAATAATATTTTTCATGTATAAATATTTAACGAAAAAATATATATCGATAAGCATTATCGATATTAGAAGTAATTAGAACCATATCGCACATCTCTAATGTATCGTCATCGTAGTAAGTAGAAACGGAATGCAATGAACAGACGCGTAAGCCAAATCCTGCTCAATTGCACGCGTGTCCAGCAGATTTTTCAAAGTCGATTCTTCTCAAAAACGAAGTCTCTGATCGAAAAATTTTATTTTATATTTTCGACATATTTTTTCACGTAGAATCACACCCTACCCGGTCGTACCACCAATTACATGACACCCTGCATTACTGATATTTTCGACTACCGTTAGCTTATACAGGGTGAGTCACTTAACCATACCACCTAAACTCTTGCATTCTGTTTCTACTTACTACCATGGACGAACGCACGCGTTTCCAATTCATTTTTTAATTCGATTTTCTCGTAAACCGAAACCCCGAACGAAACAAAATTAATTCTATATTTTCGACTTATTTTCTCACAAAAAATTGTTCACTTTTTTTATAGTTATCCCTCGAAGTAACTTCCACGTGTCAGAGAATACCCTCTATACATTTATCCCACCAGGAACACGGTATACACGTTTATATGCATTAAAGTCATTAACCCTTTAACTTCCAGTGTTGCACCGGTGCCAACGCCCAATGTTAAAAATGCGTCAAATTCTGTCACTGGTTAATATCTACTCTAACTACACGAAACGCGAATAATTACTTTTTACTTCGAGACAAATCACGTACAAAAAATATCAATTATTATTCAACCGACAGCGATTTAACTTTTGCTAGACGATATTAGGTACAGTAAATCATCGATAAGTGTTTGGAAAGCTCCTCCGGACTGACAAGGAAAGGTCCCCAGGTGTAACGCCGTCTTCTCAATGTGGTTTAACACAGTGATAAAGCTTGGAATTCCAAAAGCAATCGTATTTGTTTCAGCCGCATACGGCCATTAATTTACGAAATATTTAAACCTTTCAGACCTGGTGGTCACATTCGTGTACATGGAGTTTTTACGCTGATATTTCGGTGAGGATGAATGTTTCAGAAATTCAAACACGCTGTGCACACGAAATACAGTACGATTCCATTGACCATTTGCCTTTACATGATGTTAGACCTCCAATTCGATGCAAGTTCCCAAAAGTCAATAAAAGTCCGCTGTCTCGAAGGAGAAAGAAACTGTTTCTTACAATTTCACACAAGGTCTTGGATACAGAGTGTTGCAGATTCATATTTTTCTTATAAATTTGAATTTTGTCATGTCCTTTCATTTGACCGTTCTTAAGGTGCGTATCCACTTGTTGCGTATCCTTGTATCGTATCACCGTTGTGTATCAATGTGGATGGACAAGCGTTGCATCGTTGCGTATGAAAATGTATGGTGATACTATACGATGATACGCAACGGTGATACAGTACGCGGATACGCAACAAATGAATACGCATCTTTAGGTGTTATGCGATACTTGAATCCTAGTGTACCCACATTTGAACATTTAAAATCTACAAAACTATGGTACATATAAACATTTGTTTAAAACAAAACAACATCTAAACAGTCTACTGAGTTAAAATGTCCAGTGAAATACTTATTTTACCCTTAAAAGAAAATTCAGGTCCGAAAGGATTAATGTTCCGTGACGAGGAACCTTCGAACACTCATCGCTGATTTCCTGTACCTTCACGTGTGCTTTAAAATTCACGATAATAAATCATCGAGCACTCGTCGTTTCACGGGTGAACCTCGGGAACAACTCACCGTTCTCGACGAGATGCAAGTGTCGTTCAAATACAAACGATGCGTTTCCCACCGTCTCAAGAACTTGCTCGACAGAATTTTCCGGACCAGCGTCTTGGAATGATTCAAGAAACACAGCTGTATATCCCCCTCCTCGATCGGTTTGAACCTCGGTCCTACCGGCCCGGAGCTCGGACTCGAGCTCGACGAACCGCTGGTCGGCGAACAACCGGCGCTCCGCCTCTCCAAGTTCGGGCAGGATCTCGCCGCGGGCAGAGAGAACGAGCCGCCGTCCAAACATTCCGGCTGCAAGCTGTCCAAACGGGAGCATTTCTCGCCGGCGAACGATCCTCGTGGCTGTTTTACCAACGACACCGTGTCGTCGCCGGCCTCGTGGTTACCAGCGGTGCACAACTGTGGCGAACTTGTGCTGGTCATCTCCTGTCGCATCGCTCCGCCGTTCACGCACAGGAAATTGTAATATGGGACTGGGGACGATGACAGGCCCGCGGTCAACGGTCCTGCGGGACTCAACGGTAACGATGATCCTTCCTCCGTCTCCGTGCCGCCATGGTAGCTAGTCTCATTTTCCGATTCCGGAAACGCGTTCTGCAACGAGGATATATCGTTCTCTGATGCAGCCGCGGTTGGTCTACGATTCCTAGCGTTGTCCTCCGTGTCCCCAACATCCACCGAATCGATCAGCACCGAAGGTGACGACTTCGTGAACAACGTGATCGTGTCCCCTGTAATGGTCTCGTAATCCTCGTGTGGTTCTCCCGAACAATCGGGCGATTCGGTGCCGATCGAGTCATTTGCAAATGAAGGGGATGGAGACGTGGATGTGGATGGGAATCGTGTGGTTTCCTTGTTGCTAAAATTCGTCGACTCCGTGGACCGTAGACGGAGCAAAAGCTTCCTGCAACGACCGTTCCCTTTTGGCGATCGTTTCTTCGGCGAGGAACCACGTGTCGACGACTCACGATCCTCGTCCTCTGAGAGTAGCTTCCTATGATCGTTAGTGTCACCTTGTTGTACGTGAATGACTGAATTGGCCGTCAGTGAATCGGGCCCAGGGGACAGAGTCACTGGGTCTAGGTAGTCGGCTTTCACGTCCGGTAACGTGTCGGTGCTGCCGCTACAATCGGAGATCGATGGCTCCTGGTCGATGTAACCGATGGAAGAGCAACCAGAACCCTCGCTGGTCGCCTCGGAGCCTCGTCTCTCCCGAGATTTCGAGGCAGATGGTGTCGAGGATTTGTTCGTCGGGAGTATCATACCGATCGTGGAACCGGTGGTCGGCTTCGCGGACGACAGTGGCGATGCGAGCACGCGTGACGCCCGCGTGAATGGACTTTGAAAACAGAACATATTTCTTTCTCTCTTTCCTCGAGTAATCGGGCCGCTCTCTACGCGAGTTTCGCGTTATTGCGCACGCGGAGAATAGCCTTGGATGAGCGTCGACCGCGCAGCTCCTCTTCCGTTTTCCGCCCCTCGTCGTCGTTGGATTCCCTCCTGGGGGGGTAAACGCACCGATGAACGAACGCTTGAGAGATTTCGTAACTGTTACAGTCGAATTTTAAATGGTAATGGTATTAATGAATACTTGGCCATATGAAAGTTACGATTCTTTTATAATATATAGATACCTTTTTAATTCATTTAATCATTTTACGTGTTGTTTAACCTAAAAATCGTCTGAGTTCGGAACATAATATTATTTAAACATCTATTTCATTGAAACAAGTAATCTTATACATTAAACACCTATGAAGAATTAATAATTAATAATTAATTAAAATCTGCGAACAATTCCAGTGGCCCTACAACTGTCACCTCGAAAGTTAAAGTAATTCTTATACCTACACTTTAACAATCCACTTTGTGCTATTATAGATATACGTTCAAGAATAAAATTAGGGCTCAGCTTTTATTATAATTCCACTATCGCTTCTTGCTTACGTAGTGGCGTTTTTGACGTTCAAATTGTACTTTTATGTTTCAACATTAATTTTTAAATACCAGATACATACAAGTACATATATTTCTTTATTTTTATGTAAATCGGTGTTCCAATTTAGTAATAAATGTTTTTGTGCACAATTCTTTGTGTCGTTTTTATTAAGTAAAATAAATAAAGTGGCAGTATTTGGGATACTGGCAGTAGTTGGGACATTTACGCTAGATTCGATTTTGAAAAATTGGAAAAATGTAAGGTAATTGTGCAGTTTAGCGATTTTACTCAATCTTAGCTATTTAACTGCGGTTTTGTTTTTAAATAGCTCCAACTTATCACTAAAATGACACATCAGGCGGAAAAGATCGAATAAGCAATGTACTTTTGTTATTTCTGTTTAAAAAAGCGTAGCAAATTATTCGGAATTATACATTCAACACCGATTTCAATGACCTTTGGATATGTTACAGAACTCAACATTTTGAACAACTTTTTCTTGTACATGCTAGCACCGATTAGGCTTAATTTCCGAGATATTTATAGCACTAGCTAAAATTGAGAATGACCTCTAAACACATGTAATGACATTTTATTTTTATAAAATGAGTTTATATAGCGGAACATACGTTTACTAGATAGAAATAATAAAATAGGAAAAAAAACGTAAAAAATATTTTCATTTTTAAGAGAAGTATTTTAATTTTAATAGATGCCTCAAAAATCGCATATTTTTCCAGATATTTTTGGACGGTATCCAGAAAACTTTTAAGGTACTATAAGGGTTAATTATCCCTCAGACACCACACCAAGGCGAATTTGCACCAGCGAAACATCGTATCGTTTGTTCGTTTTGAAACTTACAATTCTCTTTGTAACAAATTTTCATAGTTATATTATTTCTCACTTTTGCTATTATTACCGTTCAAATTCCGGGGAAATTTTATCCTAAAAAATATGTTACCAGTTCAATTTGCTTTTATAACTCGTCCGAGTTCTTGATCAAACATTCCAAATGCACTAGCGTGGGGTGTTTGCGTATGCTGAGGGTGAGGCGTGGTTTTCTGAGAGTTAAATTAAATAGAAGGAAGTACAGATTTCACCAGTGAATGGAACAAATATTAACCCTCTAACGGTGAGGTCCGTGTCGTATCTGACCCAAGTTATAGTTCCTCATGTGCTGTCTCCATTCTATTTTTTTTTATTTTTTCATTATTCTCGTTTTATTATATTATTATACGTTATGTCACTGAATTATTATTCCTTATGACATAAATAAACAAAAATAAAAGTTCAAGATCATAACTTCTTTTTACCCATCTGAAAACAGCAAGAAAGAGCACGGGTCGGATCGGACCCCACCTTACCGAGTACGACCTTAAAATCCAGACCTTACCATTCGAGGGGTAAATAAATGAACATCTCTAACCAATGTCGCGCGCGAAAATTGAATGTGAAACCAAGGAATTTAAAAAAAAAGCAATTATTCAATTATTCGTTGATTTGAATAACGTAATTTACTTGTTTTCCTATTATAATGTTCATTCACTGGTACGTGTTCATTTGCTGGTGTATCCACCCTATATCCCACTGACCCAGTTCCTGCCCCCCGCGCGGCAGTCCGTCCGTCCGTTCTCGTCTGTGTGTCCCCGACCCGATATTCCGGGCGAAGAACACAATTCGGGTGAAAACCGCCGCCGCGGCTCCGCGGACGTCACGGGGAGAGAGAAACAATTGTCCTGAATTTTCGTGTCGCGGGGCAGGAGACCACGTCGCCAGGCAGCGCCACGAGCGTCACCCCGCGCGTATATTCTCAAATCGAATGTCCTTTTCTTCACGGAATCACTCTTAAGGAGGAAGGAGGGAAGGGCGAGAGTCGATCAGGCTCTATCTCGCTCACTCCGGGTGAATCTCCTTTGGGGCCTAGATACGGTCGTTCACCATGTCTGTTTCCCTGTCGTCGTTTCGAGTGAAGTCAATCGACGGCCGTGTTGTGTGACAGGGGCGACGGCGGTGTCGTCGACGAACATTCACGCTGTGACATACCGATGGCTCTCTTCTATTCTTTCCACGACCGGACTAGTTAGGCTGGAACGTTCAATTTTTTCTTGACTCGCTGCAACGGGTCACGACGACACATTTTGACCACACACGCGACGAACACGCACACACACGCATACACACATACACACGCACACACACCAGTGGTCACCGTGTCACACACAAGACGCGGGTCGTTTGTCCCCGTTGGGGTTTTTCGTGTGGTCTGACGTGATGATACCGACGCGCGCGGAACACGGCGGAACACGACGGCCAGGGAAAACGGGTACTCTCCACCGCCGCGACACTCCCCCTCCCCTCCCCCCTTGGAACAACACGCGCGCAACGATAGTCCTCCCCGTTCTGGTGCGCCAGTTTCCACCGCGGGTCGCGAGAGCGAATCGAATTCGTGTCCGACGAGGAGATCCCTTCGAGTCGATGAACGGGCCACCGCCGTCGTCGCGTCGAACGGAAACGACGGACGTGAAACCAGAGCGAGATGGAGAAACGGTGGTGCAAGGAAAGAAGAGAGATAGAGGAAGGAGAGGCGTGTGTTTCCAACGCGGCGAAGCTTAAATGTCTTCCTCTCCTCTGACACGATTGTGTGCGAGAACACGCTGGCAGGTGGGGACGCTTGGGGTTAAGAAGAGAGGGCGTCGCGGCGGTCGGCGACGTCTCGCGGCCGATCAATGACTAGACCAGCAGTCGCGAGTTCGCCTCCAATTGCCGCGCATTCCCGTCGCCTCTTCTCCTCCTTCTGTTCTCCGTTTGCGTTTTCCACGGGGACACAGACAATGTTTTTCTCGAACTAAATATTTTCCCGCCCCCTCCGTGAGAACAACACTGGCCAGGAACGCTTGATACAGCGGTCCTGTGTCACGTTAACCCCACTTTTGTTGCTAGTACACACTCGGCAGCGGCAAGAGTCGTTTCCGAAACGGGTCTATTTCTGGTAGACTCGATGTCTTTCTAGTCACTCGCAATGGATCGCTCCTCAACGTATCGTTGTTCTCTATCAATATTCTACCAAAAATATCGATGTGAAATCGTTCTACACACGGTACACGCGCCTGTCAGGATCGTACAAACATTTTGAGAAGCATTAACACCCGGTAACCACGAAACCACGGCGTTCATGTGTATCTCGACGTATCGTTGTTCTATCGATATTCTTTCGAAAATATCGTTGTAAAACCGTATGCACACGGTGCACACCGGACGTCAGGTCGTACGTACATTTTCGAAATCATTGACACCTCGTGACGACGTCCACACGTGCACCTCGACGTATCGTTGTTTTTTATCGATACTCTATCGAAAATATCGATGTGAAATCGTTATACACACGGTACACGCGCGTGTCAGATCGTACGTATATTTTCGGAATCATTGACACCTCGTGACGACGTCCACCTCGACGTATCGTTGTTTTCTATCGATATTCTGTCGAAAATATCGATCTGAAAAATCGTTGTACACGCGGTACACGCGCGCGTCAGCACTTACGTACATTTTCGGAATCATTGACACCTGGCAACCTCGTGACGACGTCCCACACGTGCATCGTATGATACCGATCGATTCTAGCCGTGTGGTAGGTAGCCTGGTGATTACGTCAAAACTCCGACGCGGTATTTGCAAAACCATCTGGGTCTACGTAACGGAAATCGACGACGTGCAACACGCCGCGCTGTTCGCCCCCGCCACACACCGAACGACGCCGCTTTATTACCAGTCACCTTGATCGTAAACTTGACGGGGAACGTAACCCGCGTGCGCTCGAAAGGCGAAACGACGTGAAAAAAAACCGTGTAGCCTACGAAACAGAGCAGCCGAACCCGTCCATCTGAAGGGAAGGGAACAGGTTTGCTAATCCTTGAGACTTCCCGCGGCTACGTGACACGCGATGTACGTACATACATATGTACGTTCGCGCGGGAGTCGTCGGACATGCGATTTATCAAGCCACGCGAAAGTGTATCTCTGTTTGAACCGTTTAAAATCTCTCTGGTCGTTCTGCTTCAACTGTAAAATATACAGGAGTTTGGAATTTCTCGAAAAAGTCCATGGTCTCGACTAGCTTTTGACGTCGACCAGTCACAAACTGTAATGGCCTCACGGCTGGTTTCTAAAAAAAAAACGATAATGAAACATACCGACAGGCTTCACGTATCATTTCCAGAACTGGTTTCACTACGCGGATTTTTACCGGTTTCCGAACGAATCACAGTTTTTGCTCAGTCTCCAATGACGTCGACGCAGATGATTTCACTCAATACACCGTATCACACGACACTGCGATAAAATAGCCCTCGGGCGCCTGTACACGAACGATTTAACGGTTATATAATCGTTTCGAATGAAAGGTACAATTTCCTTTTAACGGTTATCACACACGTGGCCTGGCTCTCCGAGGCAAGCACATATACCATACAGGTCGAAGCACAATATCGCGGGGAAGGATTTTCCCGCGCAAAAACAAAATTACACGTCACTGAATTGTATGTATTCACAATAGCGAGACTAGAGAGAAAGAGAGAGACAGCGACACTCGATTGACGTTGTGTTGTTCAGGGAATCTTCGAGCAAGGAGAACCGCACACGTTCGCACCGCGGTCACGACTGTAACACCATACCCGATAATAACAGCGTTCAACTTCTCTTTCAATAAACCGAAGATATCGTGCCCCAAGGTCACGGAGGCTCAAGCCGTCTGTCCTTTCGCTTTGAGGAACCGAGAAATGCTGCCTCGTGCATTGTTGAAAATTTATCGAGGAGTAAACAACGGGTTTTATACGTTTATCCAGTGTACACAATGATGGAAAATTCAGCGTGATAAGCAGTCTAATAACGGAGGTTTTGTTATTTTGATTTAGAAAGAACCTGATGGATGATCTCTCAACACTTTAACTGTCGCGTGATCGTGGATCGCACGATTTATGGTGTGACAAATTTTTGTTCAGACCCGCGAAGATGCAAGAAAATTCAAAGAAACTTGTTAAAATAATTCATATTTTAAAATAGTTTTCATTGAAAATAACTATTATGACAAGTTTTGGTATTTGGCTTATATATATATGTATATATATATGCTTTGCTTTGACAAAGGATGTTAACTTCTACTGTAATGTTTTGTGTTCTTGGCAGTCGAAAGTGTTAATAGAATGAACAAGTATCCGGTCCTAGTTTCTATATAACGTATTAATTCATAAGAATCTGTATTTGCATAACCATCCGTTGTATATTCATGATTTGCAATGGAAACTTACTGTATTTTCGCGAAAAGGCTCGGATCAAAATGGGAACGGTCGAAGATTCTGCTTTTCCTGTTACAGGTGCGGACTACGTTTCGCTTAACGGAGATAACGCAAGGATTGTCGTAGAGAATACAGAATACAACGAATCGATATGCAAGAAAAATATTTTTTTCACTTATTTCTTTGATATATATATATATATATATATATGTATATATACAATTTATGAAAGAATTGTTTCGTGTGTGTTCGATATATTGCATTTTACGCGCTATAAGAAATCCATGTAAAAAAATCATTTATGACGTTATATCTAGTGTATCGTAACTGTTCTTATGTCACGAAAACGGAATATGGAAATAATCGGTCTTTGCTACGAGTTCTTAGTTAAACGCCGACGGCATACATTATTGACGTACCGTTCCTTTTTCGTTATCGAGTAGTATCTCCGAGTTCCCCACGAGCCTCGGATTCGAATTATTTTTTTTCGCCGGCCATCCAGGCTTCTATTTCTTCGACGCTGCAAGGAAATCACAGGGTTCAGATCCGAACAACGACTTTTCAAACACGGGAAGATAATACTTGATTTACGTGATATATTATAAATGCAAATCAGTCGCAATAAAACGTGGCATTGAATTTAATAGTTTTTGCTATAAAAAAATGAGGAACGCTACTTTTTTACTTTACCGCCTTAATAAATAAATTTTTTATGAATACCTGACCATTTGGAAAATATACAGGGTGTCGTGTGAGTGGTGGTACAATCTGGTAGGGAGTAATTCTACGTGAAAAAATAAGTCGAAAATATAAAATAAATTTTTTTCATTCGAGACTTCGTTTGCAAGATAATCGAATTTGAAAGGCTGCTGGATGCGCGTGTGCAATTGAATGGGACTTGGCTAGCATGTATCTGTTCATTGCATTCCGTTTCTACTTACTACCATGTGACAAATACACGCGTTCCAGATTAATTTTCACAGTCGATTTTCCCGAAAACAGTCTCAGATGAAAAAATTGTATTCTATATTTTCGACTTATTTTCTCACGTAGAATCACTTTGTACCCACGTGTACCACCGGTTACATGACACTCTGTATATTCAACAATTTAAACTGAACACATTTCAAACTTACGTGCGCGGCACATCGGTCAAATTTCTCACTCCAGTTTCCGTTACGAGAACATCGTCCTCGATTCTAACACCGCCCCATCCACGGAATCTCTTGAGCTTCTCAGCGACGATGAATTTCGATTGATCAGGATTGTTCAGAGCAGCGTCTAACAACTGATCATAGTATCGATTAATTTCATAAAGCAGTCTTACTTATACTTGGACCATAAGTAACTTCCGACACGCGTAATGTAAATTTATATAAATCCTAATTATAAAAATATAATAATAATTATACTTATGATCGATATAATAATTATGAACTTTAGTACCAATAAAGAATAATGGTAAAGTGTTTTAAATGAAAACAAACTCCGTCTCTCGTTTTACCAACCTCATTTATCCCGTGGTGTCAAATTGACACAGTGGAAAAATTAATACAATGAAAAGACATGAATACTTAAACTTGCAAATTCTTCAAAATAAAAGTCAGAGAGCCTCAGCCAAATTTACCTACACATGACGGAATAACATAATTTCTTAGAAGAAAAATGTGTCAAATTAACACGAGAGACGGACGGGAGTTAAAAAAAGGAACACAAAACATATACAGGGTGTTTTATGTAAGTGTGACCCCCCAATATCTTTTACAATTGTGAAAACGCAAAAAATATTTCATACTTAATTTGAATGGTATTAAATAGTCAGTATCCCGCATGCATTATTTTTTCAAATGTTGTTTTGTTCTCGAAGTTCTTTTTCAAAAACTGCCTGAACAAACATTTAAATATGTACAATATGATCTTCAAATGACTGAACCCCGAAAATGAAAGTTAACGATGACCATGAAAACTTAGAGAGAAAAACATTTAAAAAAAAAAAAATAACGCCTGCAGGGTACTGACCGCTTAATACTGTTCAAATTGTGTATAAATTATTTTTTGCATTTTCACGATTAAAAAAATATTTGGGTGGGGGGGGGGCACACTTAAATGAGACACCCTGTACGTACTCGATGCAACACATGACCACTTTCATTCTCGCTCGCACAAATCGTAGAATTAATTGTTCTCTGTATCAATAATTAGCATGCATCGAAAGTGTTTTCTACCCACTTACACAGTCGATAAAATAGCAACCCGGCTCGATCGTCAGTACCATACCGGCTGCTAAAGCGCGCGCGGTCCTTAGTTTCCTCAAGCCAGGAGCGGAGGAGCGTTCCGGATACCCTGGAAGATATCCACCGACATCGTGAACGTCCAATCCCATCAGATGACCGAGGCCATGAGGCTGAAAGACTTCGTTCAATCCCGCCTTAATCATATCATCCACGTCGCCTGTTAGCAAGCCCCCGTCCTTCAGCGAAGCCAGCATCGTTTTGTTCGCCAACAGATGCATGTCTGTCCACACGACGTCAGGCTTCGCGGCGTTCATCACCGCGTTCCGAGCGGCGAGCACCGCGTTGTACACCATTTTCTGATCCTCCGTGAACTTCCCGTTCGCCGGGAAACTACACGTAATGTCTGCCGCGTATCCATAGTAGTTTCCACCCATGTCGAATAGACTGGGCAAAGGGCAATAAAGATCATTAGCTTTCGACGAAGAATCGCACACGCTTATTTGGTACGAGATAAATACAGTGGACTCTTGATAAAATGCCGGGGCTGTAGGAGAGTAAAATTCTCGGAGGCGGTAATATATCGAGAGCCCCCTCCATGCTAAGTTTTGTTTTCGTAACCTTGAACCCAGCGCATACGCAACAGTTAGTGGGAACGTCGTACGCAACATGGTGGGAGTGTGAATTTGTGTGCGTGCAAGTACGTGTGCAGGGGAAGGGCCTAACGCGGCAATATATGAAGAGTTCACTATATATTTAACTGACGTTCGTGTACAGACTCACCACATATCCCCATCCTTTATAACTCTATTGTTAGGGGCGCCCGCGTGGCCATAATGTAATATGGACGCATTATGCCCGGAGCCACAGATGCAAGTGTAAGACACGTGTCTGCAGCCTCCTTTAGAGTACACGTAGTGCATGAAAGCTGCTTCCGCCTGAAATTCTGCCAGTCCTGGCTTCACTGTCCGCATGATGGCTTTATGAGCGTCGGAGCTTATCTTAACCACGTACTCCAACACCTCTATCTCTTGCGGCGTTTTTATGACTCTGCTACGAATCAAGACAGCATATTACCAATTTTTTTGTTACCAAGAAATCTATTCACTATCATTTATGAAAGATTTTATTTCGTATATATTGCGTATGTAACATGTGTTGGTTAGAGACTATCACTATAATTCTGTTTGTATATATCTATTAGCACGGGGGCATGTATGTATACATATACATGTTACAACGACTCTTCTACGGAATCTAAACTTTGTGATAAATACGACGACAATTTATCAGATTGACTCCAAAGCTCCTGTAATATCACGTAATCCAATGTCATTACACGAAATCCTAACTTCCTGATGTGCCGTTTTCTCATTATTTGAGGTCCCATAAGGTGTCGTGTGTTTCTACAATAATATTCCGGCAAGTAGATCAATACCGCGGTGTTTATGTTCTTTTCTTGGTCGTTCAAACGGAAGACGGAAGTCGATTCCACGAGCGGATGTATCAAAATGTCAAGCATGTAGAAGCTTATGATCGGCAGTCGGTTCAGAATCACATTTTTACTTAATTTCTGCTCACCCCCCACCAAAGACGCCAATGGTTGGTACAGCATATTGACTGTTCTTCGAATTCGTGCGTCCAGAAACAATGGTTTCTCTGTTCTACCGGATGGAACATGCAAATGCTTATAATCCACGCATTCCAAAGACATGCTGGTGTTTAACAGTTGCAGTTTGCTTTTTATACGGTCGGAGAATACGGAATGGCTTCTTAAATGCAGCTTGTGGAGCAACTGCGAGATAAAGATTTTATCCAGAAATTTTACAGGATATCTCTCCAGATAAACGCACGACAGAAGTATATCCAGAGCATCGTCCAGCTTCAAATCATGAAATTTCACGGATAATACTGCGTCGAAGGTCTCCCAAAATTGAACGGTGTTCGGTGGTTTTACGTACAACGTTCCGAACGGTATAAGAATCGATGGCAGCAACGGTGTTGGTATGTTCACGCCGTGTTTTATAAAGTATTCTCCGCATTCCGACAAAATGGAATCGTTTCTGATCTTCAGACTCTTACAATAATTCATAATAACAGAAATCAGATTCGAATCGTCGATCTGAAAGACTTTAGACTTCAAATATTTCTGCAAGGTGCTTTCTATTCTATCGTCCACGTAGTCTTTCGCGGTTAAACTGTTTATAAAGTTTATTAAATCCTTCTCTCGAGATGTATTTATACTTATGCTCGCCCATTTACTGGCATTTATTAAACATCTTGTCGCGGAGACGTCGTCATAAAAACAGTCCAATATTTCCGCGACCTGCGTACCCGTCAGCTTCAACCAATGGTCGGACAGCTTCCTTTCCAAGATGAGCTTCACCATGTTTTTGCTTTGATTAAAGTATTTCAACATCTTGAACAACGCCACCAGCGTGTACGAGTTGATCTCCTGTTCCCTGAGCAAAATTCCCACCCATAAAGCGTCTATGGATTTACGATATCTGGAGTCTTTGTACGTTGACAGGATCTTTATTACATTTATTAGCTGCACAGGCGTAAACTCCCCATCTGTGGCCCGACTGAGAGCTTCGTCACACATCCAATCCCTGTACACGTTTCTGGACGGACTGACCTTATCTTTCTTTAAAGCAATCAGTCCCTGAAGAATCATTTCACTATCGTGACTATTGATGATTAATTTAACTAACTGTTTCATCATGACATCCCTCGCGCTAGTATCATGATCAAATTGTTTATTCCTTTGGAGTTTACCAGGTTTCTGTTTGGACCAATTGTTCTCCAACTCTATAACTTTTTTCAGTCCTTCCAAAGCTATCCTGCAATTAATTTCGTGGGTTACCTTGTTTTCCAACAACGAATATACTCTGTTGGTTGTATCAAATGATTGTAGTTCCTGTAAAGCCACTTCTATATCTGCGTCTTTGAGACACTCGAGATCAGTGCAAAACAATATCGCCGTTCCTTCATCCGTTTCGATGTCTATCCTTCCGTTCAACGATTTGTTTTTTACTTTGACCGTACTCTGAGAGTCTGACATAGTTTTATCATGAAACTTCGGCTGATCATTCTTCTTAGATGCATCGAAAAGCTTGTGGCTGGTATCAACGGAACGGATGCTTTGCTTATCTTTACCGATACACATTGCTTCTACATCGCTGACTTTTCGAACAATTAAAGGCACTTCTTGAATCTCCGGTCCTTCTTGAACGAGAATACTAGTCTGCGTTAAAATCTGTTGTCCAGCACATTTTCCGGAATTCGATTCGTACCACCGTTTGCTGAATTTAGCGATCGCGATGGATGACTGCGCGTGCATACGTATTAAAACTTTTTCCCATACATGACCAGCTACGATCATCTGTGTAGAGCATATAAGCGTCTAATGAGATTTTAGGTCGAACGATAAGTTCTTCCTGATTGGTTTATTTATTCTACCTTTTCAAATTATAGTAATTAGATCCAGAAAATTATAAAACGACATCAGGTAACTTTTTACAAAATGCCGGTGAAACTTTATTATTTGTATTGCAGAGCGTGATATACACGGCGATCTTGAAACTGCCTTTAGAAACACTTTCAATTTGACGACTGAGTTCTGATCTTATTGGATTATCGGTCAAAAGTTTCGTATAAAAGGCTCATGACAAACGTAAAGAAGGAAGTTTGACGCGAATGAAAATAATTACAACGTTCGATATCGATATAGAAAAATGATCGATCGTACGATAACCCTATCGATAACTAATCTATTCTTAAAACTTCCCAACGATGAAATCTTATCAATATCGTCTAATAGAATGAATTACGAAATGTTCAAATAAGCACACCTAAACGTTAATTAAACTCTGCTGGTACAAATGCAACAGAAAAATGTCTTTTTTTATCATTTACTTGCACAATTTAAACTGGGTCAATGTCTATTTAATGCTATGTTTTCCAAATGTTTTCTGTACCCCTTAATACTCAGTGCCCTAATAATAATTAATCATTCCATAATACATACCATTCACATATTTCAGGATACAGTACTGTTTTATCCACTCTGAATCTAAAGAATAATATAAATTACTAAAAATTTCGTATAATGTACGAATACAAAAACATAAATACTTACTGCTTAATCCCATTAAAATCCACTTCTTGAGTTTCTAAACCACTGTCACTATTTCGACCATTCTATAAAATTAGCAAATATGAATTAAAGTAAAAGAAATCGACTGAACACAGAATGGCAACATTATTTGCAAGCTTACTAGTAAAAGGAGGAGGGATGCCTCCTTTTTCTTTAATACTTCAGCTATTTCATCGGTATAATAGGTTTCATCGACAGCATAGCGTTTCTTAAAATCCTCCAAAGTATGCAACTTTCCCTCCCAAACAGCGTATTCTGCGGGCAATCGTGGTACAAACAAAATAGAAGTTCCTGTTAAACTAATAGCACCATAACACCCTGGTTCTTCAATGCCAAAACTCCATTGAAAAAATGATTCCTATTGAAATCATTACATTGAGATAATTTCATCTCTTGTTATTATACTATAATAATAGCAAAATTTACTTACCTGCCTAAATGGCCAATTTATATCTGTATCATTAAATGGAATTTCAACTCCACCTTGAAGAACAATGAAACTACCCACAATTGGAGTTTTTGTTTTTGATGTAATACGCTCAACTAATCTTCTTCGATTATTTTGAAATAGGGACATAGGCACTTTTAATGTGTGATTTCCCCTTTGAAAGTAGGATTCCAATTGATTTCTGAAATATATATTTGCAAAATCATTCACCAGAATTATTTATTGGATGAAAAATTATATTTTCAAAGAATAAATTAATTCAAAGTACACAAATTTTAACCTTCTTTCTAGAATTCAGATAGTTTAAAGTTTGCTTAATTTATAGAACCCATAAGCAACACAATAGTTTGCAATAAAAAATATCTTGTTAAAACCACATGGTAGTGTTCTTGAATAATGTATAATTTAATAATAGTACTAGTAATATTGTAAACAACCGTCATAATTAATGAAACAAGCAATCAATAAAATAATACAAGAAACCTGCCCAGTGAAAAAAGAACAATCAACATTATGGCATGTTTGTCAAGACAATGTAAACAATAAATGGCTTCTTATATTATCATTATTAAGCAATTTATATTTATAGCTAAAAACAATTGATTTCTTTATCATGACGATCGGTAAAATATCAAATTGTCAATACATACGTATGATTGACACCCGTCATGTTACTTTCTGTCATATGTCGATTTACTTCCAGTATTTGTTCTTTAACTTCTGTTAAAAGGCACTTTGGCAATACTTTTCAGACGTAACAAATTGCTCGTACATTTACCCAAATATCAAAATTCTTCTTGTAGTTTTAGAAGTAAGATTTATCTGAATGTCTGATTCACGCACAACTTCGTTGTTCCTTATCTCTGACGTTACAATAACATCACGTGAAAAATTTGAACCAACCAATTTCCCGCGTTTGAAATTAACATTCGACATCATCATCGATTATTGTTTTTCATTAAGTATTTTGTAATTGCGGTTAGTTACTAAATTTACTAGTTAACAGAAACTTATTTCAAGTAGAAAAATGTACACTGCTGTCGAAACAGTTGTCCATTCTTCAAAACATGCAAATTACGATTAGATATTTTTTCCAATGAATTCAGACTGTTTTTTAAATTTCCCTGATTCGATACTGTACATACACACTTGTCAGTGTTGTGTTTTTAATTAATATTCAATTTGTTAAATGTAACAATACACATCAAAGAGACCTGTGTCGCTATCTACAACAAATCCAGTAAGCTACTAGGCAATCAATACCATGTTCTTGATACCTGATGGCGCCACAGTATCTTTTACAGCCCCCACCCCTTTTAATCTAACATTGCAGAGGATAATGTATATTAGAAGTTGTTAATTGCCACGTTATTAATTACTAATGGACCAATTAATAATGAACAATACGAGTGTATACTACGTTTAACATTTTGTATTCTCCGCGTAATCCTTAATATGCACTTGCTTTATTAATCAACAATTGTAGCAAAGGCTTTACAACGGAAAAGTTACGTGAAAAACTATTGATAAAGCAATTTTTGTGCTTCTTTTTAAACTTCAATTGAAGGTCTTAGCAAGTAAAAACTACCCGAGAATTCGTTTAAAAATAAATTCGTTTGTAGTCGATTCTGACTACATACATTGTCGCGATCAATTGCGATTCAACTATGTCGTTCTAATTCCCTTGAACTGGCAACTCTTAGGGCTTCATCAATATTCTTTAAACTTACAATTCTGTGATGAACGAAGAAAAACCTATCGATATAACGTCGTAGACCATAACATACTCTTAAATAAATAGATAGGAAAATCATTTTAATATTTTTAAAATAAGTAACTACCGTCTTATTGACAAAATAGCAAGTCAAAAATATAACAAAGTTCCAACTGGATAACAGCGTTCTTCTAAAAGTGTCATAAATTTTCGAATCATGTCAACAATCTTTGATATTTTTAGCAAAGTTACAAAACCGTGGAATGATTGACTAATGTCTGAAGTTTTAAAAAAGCAAGCATCTAAACAGTATAGCGACCATATCTAGCGTTAAAAATATAATAGTAATTGGCTAGTAGCTTAGATGTTTTGCCGTAGATAGCGTCATCGGTTTTCGACTCTTTTATTATTAGATATATAAAAAATTCTGGATCAATTAAAACCCTTACAATCGACAGTTATTAATGACACCATCGATGCAGTGGGATTCAACAAACAATAGGAACACAACAAACAGTTAAATATCGCGACGGAGTTTGAAGACATTTCATTTCGGTTAATGACTCTCAGATGGTGGAAGTAGAGTAAACAACTATTTTTAACGCCGGTGTATAAATTATCTTGCGCTACACAAGCAGATTTAAAAACCACTCTTAAGTCGCGTTATCATCACCATTTACATTTTTAAACGACTGAAAATGAATGATTCGACACTTTTTTTCTAATTTAACCTTGGGATTTGATTGCCGATCTACACAAGACATCTGCCTATCTAAATATACATGTATTCTATTTCGCATTGTGTTTACTTCCACTAAACATTGCCCCGTTCAAATATTCTTTTCATTTCAATACCAACTAATTGTTGTTTCAGTATTTCATCAGGCGAACCCTATTTATTTTCGAGACGCAAATCGCAGGTGAAGGTGAACGTAACCCGTAGTATGTGTAACACACATATCAATTCGTGCAACAAAAGTAATACAGCTATAGAACAATTTCAAGCTGAGCTATTTATAAACGTATACCCTCTACTTTGTACATACATATTTCTGTTATCGTGTATTTCTATGCGATGACGTAAGAAACCGATCATATTACGTCTATCTATTCAAAACAACGATAAGTATCCCATCGCGATTATTCTCTTGAATCTTGAATTCTATCGAATTAAGGTGATCGAAATTCCCAACACACACACATACACACACACACACAGGCCTTTTTGCAATAAAATCAATGAACCAATGTCAGTGTAGGTCGTGATACGTATAAAAAGAACACTTTATTTCCAGACGTTTTTTTATTCGTCCATGTAGCATACCTGGTGTTCTGCTCGTCAGCTATAAAACAGTCGATGTAGAAAACAAAATTATTCATTCTAAACCAACGCAGGTGTTTGCGCGAGTTTTTTTTTTAATCCGGAATCTCAAAAGACAATTAAGAATATGCAAAGACCAAAAATAAATATATGACACTTTGAAGTAGGGTAACCATAAAGCATCTCTCAAAGTAAAATTTGTAACTTCTTTATTCGTAATTAAGAATCGTCGGATCAGAAATCCAACTATCACAACGAGGTATAGCTTCCGTAATTTACACTATAACGGTAAATTTAAAGACAAATCTCTCAATGTCTCTCTCACACTCACTCTTTCTCTCTCTATTTCCCCCCCTCTCTACGTAAATACATGCGCAGGCAGACGCAGTCACACACAGCATCGAAGAAAAATGCAAATTCTCCCCATTCATACACGTAATCACATATTCACCAGAACGAAACGGTGATTTAACCGGAGATGTTCCGTGGGAGGTGTGTGACGCATTAATCTCGCTTGATTTATCTCGCAGAACTCGATAATAAACATATAAGTACAACACCGCGCGGACAACGGCTCACAGTCTCGCTAGATAAATCGATTAATGCGCCCCGCCGCACTTTCCGGGGTCTGACATCGTAAATGAATCACGCTATAATACCCGCTAAACCGGACACGCATGTGCACACACTATATACAAGAAATTTTACACGCGCGCGTATACAGGCATTTTGTAATGACGTTAACAATCGATAGTGAGATAAATAACTATATACTAAATACGCCAGAGCAAACGGAAAAACCGCGCGTATGCTCCCACGTTTGCTCTGTTTTTCGTTCCGAAACGCCTGTCTAAATACTTGGAAAGTCACACGAAAGACGGATCAATTGGTGCTCTCGACATCGTACAAATGGAACACGTAATCGAATATCTGAATTCGAACACACGCGCTTATTTTGCTATTCACCACCGTCGTCCCGTAAGGAATAAACTCGTTCGTTGCGCCGTGTAATCAAAACAAATAAATGAGATCACTGTCCCTTCGAATCCGCGATGCTCTGATCCCCACCCCTCACGCAAAAGCCGTGTGATTCATTGATCGTTTTCACGTTATAACATACTTATCTCTCTTCTCTAATAGTAACTGGACCGTAAGAACCCGAATTATCTCCGAGCAAAAAATCTTTAACTAATACCTTATAGGATCATTCTTCCCCCGTTTACACGTGTATTCCTCACCAAAACTCGATATGCTATTATAAAAACTATATATAATTGTACGACAGAGGTAACAGATGGACTTTATGCACAATCTGCAGTTTCACTCGACTTGTGTTACACGTCAGAACATTGAAATTGATAAAGTTTCTCATCGTCGAATGGTTCTCGCGTGTAGTTTGTGTGTCACCATGTGCTTTTCGATTGATTGCATAACTACGAAAAAATATTTCCGAATTGTTGAAAAACGAAGTCTAGAGAGAAGGACAACAAACACGCAAGATGGCCGATCGAAGGAACGACCTCATCCACGCAGAATTTGTTTCCCCGTTTTAAGCTTAAATACGGAGAGGCACACAGAGAAAACTCTTTCTATTTAAAGAGAGACGAACCCGCGATCAAGAAACGATGACCGTTGCGACATAAATCGAGTCCAAGTCTTCGTACCGTGGCAGCCATGAGTCTTCCACGTAAGCCTCGTGAATTGTCGATACGTCGGCGATCGTACCCGAACTCGCCCGAAGTCGAACGCGAGACCGCTTCGAATAACAACACATACCATATTTACAAACACGGCCATGTAAGGCGAGTTCTTGGCTAATTATGTTTACCTCGTTATACTTTCTTTCGGGTACGCTCTATGTCGGCCAGGGCGAACACACTCGGGGGGGAGGGGACACGACACTTATGCCTCTCACGCGCACGTACCCCGCACTGAAAGAAATCGAAGAAAGAACAACAACAGCAGAGGAGACCTAACGAACATCGAATGTTTTGACCCTGATTCTTTTTTTAAATCCCACACGCCATACGGACACACGAGAGGTGGGACGCGACGAAACGAACTGAAAAACCGACACAACGGACGAACATTTAGTTTCACAGCTCGAGCGGTTCGTACACTGGCGGTAACTGTTCGTCTTCGGAGTCATAAAAATATGGTTTCCTTCGGTACACAGTCGAATGTTCGTTGTTGTCCTCCTCTTCGGAGGTCTCTTGAAGTCTCTTCACAGCCTCTTTAATCAGACTACCCTCCCTCAGCAGTTCACGAAACAGCTCGTAAGGATCGTCGTCCTCTCTGTTGTTTTGCCTTTTGTGATGATGATGATAATGACTTATGTGATGACGATGATCGTGCGATCCGGTATTCCGTGTGCCACATATTTCACAGCTACTCGGGTCTCCCCAAGACCTCGAGGGTACTTGATAAGGCGAGGCACGATTTTTGTGACTGATGCTAGACTTAGCCTTCAGGCTAGATAACCGAAGGTTCTCTTTGATCCGTGAGACGAGAAGGTCCACGTCGCGGGAGAGGAAGTCTTGCGTCGTGTCTGGCATCACCTCGATCAAATACGTGGTTTCCTCGGCGCTCGGCATGTCGACTTTCCCCCCGTGTGCCGGCTTACCGAGAGAACAAAAGGACAATGGCACGAACGTGTTTACACCTCCGCGTCTACGATATACGAGCAGCCACAACGCCGGACACACAATAAAGCCGCGCTCTCTCGATCAACGTGTGTCTGTGTTGGTGTCCTCTCTCTTTCTCTTGTCTCTCCGACTCGTATATACACGGAACACGTTCCTTTGGGTATCTTCTCTTCTTCACTGAGCGAAACACTCGTTTTACGCGCGTGTTCGTACGTAACCCCACGACAGGTAACTAAAACCAATCGACCGGCACGCTGGGTCCCTCTGATTCGCCGCACACCTTATTGTTTACGAACATATTTGGGAACCGTTCGTAGTGTAAACACGGGTGGCCTAATCTACCGCTCGTTGAGTCTCGTAATCGCATAGAACGCGTGATTCATTGGGTAAATACGCACGGTGTATCCTTCCCCCTCTACCTGGCTTTCTCCTTTTCACGAACGTTGAACGAATCATCAAAATTTTACTGTTGCTAAGCTTCGTGGAATTGAATGAACAGCACTCTCGTCGATGCACAACACACGGACGAGCATGTTTTCAGGTGGACGATTCTTGAATATGTGCACCTTTTTACATCACTTGTTTCCATTTCCCATTTATTCTAATAACATCCCGTTCGGATTTGAACACGCATGTTGCACAACGATGCACGTTTTGACGCAAGCTAACTCTCCGGTCGGAGCAACGTGTATGTTCCCAAAGTGAAAGAGAACACGTTCTTCACACGAGAGTTATCCCACCCGTACACACTCGGCAGAAGGTTCTGAAAGGTACTAATAATTTCACGTCCTCTTGGCTGGTTTATGGAGTGTACACATACAGCTTAGAAGACGGTTTAGAAACACGTTCGTACACCCGAAAGCGAGCGACCGTTCGTCCGCCAGCCACGAACCTTCTACTCTCTTATTATTGTTTTGGTTTTACCGCGCATGCGCACCAGCCCCCACGTCGTGTAAACAAACCGTTAACTCGTGAGCACTGGCGAATCGATAATATGTACCCTATGCCACTTCCTTGTTCCACGTTGCCCTCTCTTTTGGGGCTAAATGTTTTTCTTGTGCCGAGACCTAACTTGAGAAACAATTATATGGTGGAGGACGGTTAGAATGTATTGCTCGATTTTCGAGTGACGAAAATCTAGGGAACGGTCTCTGTCGTACGCGTCAATTCGCTGTACGCAAGGTCCGTTCTTACTCGGGAAATGCTTGAGGCTTGAGCCTGGATAAAACGACAGGATCGCAACGGGGGACTGTGGGGCGAAGAGAAAGAGAAGCTGCAATGTACGGATCAAGGTTACGCTCGAGCTCGTGTTCACCTACGTCATCCTTTGCCAAGTTTATCGTGCGTGCGCACACGCGCTCGTTCTCGATTACCGTCCGCGATGTATGCGTTTACACGCACATTTATCTACAGCTAACGAATCATTCATTATCCTAATCCATAGAACCAACGTAACCTGTCGCGCGCTTCTTTCGAAACCCTTTTCATTCGCTAGATATTACGAAATTTAACGAAAGATCACGTTAACCTATTCTTTCCCAAATTACCTAACAGCTACGGAAGAAATATCCCTTTGTTACTTTCGTGTGTATACCATCTGTGACAAATCGATGGTTCATGAAAACATTTCAACACTAGGTAAATACTTAGTGAACACTTGTTCTATTTAGCAACATTAAGCAATAATTAAATCTGAATGTAGCCACATCAAATTTGGAGTATCAGCCTCAAAATATAGGTTAAATAAGTGTTCATGAATGAAACTTATTCTAAATATTTTGTAAGAAAAGAGTGACATACATCGTTCATGTAAATATTTACTTTTTTTTTTAAATGGAAATTCAAAATATAATTTTCTTTCATTTGTTAAGCATAATTACACAATGCATTTTATGCATTTCATGCTGGGAAATGAAATTTTGTGTAACTTACACCAGAGACTGTTACACCTTCCTTTTTTCTCTGCATATTCTGGATGCTATTTTACATCATCAAAGCGAACATTGTAGCTGTTCCATTACAGAATAATAAACTTTATATTCTTTTCTGTTAGTTTTTTAAATTCATGTTTTTTTATTGTTTATCTACAAGTTGAAATTACTATTCAAAAATACATTGTGGAATTATAATTTTACTTACCAGTATCAGTGGACTGGTTACATACATATGTATTACAGTTATACATAATTATTCAAATTGTAAAGTTATTATACGTACTAAATATTCTACAAAAATATTCTTTTTTGCTAGTGATCATAAATTATTTGAAAAATGTCAAGGAAATTATAATTATAAAACTTTGACAATTTCCTATGAAACATGACATTATCCTATTTGAATGTAACTTTCTTACTAAATAGATGTTAAGGTACATATATGCTACATTCATATATGTATAGTGTGAGATCAGGAGGAACACGCAGGTACACATTTTATGTTATGTTAGTTTAGATGGCAACAATATATAGTTTTATTCCATCATTTTAATGTGTGTGGTACATGCATACATATGTGTATATACACAGTAAACACGAGACTGTTAATTATACATGTCATTATATAGTTAGAGAAACGTTGCGTTGCATTTGTGAATCCTATTTCGGAGACGATCGTTCGGACTACTCCAAATTGCTGATTATGCTATATGCATAATAATGCATTACGTTACATTTATACATGTTGTTGGCGTGTCCAATATAATAAAATTACGTAATGTCGATCCCTTTGTACAATCATTTGTTTCTACTTCATGCTGCATACATCATCATACATTATTGTATGCATCACGTTTAATTTAATGTGACTAATACATTAAATATGAAAATGATACATGCACACTTTTGATGTATGATTATATATATGTATATATATATATATATATTTGTATTTATGTATATATGTATATATAATTTAAATTGTTTCTTTTGTGTAAAATTTCATGTATAAGCAGATGGCGCTACTGTAAATCTTGTTCGAAAACAGCTGATTGCGGTTGCAATATACAGTAATATACATGTGATGCGGCTTTGTTCATCTATAAGTCTATCGTTTCGTTTAACTGTTTACTGGTAATTTGTCACGTGAACAGTGTAAAGGACTGAAACAAACGAGATCTGATTAATTGCGACCTATAGTAATAACTATGTTCGGTCGTGTGTTTATGTCAAATTTTCGTAATATATCGGTAGGTACAGAACACGTTTTCACCTAAGCGCACGTTCATTCGCGTGCACGGTGTTCGACAATCGGAGAATGTTCATTTACGATTTTCCCCCGTAATGTGTTTAAATCACCTTTTTAAAATACTATTTTTTCACGTTTTATGAAATTTGTACCTACCTTCTATTTCCTACAAACCTACAGCATTTAAGACAAATAAATGATACAGATCCATTGAGAATGCGAAAGATGAATAAAATGAAAGTTTTACAGCTGCTGTCGAGAGTATGGAACGGACCTAATGGAGCATTGGCTGGCAAACAAGCCGAGCAAAAAATGATAGCAATCTTAAGGAACAAATTTCCTAAAGCTAGAAGCATTGAAGTAAACGACGTTTCAGGTGAAAGGATAATTATCTAGGACCAAAAGAAAATTACATTAAAAACAATTGCATTAAGTAAAAGGGTTTTTATCATTTTTTAATTTATTCTTATAGGAGGATGCGGTGCAATGTTTGAAATAAATGTCATTGCACCTGAATTCAAAGGATTAAATACTATCAAACAACATCGGATGATAAATGAAGTAAGAAACGTTCATCACTTAAAAAAAACTCAATGTTCCGTTAAGTTTTTCATTGTAACTGTACCTTTGTAGGCACTTAAGCAGGAGATCAAAGATATGCATGGAATAAGGATATATACAAGTGTTCCTGAATCCTAGGCAATTCTTAGTTCTTTAGAGAGGTCTTTCTTATACCTGCAGTTGTACTTTTAAGCTGTACAAAGTTTTGTAAATTTTTCATATACGTATAATTTAAATGCCAAATAAAAGTAATTATTATTATACATACAAACAATGATTTGTGTATGTACATGATTATGCATGGTATTTCTCATGTTATTTTAAATTTCATTATGTTAATTTTCCGGGAAATTGACATTTTTATTAATTTTTTATCACAATTACTATTTAGAAGTTCCATCATTCCTCACAGAACGTTTCTTATAATATTATTGATAGTGTGCGTATGATTTATACTGTAATTCACTTTTTTCAACTTCGTAACATCTCCGTATTAAAAGTTCATTGTGTAGCATTTAACCATGAACCTAAGTTGCTTGTTCTTATTTCTCGACACCGTATTGTATTGATATCATGCAGTAACAATTGCTACGACCGTATACCTAAATAAAAATTCATTATTAGCAAATAAAAAATCTAAATAATTCAGAAAACAGAACACGTCTGTTATAGCAGATTGTTTGTAAGCATTTAATAAAATAATAATTTGGCGCCAATAAGTTTATCGTGGCTCTATCTAGCAGTAAAATTGCCGAACTAACCGATTAACGAAAAGCGGGAGAAACTTTGCAATCAATAATTCAAGATTGGCGCGACTCATGTCCACTTTTTATTGTAACTCCATACATCGATTTTGCTCTTTGGTAATCAACAATCATTGCATTTTACGGGTTTTTAGAAACCCGTTTCAAAAACGCTACAGTCATCTAGTGGTTAAAAGGTAGAACTACACCGCTACTGTATGTGTATGCCCTATACAATTACATAATAAAAAATACAGAAAATCCGCGTGAATAGCGATTGAATGTCATTTTATTTGTGTTCGGTTGTTCATTGCAATCCTTTAAAGGAATCTTCATCAAGTTCCAGATACTGGGATATGTTCATTGTTAGTTGAATTCCTTTCAGTCCTGCAAAATGAATGTCTGATGGGGGTACATCCCCTCTAATACATCTGTTCAAAAAGGAATGCTCCTGTTTCTTTGTGAAACAATAAACATAGCATGTTGTTTTCAGATAATGACCTTTAGCCCCGCTGTGAAATCTCAGGCATATTATCGATAAATACCTCCTTTTATTCGAAGGAGAACGTTAGCCAAACCGAAACGAGTTACATAGAAGCATATAACCGTTCGATCTGTAATCACATCAAATATGAATTGTTTAAGCGGTGAAACTGATAGACTTATTAGAAATGACATGTTATTATGCACTGCTCCGAATCCTTCGCCTATTCAAGAACAACGAACCACTCGATCAGGTATAACTGTGTGTAATGTTCTCCGGTCGTTTGTAATTCTTTGAGTACGCGGCTTAGTAATATAACAATGAGTAGAACGTGTGTTTAACATTTGTTATTTTGTATAATAGTCTGTTACTTTGTTATAACAACGAGATTGCGGATTTTATACATTGGTAGTGTACATAATTGTCTACGAGTATATTGTATCTTTTGTTAAATTTTACCTTGCAAACATAGTTCTTTTTAATTCCAACATTGCTTTGTAAAATAGTCTATAAAAATCCATTTTTGTATAAACATCCATAGTCTAGTAACAATTAATAACATTATACGACTGTATAATGTAAATGTTACCCCTTTTGTAAATAATTACAATTCAAATAAAAGGAATATACTTTTTAATACAATCTTGTAACTCCTCAAAAAATTCTTTAGTATATATAATATTTACAGGAATTGGTCTACTAAGTACGATTTTTTTAATCGTTAATGCTACCTTAGGAGCAGGTCTTTTAAACTTTCCACAAGCTTTCGATAAAGCCGCAGGAGTAGCTGCATCCATTATCGTACAACTTGTGTTACTTATTTTTATAACAGCTGCACTTGTAATTCTAGCAAAATGTAGTGACATTACTAATACTTCTACCATGCAGAACATGTTTGCAGAATTTTATGGACACAGGTCACTTTTTTTTTGTGCATTGTGCGTAACAGTATATAGTTTTGGATGTTGTTTGACATTCATAATCATTGTTGGTGACCAATTTGATCGAGTTTTAGTAACATACTATGGAATTAATTACTGTCACACTTGGTAATTGAAATGACTGTATCTGTCAGAAAATACATCTTTTTATTGTATTCTCAATATACATAAATTTAACATTTTAGGTATTTATCGCGACCATTTGTCACAGCTGTTTCTTGTAGCATATTCATATTGCCTTTGTGTTTTTTCAAGAAATTGGACGTTTTAAGTTACACTAGTTCTGTTGGGTGTGTAACTATTTTATATGTAATAAGCCTGATCGTCTATAAAAACTATACGAAAATCGAGCCTCCTGTGAATCCTATGAAGATATGGCCGGATAATGGATACGAAACACTTCAAATAATTCCAATAATATGTTTTGCATACCAGGTACAGTATGTTTTTAATTGTTAATTATGTTTTTACTATTTTTCGATTTTATTTATAGAGTCACATGACGGCAATACCAATGTATGCCTGTATGAAAGATCGTAACGTCGAGAAGTTTACAATATGCGCCGCAGTGAGCATGATTATTTGTTTTGCTGCTTATACAGTGGTTGGCATCTATGGATATGCAACATTTGGCGCTGGAAATGTGCCTAGCGATATACTTCAAGGATATACAGACAAAAGCGTAATTTTAACGTTAGCGATAATATTCATAGCAATTAAAAATTTTACTACATATCCCATTGTTTTATACTGTGGCCGCGATGCTCTTTTGAGCATTTTCGGAATGGATGTTAATGTGACTGTCAAATGCCGAGTTTTTATTACACTGACTTGGTACATATTGTCTTTAGCGCTCGCAATACTAGTACCAGACATTTCACCTGTCATTAATTTACTGGGTGGGTTGTCGGCCGCTTTTATATTTATTTTTCCGGGCATATCCCTGTTCCAAAGCATACTCTTAAAAGATTCGGAACTACATCTGAACAAAGATCGACTGTTAATATTTTTTGCAATTTTTATTACCGCACTTGGCGCATTCGCATCGGGTGTTGTTTCTGTAGCAGTTGTCAGGGATTTATATCAAACACCAGAAAAAACTCCATTAGTAACAGGTTTCAGACAACTCAGGCAAAGTTTATGTACTTAACGGGTATTCAGTAGTTTCGTTATTATAAACAACTATTAAATAGTTTTCTATAATCCATCGATATCCCGTTATTTGCTCGACGTATTAAGAGACTTGAAGATTTTACATTTTAGATAATTATCTTGACCAATTTGCTCAACAGATGATTTTAATTGAAGTATTAAATGTAAGGAAAATGGAAGAAGACTGATGCGCATAAAATTTAATACTATATACTCATCGTGCAATTATGTCAGGAAGTTTTTAGGAACTCAGATTTAAGTGTTTACTTTTGTATTGCGTTTGTATACCTCGAAACAAGCAGTAACATGAAATAAATAAAGCTGTATATTGTATTTTACACAAATTGTTACGCTCCTCTAGAGTTTGTTGTAGTCTTTACAAGAAATTTATTCCTAATCTATGAGCCTTACAACAAAACGCATTTACTGATGTATCAAGATATCTTCACGGCTTCGTCCGAATTTTCATGAGTAAAGTCGTGCAATACGTTACCGGAAAGATCTATGACTCTGTCGATGGTTGCCTTACAGAAAAAGCATTCCGTCGCGTCCAATAGATGTCGATCGATACACGTACGGCACGTCTGATGACGACAAGGCTCAAATGTAACTGCCACAGGATACGCGTAACAAATCGTGCAAGCGTTATCGTCGTCGCTTAACATTTTTGAATCGGGCAAAATAGTTCGACATTCGTCTAAATATGCAATCATATCTTTTACCCTTTTTACTTCCTCTTCCGTTACGTCGTCTGGATCTGTGACATACAACAGCGATTATAATAACATTAATAATTTAACGTATATCCAAAAATTTGCATCAATTTTACATGTTTATACTTACAGTTTGCAATCGAGAACGGTTTTGAGCTTTGCTCCTTTTTGCTTTTAGGCTTCGCTTCACCCAGCACCAAATATATGGAACTCATTTGAAAACTAGGTTCCGTTAATAAGGTTTGTGTAACCTTCGGTACCTCCTTTACCTTTTTTGCTGATAAAATTATCATTATATTCTAACTTGATCCCTGATTTTCGTTGCAACCAAAGAAAATAATGTGCACTTACATTTAAAATTGGCCATGTCCTCATTGACCAGGGCCAAAAGTATGCCAGTTACTGCTACCAATATTGGAAAATGATCCACTGTTTCCAAATCTGGGATTTCCAGCAAAACAACATGCTGGAAACAACTAGTTCGTGAACTCATTCTATTCAACACTTGACAGATCAGCTGAAGAACATAATATAGTAACAATTAGAGATTAAGCAACACCAAAACGTATGAATTCACAGGAATACATACCTGACATAGTCTAGACAACAAATTCTCACTGGAAGATTGTGTCGTATCTTTAAAAATACTTGGAGCCACTGTAATGATCATCTCTAAAACTCTTAATAAGGATACCGCTAAGTCGAAGCATGTGGCACAAATTTTCAGTTGCCTCGACTCGATGAACACTCTCTCGGGTCTTGACCAAACATTGTGAATCTCTTGCACCATCCCGATGAACTCGGAGAATGCCCAGTTCAATTGATTTAATAACGAATTTAAGAACTTGGTAGAGTCTTGAACATTTTTCAGTAGCACATCTTTTACATGATTTTGGTACACGGCGGACGGACGGGGTTCTAAACAATTAGGAAGAAGGATCGGTAAGCGGATTTAGCCTCTGAGGCGCTTGCAGACAGAATTGAAAGGTACGCACTTATAGGTTGTGAGAATGATTCTTGTTGAAGTAGTTTCGGGCCAATTCTTTTCGAGAGATGCGGGCTCTTTGTATAGCGAAAGGCAAAACCGTTGCCTTGCCAGAATCTGACCAAAATCCAATTCGATTCAGCCCATGCTCTATCTTCGTACGATTTTAGGAGGTTCGTAACAACCTTTATTCTACTCTCTTGATGTATATTTTCTAATGCTTCCAAAGTAAGCGGATTGAACACAAAACCGGCTAGAGTTAAAAGTAGTATGCTTTTTGAATTGGCGGTCACTATGCGGGAATCCATGAAATGCTCACAAAGAAACTCAGCTATGTCTTGAAGCATCTCCTGATAGCCCGAGATAGTTTCGATGCGCACTGTTGGATGTATGTGGCTCCGTAAGCTGATACACACATCAGATAGTGCTTCCAAGTAAAATTCAGGCACAAAGCTGAACAAGTTTCTTTCTTTGCTGGCATTTTTCAAGGTCAGTGTGATCACCCGTAAAAGCCACGACAATTCCAACTGCTTCTCTTTCGAATAAACGACAGCGCGAACCCATGCCATGTATCTTGCTTGCTCTGTCAATTTTATGTTGAACACGTTTATTGTTCTCAACAGTTCTTCCTCGATCGATCGGGACTCGAGATCTTTGTTTTCCTGGATCTGTTCCAATCGTGTCTTTGTGTTTTCTAGAGCAGTAACGTATTCGGACATTCTGTTTCTGAGAATTGCCACATTTGCCAAATGTTTCTTCGCTACTGTATGAAAAAACAAAATAATGCTGTCAAGCAATTCGAGCAAAGATGCACTCGGGTCCAACGGGCCCAATCGCAACGGGCTTCTATCTTCTCTCCCATATGGAAAGTATCCGAGCCTCTCAAAGAGCACCGAGTTTCCTTGACCAGTCGAGCCGATATTAAGGACCTGTTCAAATGTCGGAACGACTATAGGCCAGTCGAGTCTTCTGGTCGTTCTGGTATGCACCGAGGAATCTTGAAACTGATCCAGTGCTACGATCACCTCATGATCGGATCCTAATTGCTCTATCAATTCGCTTCTGAATGTTTTATTTAAGTGTGATAAAACGCCTCCTAGTCTCTCATTTCTAGAGTAATTGATCGATGCATCGTAGAACGCCCTGCCCATTCCAATTTATAAGGAAATGCTATTACGTAAATTAAACGACATCTAATAATGCTTACACAAGCACATGTACACAAAGCAATATTAATTGTTTTATAATTTGTTTTTTTTTTCAAGCTTTTGTGGTCTGACGTGTTTCTAATATGGGATATACATGTACATTAAATAGATGTGTGTTTTTATTCTTTTACCTGCAAGGAATGTAAACAGAAGACGTCCCTACTTCAGTGTCCCATAACGTTTTGAATGCAAATAACAGCCGATGAAAACAAGATAACGTGATCGGCAGCGGGGTCTGAAATATTAATTATCATTTATAGACCAAAAAGATGACGCTTATATAAAATGATTCCGAAACAGTAAATTTCATTGCTTCTGTACTCACACGATTGAACTCGAAGTTTTCTTGAACGAAACGTTTAAATTTCCTAAGAAATATCGTTCTCGAAGTTGGTCTTTTTTCATTACCATCAGAATTGTCGAGAAATGTTACAAGTAACTCCATTTGTACGGTTTCTATTTCTAGGAAAGTTTATTCCATGGTAACAACGCATGTAGAAATAAACTGTAATACCACACATAAAATGGATCATACCGGATATTGCAGCTTTAATTTTTTCACACGCATCTAAATAACTCGTCGAATCCTCGGGATTTTTTTCCCACCACACTTTCTCGACTACTTCAGTCAGACCTCCTTGATCCAGTGGCTTGATGTCCATGAAATCTGCAAATCTTACCCGATTAAAAAGCAAATGTTGCAGTAAATATTGACGAGTCGACGTATGCTGACAAATCTTTATCAGCAGAAGTAAACTTTTACGTTGGTCGGGATATTCCAATGATAAAGAAACGTGTTTGAATATGGAGAGTAAATAAAGAACAGTACTTTCTAAGAATGCTTTCATTTCATGTTCTTCAAGAAATGTCCATAACAAGTCTAAACACGTTAATAACATAGATTGATGCACAGAATCTTGCGCAGAATCTATTCTGGATTCAGAGAGTTGTTGCAAAAATGGGACCATTATATATTCTGTAATATATGGTATGGTAATTAAAGGCCCTATGTGTTTTAAAACAGATCTCGAAAGACACGTTAAAAAGATCGAAACGCTCATATTTTCGTCACGCAATATACGCTGTTTCTCCAAGTTTTGTTCTGTGTTTATCAGTTCTATTATTCTCAGAAACCACTTAAATAAATACGTAGCTTCGGCTATTTGTTTTTTCGGAGCTGCTTGTAGCGGTTCATATCCTGCCACAGGATACCGCATCGGCGTGGAACCGAAATTTGCTGTTAAACTCTCCCTTAATGCGAGGCTCACTGTTGGAAAGTAAGCAAAGCCAGCACCCATTGAAATGTTATCAAATGCTGTTCCCAAACTTTTTCCATTTCTATAGAAATCGATAGTTCCATCATCCATATCTAATGCACATCCAATAATATCCCCTGTAAGCCATGATTCTCCATATTTGTAAGTAGCCACATTCCATTTCTTGACACGGTTTCCATCATAAGCATACGAGTTAATGGTATCCCCTGAAAAACACATAATTACCAACACCAGATTCTTTATTGAATTGACAATTAACAGTGCTCCAACCAACTTGCATAACTCCCTGGGATCCAAGCTGTAATTCATACAACCACTTTCCTTTATAAACTGCTGTGTTTGCTTTCAATGTACTGAAGTTACTTTTTGAATTGATACTAAGTCTATCGGGTGAAATTATACAAAGCCCAGTAAGTATTGATGTACCAAATCTAACCAACTTTGGACCTAATCGACCAACTCTCTCATCCTGTTCAAGTTGGTTGGGCATATTTTTGGAGACTGTAGCTTCAATATACTGATCTACCAAGGTTAGAGTATCAGAAATTCTGAAATATAAATACAATTGCATGACAGCCTGAACAATACTACTAAATTACTAATTGGAAAAAGAAAGAATAGATAGCAACATACCTAGGATTCTTTGATCTCTCATTTGTGCTTGGAAATTCTAAAAACATGTCCTGACCAAAAATGTCTCTTATAATTTCATTGATCTCCATGTCCGAAAGTGTTTGTTCCTTGCTAACCCAGGAAACATTTAAAAGAAACGATTTGGAGAATTTACACAATTTATTTGTTTAAAGCAATTCGTTCACAGGATTTGAATCAAGGAAAGTGATTTCCCCTGATCAGCCAATATTTTAGCGTGAATGCAAAAAGTCTTAACAGTCAACATCGTACTACACTTTCTTTACTTGTTTAATTTGCCGATCTGAAAATAATACGGCCATTTAAATACCAATAAAAACAATCGAGGGATGTGCATAAAACAATTTAAGTAATTTAATTTCAGAAATGGATGCGAACGTAATTACGTTAGTCGGTGATGAAATCGTCGAAACACGCGTTAACTGAAGGTAAAATATTCTTGTGCTTGAAGCGCAACAACATTCGTATCTTTTTTCGAACATGTGCATCAGCTGACATCAGCTGATTCCCCAGCCACAGTTATACAGGGTGGGTACCATTGAACTCTGTAGACTATATAGAATTGTTGGGTACAAACTTGCAGTATAACCGGATGGGGAATCATTTTTTGTGAAAAATTAAATTAAAAATATAGTACCGAGCTTTAGCAATATTATTGGAAATTATTATTAGGGGATATTATTATTGGGAAAAGAATCTCACCAGTTGTACTACCAGTTTCTGTTTCCACCTTGTATATTCACACTCGATAGGAGTGTCGAGTATATCCAAGTATATTTATATGTCTATATCCTAGGTGTATTCTAAGTTTTTACGTTGTGCAGCATAAAAAATAAAAGTGGACGTAAGACTATTGAATTGTTATCGAATTTTATTTATATCAACGAGGACAAGTCTATTCATGGATACGTTGGTTTGCAACTAGAATTGATGGTTTTCTTCGCGAAGTGAGTAACAAACCGCAGGAAAAAGCACATGTACTGTGCATTTCTGTTGCATACTTATTACAAAACCTATTCCAGAGGAATATCGATTCAGTGTCTTTAGTACAAGACCTCTTTTAGAATAGGATGTATCGTTTAATGAGTAAGAATATTTGAACAAAAAAGTGTGATAATATTCGAATAAAAACTTAGTCGAATAAATTGATGAATAAACTAGCTGAATGGTCAATAGCCCAATCACTATCTTGAGAAGTAGTTCCCTTACCTTTGGTTTTCAGTCTCTCTCTTTCTCTCTCTCTCACTCGCAGATAAAGGCGGCAGCACCAATTAGCCTTTAAATCCATTCGTTAAACGAATCACGGATACGATTTGCTTGACTCCGCCAAACGACTAATGGACTTGAAAACGAAACGTCCACTTTTGTGGAAATAAGAAATAATAGATAGGACGGGACAATTAAACGATAAACGAAAGGGGACGAGACTTATCCTATCGTGGACACTTAGATTGTCAGAAATCGAACGGCCAATGCAGCTTGCAAGTTTTCTTTATTGAATGGCAATAAGTAACCGTAACGGGAAATCGCAATGTCAAATTAGGATCTTGCTTCTGCTCGAAAAGGGCTGAAAGTCGACGCAAAGATGTAACAGGGTTTAAATTACGCGTTAAATTACACCGAATCCTCTGGAAAATAACAATTCAGTATAAAGCGTATGGAAAAGATGACGACGACGATGATGATGATGATGATGATGATAAAAACGCAACGGCCGTGAGCGAGATGTAAGAAAAAGGAATGAATCATAAGAACCGGTAAGTTTCGCGCAAAATTCCTTCAAACGAATACGAACAGAAATCGGAGAAGGAGCGCGAATCCACGTTGGCTTTGGTATTCTTATTGTGGGTGGGTATAGTGCGGTAATATTCGTACTAATATTTGATCGGTAAAGGATATTACACCTGGTTATTGGTAATCGAACGCACACGAACCACGGCAGTTCCACGATTTCGTTACTTCGACATTGACGGCATTTCACTTTTTCTTTTTTTGAGATACAGGGGTATTCAGGCGATTACTAGCGAAAGTTAGTATGCTAGAAATGTAAGAGGTTTAAAAAGTCTAAAACAAAGTTTCATTGTTTTTCACACAACCGATACAGTACAGTAAATCTTCGATAAGTTTGAAAACTCCTCGGCACTGAACATTAAATATTTCATAAGTTAATGGCTGTATGCGGCTGAAACAAATATCATTGGCTTTAGAATTAAAAGCTCTATCACTGTGCCGAACCTCGTTAAAAAGTCAGGGTTACAGCTGGGGACATCTTCTTATCAATGTCGAGGAGCCTTCGAACACTCATCAAGGATTTACTGTATATCATAAGAAATGTATAAATTTGCAAGACTTTTCGAACATACCCGATGTTTAATTGTCCTGTTTTCTTTTATGTCGTGTGAAAATAACGTAAAAGACAAATCCATTGACATACAATGATTCTCGAGTTCGTACTAGGAATAAAGAAAGTAATTTTAACATTTTGTAGCACAGTGTTTACTACGATTTCTTCTTGATAAGGCTACATAGCATTTCCAGTGTGACTCTTTCACGTGCAATTCGTATTTCTCACTCTCACATCTTTGTATACATCTTCACAGTCACTTTAATATGACGTTAAAAATAATAGAAACTTTCATCCAAAAAAAAAAACCAAATTAAAATTAACCTCTGACGCTCGAAAAGTATTGTCAATTTAAAAATTCGATACATCCTATCCGCGTTGCTCATAAATAATACAATGAAAGTTTTTCGTTTTCCTCTCATGTCTCACGTAGTACATCGAACAGCTCACGCGAAAAAACAGTGGCTAGTAAACACCGTGAAACACCCTCTGTATATAGTCGCAGAATACCTGCGAATAGTATCAGGGGATACTGTGTATGCAATATTATTCGATAAACGAGTACAATGTTTTTAGTCGGTTACAGGGAAGGGCATGAATACGTCGACACGTTACAATATCGGATTTTTTTTTTGTTCCTATTTCGTTGAATTTCATAGCAGAATAATCGGCGCGTGACTATAAAGACACGTGACACGTCGAACAAGTTTAAATACTTTGCGCGCGCGCGCCTCCGTCGTCGTTTTACGCTTAATTTTACTTCTCGAATATATCGAACATATATCATCGTCGTATAATTGTAAACGATGATAAAACGGGATCGATGTCCCTAAAAGTCCTCTCACTCTCGTTCCCACTTATAATCGTATGAAAGAAATATCCCTGGATAAAGGCTTTTTGTTTTCTTTTTTCTTTTTTTTCGTATGTCGAAACTCATGCTCGCTCTCGCGTGGCGTTTGAAAAGGAACATCGAACACACACGTTTTGTCGTAAACATCCCTCGTACCCGATACACGTTCAGAAGAAATATCCATTTGTAATAAATTACACGTTTTTTTTTTTTAATATCGCCCAACGTACAAAATTGGTTTCATTCTCTCTCTCCCTTTCTCTCCCCCTCATGCTCGCTATACAGCTTGCTTTCTCATTCTCTCGTTCGTTCATTCTCTCACAAGCTGCAATTACCTACGTAAACTCGAAATTTTATTTTTCTTCGATGTATTCTCTCTCTCTCGCTCTCTCTCTCTCTCTCTCTCTCTCTCTCTCTCTCTCTCTCTCTCGCGCGCGCGCTTACACGTCTCTCTCGTCGTTTCTCACGCACGTCGTCGCTCGATGACTAGAAACATTGTTTCGCGGGTCATTTGGTAAAAAAATTATGCGAAAATGGAAAATAGTCGTAGAAAAAATAAACTCGGCCCGTGGACAGCATCAGTCCCTCGTACACACATCGTGTAATGCAGTACATATCGACACGCGTTCTGTATATATGTGTATGTACATATATATAGGGTGTTTCGTTTAACTGGAAACGGTGGAATATCTCACGAAGGATTAAAGTTATCAAAAAAATGTTCGTACAAAAGTTGTTTGGTACAAAGGGAGACATTACGTGGTATAAATAATTTTTCTGTAAGTGTAGTAGTGGGGGAGATATCAAAGTCAAGTTAATTTTTTTAAATGGAACCCTGTATTTTTGTATTCATATTAGGATAGTGTTTGTTACGAATTGTAGACGAATACAATCAACTGCCACATGATATCATTCCCTGTAGTAGGAAGTGATAAACCACTAAGATTTTAAGAAGTCAGTTCAACGCAAATCGCCTAGTTGAACCCTACGTGACGAGATAGGAACAAACGATGAAACAAATAATCAATACAGACAATATGTTATGGTCTGGTGCGGAATACATAACAGAAAAATAATTGAACCTTATTTTTTTGAAGGAATTGTTAATTCCCAAGCGTGTTTAACGTTTCTGCAAACACATTTTTTAAATATTTTGGATGACATGCCGTTGAACTGACTTCTTAAAACCTTACTGATCTATCACTTCCTACTACAGGGAATGATATCATGTGGCAGTTTATTGTATTCGTCTCAACAAACACTATCATAATATGAATACAAAAATACAGGGTTCCATTTAAAAAAATTAACTTGACTTTGATATCTCCCCCACTCCTACACTTACAGAAAAATTATTTATACCACGTAATGCCCCCCTTTGTACCAAACAACTTTTGTATGAATATTTTTTTGATAACTTTAATCCTTCGTGAGATATTCCACCGTTTCCAGTTAAACGAAACACTCTGTATATGTACAGAGGATGCTACGGAATAAAACTGAGAAACTTCTTTAACATATTTAGTACACACACCATTTCTGAGCGAAGAAGCACACATGGACATTACATCTCACGTTTGTTGTTTGCCATAACTTTTTAACAAACTGAGATTGACATACAGCTACATAAGCCTCCTGACTTGGAGTCACTGGTCAAGTATGTCGAAGAAGTTTGTCGGTTTTATTCTTGAATATCCGGTATAATTGGTGAACGATACAGCGAACCGATTAAATTTCCTCGGATGATCGTAAAAGTGTTCTCTCACACCACGGGACACTACCTCCTTTTCGCAGTAATTCGAAACATAAAGGTCTTGGAGCTCGTTCAGGACCGTAGAATATATGTTTCTAGATATCTGAACTCTGCCCGGGCACAGTCTGCGATCGGCTTAAGTGTCCCATCATTGAATACTCGTGAGTCCACACGAGACTAATATTACACGATCGTCTATAGTCTTGTTCAACAACTATAAATGGCATTTGTATACTAGAGAGTAGTCCTTATGTTTCGAGCACCGAATATTTTCTAATCCCATCCCTCCGAATAGCTCCAGCCCATAAACAAAATAGTCCCCGTGAAACTTCAGCTCGATCGGATAGTTGGGAAACGTGCAGGCAAATGCACTGGATAGTTCAAATACACTTCATGTTTCCGGTATCCAGGCAACATATTCGACAGGCGTATTGAGTAAGGGGTTGGTCGTAAGACAGGGTTATCATACTCTTGGGTACTGGGACAACTTTGGTAGAGGACTTGGATTAGTAACGTGCGCCATCCGCCGTTTACTTTTCTACGTAAAACTTCAAGAACTTTCGATACAGATCATTATTCAGTGGACTGTATCTATTCTAAGGCGTAGGCACCAAAACGTATTCGATTAAAAGAAAAAAAAGCACAATTCGCACCATCTATACTAGCCAAGGACCACCCTTAACGTATACACGGATACATATGGCGCGCGTCCCGTGTACGTACATCGAGGAACGATGCTGCCCCGGCATTGACCTTCTTTTTCTTGGGTAGAGTAATTAACGCGCATCGGCGAGTCCTTGCAATTGGGCGGAGTAACTGGTCAATGGAGAAGTCGATGGTGAATCGTTGCTGTCCGGAATATATTTGGCTCCGCGACGCGACACGCGCGCACGCACTGTGACCCCCACACCCTAGATATGCGGCGGTTTGGTCGAGAAGCGCGTTTCTCACCGCGCCGAGTCGAGGAGAATTCAATTGGTTTGCTCGGCGCTTTGCGCTTGCTTCTCGATCTTCCTCGCTAGCTCGGGGCTCATGTGCGGATGCGGGAACGGGAGCACCGGTTTCCTGAGTATCGTCGGCTTCACTTTCACCTGCGGCTTGAACGAGGACACTTGGCTTCCGCCAGTCAGATGCATGTCCGCGAACTTGGCGACGATTTTGGGCGTGGATCGGGGCGGTAACGGGGATCTCAACGGCATTGTGTCCGAGGCGATCTGATTCGAACTGGCCGATCTGACCATCTCAACGGGCTCTTGCTCGGGCTCGTTCTCCGCGGTGTCCGAGCTTCGTTTCAGCTTCGACTGGCCACCACTGTCCGTTGGATTTGTTTTCGTGTTCTTCTTGAGGGTGCACTGGTTCTGCTTGGCGAAACGTTCCGCGGCGGTGCTCATGTCGGGCGACTCGGGCCCTCCCGTTGGCGAGGTGGCCGCTTCGGCGCGCGACGGTTGCACGACGGGCGGCGACGGTGTCGTCTCCTCGTCCGAGCTGCTCAGGCTGCTGGACGAGGCGGACTTTTTGCTCGCGTCCTGCGCCGACAGAGGCAGATCCATCACGAGATCGGGGGTGTGCTTTTGCCGCATCTCACGGAACTCTTGGGAGGAACGGTAGATTTTGTTGTTGTTTGGTGGCACTGGTGGATTCAATTGCGTCTGCGAGGTCGCTCGTCTCTGCCAGAGCTCCCGGTTCGCCGAGAACGTCGGTTGATCCCCCGAATCTTCGTCTTGAGAAAGCAGCACCATACCCGGCTGAAGGGAATTGGCCGCTGTCTGCTGTGACACCGTGTCCCCCATGCTTTGAGACTTCCAGTGCTGTTTCCTACTCGTGCCACGCTTCGATCCACCGTCCAGGCTCGTTAAACTGATGCGTTCCGCTTCGTCGCCGACGTTATCCTCATTGTTCCGCTGTTGCTGCTGCATCGATGGCTCGGTGGCGAAGCTCAACAGTTTCTCGTTCTCATCGTTGTTAGGAAGAACGACCGTTGGGGCTGCGTCCCCGCGATGCTCCGTAGCGAACGCATGCTTCTCTCTCTCAGGCGTGGACACCTTCGACGCTCGAGACGCGCAATCCTGGAAACAGTTTCGAAGATGAAAATGACGCTCTCGGGGTTAAATACGCACGGTTGGTTGCAGCCGGGGCTTACGATGAAAAAGCTTTCGAGGCGACATACAGTGACAGAAAGAAGTATTCATACACCGATGACTTGGATTATCAATTGACAATACGGCTTTTAGCGTGACACAGATTAAAAATGACTTGCATTTAGTTATGCTTTAATATAAAGCTAACTTGTTCCAGTATACAGTAAATCATCGATGAGTGTTCGAAGGCTCCTCCGCACTGAGTGTTCAGACGTCATCTCCACCATTGGACGCTTGACTGGTTCCACGAGGGACATTCCTCTTCCCCAATTGCGGGAATGATGTCGGAAGTAATCTGAACACTCAGTGACGAGGAGTCTTCGAACACTCATGGATGATTTTCTGTACTTGAAATTAAATCGTTTTTAACGAAATATCACAGTGAAAATAGTATCGTCAATTCGTAATAAGCGTTACTAGTGTATGAATACTTTCTTCTTCGACTGTATGTTTTTGTTTTTGTTACAGAATGAATTACATGAAATTTGAATCGCGAACGAATTTCCGTTTGTCGTTACACGCGCGCCTAATTACCGGTTCGAAAACTGTGTCCGCAATTTATCGAAGACTCACAAAATCTCTATCTGCGGCGCGCAGATCCACTTTTGGGTAGTTAGACGCTTACAAGTAGATCGCACGATGTATGCAGGGTGAGGCACCCAAAACAGGTCACCTGAATATCTTTGCTGTTACTGATGATAGAAAATAATGTGTCTGACCAAACTTGCATGGTATCGAGAAGCACATAATTTTATGTGAATAGTTTTTTGATAGGTAAACGCATAGAGGTCATATATGAAGGTAAACTACCTATTTTTAATGGAAAGACTTTACCTTCATATGACCTCTACGCATTCACCTATCAAAAAACCATTTACATCAAATTATGTACTCCTCGATACCATGCAAGTTTGGTCAGATACATTATTTTCTATCACCAGTAACAGCAAAGATATTCAGGTGGCATGTTTTGGGGTGCCTCACCTTGTATATTACAAAAACTTTTGAAAAATGTTCGATATGTATTATTCAAGGTCTCGTACATTAATTAAGCGTTACATGCCTGACTACACCTTTCTATCAACGTTTACCGTATATCGGACGAGTAACAACGGATTGTGCAGCCTTCTTGTTAGGTAGTTTTAAGGTTAAAATTAGCAAAGACAGATCCAACGGTGATCCGACCTGATTACCTGACACGGATGAATTGCGGACGAGTTCGATAGAGGATAGAAAGAGAAAGAGAGGAAAAGAAAGAAGTAATACTCTAAGGGCAATAAGAATATAAAGAGAATAAGTCGTGCGAACAATACCAACATGTATAATAGTTGCATGCGTTAATAGGAAGACGAGGGGAAAAAACGAGTATAGATGACGACCGCCCAAAAAGATCGCGCTGATATATATATATATATATATGCGTGCAATGGCCAAAAGTGGGTTTAAAAACTGCTCGTAAAAACCGAGGAGAATATGAAACAGGATGATTTGCAAGCAGGCGAACACCGCATAAAACACAGCTCTGCGTATCGATACCTATGTCTCTCTACGGATGCCAGCAACCGAGTTAATTATTATAACCGGACTGGGTCTGTGTGTGAAGGTCTCGACGGACTTTTTCTGGTACTCACCTAAGCCGAAAGAATATCCGCTGGACAAGTAGAAGCAGTCTGCGAGTAGCATTTTCCATCTCTCGGTATTCGTCTATAGACTGAAATTGCTTTTACAGAATGCTAGGGAGATTCGCAAAATCGGAGAACCGAACCAACCCGTGTTTAAAACAGAGCCGTCCCGCCGCCACGCTCCTTCAACGAGACGAAACAAAGAAAAGAAAAGAAAACAACACAAACGACAGAACCACACAACGACGACACACTTTGTTTTTTGTTTTTTTTTGTTTTTTTTTTTTTTTGCTCTGGCAGTAGGTTTTATCGAACAGTTTTTAAGTCCGTTTCGCCCGCTCTACCTACACAGTTGCGCGCGCAAATCGTTTTTGTTTTGTTTCGTTAATCCTGTCAACTAAAGGCCGACTAAACGTATATCTGGAAAAACAGCAACCAATCCCAAACTATTATATGACATCGAAATGTTCGTATATATGTATATTATTCGAGCGCAGCAAACGGAGAAAACATATGTGTTTGTTGTGTGTGTGTATGTGGGCGCAAGACGCAGTATAGTATATATGTATGTATAGGACACAGGCGACGCAAGACAAAAGAGACCAAAAGGCACATGCAGCGACAAACACGTATATATTTCTATTTTATTTACAAATTTATCGTACAAATGATCTCGCAGCTGGTCGAATTACCGCCGCATCTCGGATAAAAGTAAACTTATAACGTAGCTTGTCCCCGGGACTCGTCCTCTCCCGTTGTTTCACCCCGGTCCACGAACGGACTGAAAATCGACACAGATTCGAACGATCGCGGCGTGGTTTCACCGAGAAATTTCTTTAGGCACCGGAAGAAGTTCGTGACAGTTCGGTCATGTCAATGGTAAATTCGACGAAGTAAATTTTTCTTTCAGAAAGTACCATATCTTGTTCCTGTATATTAGTGGTTTGTCGTCTGTATAGTACTTAGTCCAATATTTAGACGGAAAGTATTGAAGTTTTATAAGTACTTGTTAATATGCCGGAATCATAGTGTTTGCGGTTAAGTCAATGTACACAGAGTAAACGTACCAATTAATGAACACTCAAGAGTTTCTGTAACTATTAAAGTTGAATGTTAAATGATAATAATATTACTAAATGTTTGGCAATATGAAAATTAGATTTTTTAATATCTACACCTTTTTCGAAACTAGATTGCGGATTTTTTGTATTTATAGCCTATAAGGCTCTGTGTAATACAATAAAGAACAAAAGTTTCATCAGATGCAATGAGTTTTGTATTTTATTCGGAACTCAATAAGATACTTAAAAAGACAAAGAAATTCCTATATTTGTTCTTGTCCGTACGAGTTACTTTAGAAAATGTCATTTTGCATAAACATACACAATCTATTCATAACTTATAGATTTCAATTTGAAAAATTGGAAAAATGTGATTAATTAAATTAAAAAGAAACAAAATACTGATAACATCGGTTAATGAACAATAATATTAAAAGAACAAGGTTATAATAATATTAAAGTAAAGGAAACGAGGAATTGAGAAAAATCAATATTTAATCATTCGCTTATTTTAATAACTTAATTTACTTATTTTTATGCATAATGTTCATTCACTGGTAGGTGTTCATTTACTGGTGCATCCACCATATTACTTTAAAAGTTTTTAATCGAGTGTCAGGTCATTATTCGACGATATTAAATTGGAATTATATAATGTATGACATACGTCAAGCAATATCCAAACATCATCTTGCATTTGGAGATTAAAACAAATATAATATTAAACTATCGGTCGGAAAATGCTTAACTCTCGCTTGACGACGGCTGGGGTCACTCGTTCAGTATGCCGTGATGTTTCGAGGAAAGTGGATGTATCTAACGAATGAACAGAAATTAATTTTTATGAAGAAAATGCAAATTTTATATTATTTTTTACAAATTCATCGTGAATGGAATGTGAAAGTTATATACAGTGTGTGTAGTGTCCAGTGTGGGTTACGAGTGACCCGGCCATCGGCTTTCACGATCAGTCATGCGGGGATTAATACTTAAAACTCAATAAAATACTAAAATTGAAAAATTAGGTATAAATTTACTTCGTGGAGTGCTTATATGTGACAATGGTTTCACATTAGAGATCCAACTTTTTTAAAATCCAAATTGGAATGAAAAATGTCGTGTCACATTAAAAAACAACTTTACACGTAAATTTCAAAGAATATAATACTATTTGAGTATTTAACTCTCGAATGGTAAGGTCGTATGTGATATAAGATTGAGTCGAATCCGACCCGAGCTCTTTTTTGCTATTTTCAGACAGGAAAAGAAAGTTATTATCTTGAACTTGTATTTTTGGTTATTCATATAGTAAGGGATAATAATTGAATCATGCAAATATTTTAAAACGAAAAAAATACAAAAAAAAATAAAAACTAGAGGGCGTACAGCACAAGAAGAACTGTAACTTAGATAGGATACAACCTGGGGCTTTACAATTAGAGGGTTAAAACAAAATTTAAAAAAAAATCAAACTCTAACATCAATTTTCTCTAGTTTATATCATGAGATAACTAATGTGTTAATAAAATGGAAAAGAAAAAGATATCTGTCCTACAGTCTGGGTCCCTATTTGCATAGAAATAGAACAATAAAACCTATGTAAAGCTTCATAAGCAAATAATAGTTTGTACTCAATTTTTATTACTACTAAATCCTTTGGCGATACTCAAGGTTGGTATTGCTAATGAAATAAACAAGCTTGCGAGAGAGCAATAAATTAAACGATACTATATCGTGGATCACACTGAAGGAAAAGTACGATTTCGCTTTTACAGCACAAACAAACCGCACACGAGCGTCTTTCGGTGTCCAATATCATCGGCGGTGGTGTGCTCTGACGCGGTTTCGTGCGTCTAAAATCCCGGAAAGAACCGCGAAATCAAACAGTTATTTTGCTACCTCTGTTTTGCATAACAAAAGCAATGCCCCGAGACTTGCAGAAGGTGTGTGTGCGACGCGTGCAGCGAAAACAGAGGGGGGGCGGGGAGTCCGTCCGCTTCGTGAAACGACACCGAGGGCTAGCTCGCGTATCGGATCTCTTCTTCGTTGGTACGGTACAGCGTGTTTTCAAAAAGGGTACTATACGAAATAACAGCGCAACAACAACACACAGCCATGCACTTGTGCCTATATAGAGTTTTCAGTCTTTTGCGAGTGCATCGCAAGGAATGTACACAAGCAAAATAAAAAAAAAAAAAAATAAAAACAAACAAACCAATTACAGTGAAGGAAAAAGTCGAACAAGCGATTTCCGTTTTTTTTTACTAAACGGTAGTTTCCAATACCTCTCGACTGATGATCGGCTGGCTCGACGAGATGCAGGGTGCGTTCGTGACGTGCGTTGGGACCACGCCGCTGCTATTGTCGGTGGTCGCGATCGCGGTCGTGCTGGCAGCCGTCGACGTCGACGTAGTCGTCGCTGACGCGACGTCGGACGCGTTCCCAGAGGACCAGGTGGTCGTTGACGAGTTCCCGGACGGTCCCATCAACGGCGAATTGTTGCTCGACAGAACGCTGTCCGCCGAGCTCGAGGTTCGTCGTCTCATCGACTCCTCGCTGGACGACTTCAAGAGTTCCTTTTCGCGTTCCTCGTCCCTGGACAAACGACCGATCGAATGTGATTCACAGACTGGCCTGGAAGACTCGGGGGAGATCGAGAAACGTATGGTGTATGTCTGCATGTCGTTGCGACAAATAGAGGATTTCTCGATTTAGGAAAATTTTGCTTTTTCTTCTCGCCCTATTACAGCGACGCTACGTTATGAATGGAGAAGCGGATTATTCGAAATAGCGAGCAGCTACGGTGTATGATGAAGCTAGGATGCTTCTGGACAACCTGTATGTAGTCTAAACGAAGCTTTTTCGAAAACCGAAACAATTCTTGCGTAATTGTTCGAGTTTTTTTTTTGGCGTTACATTAAGAGGTCTGTCTACTCTTACCCCTCCGTGGAAAAACTGGGACATTTTTGGTTCTAGGACATCATAAATCTTCTTTAGAAACAAGTATATAAGCTGGTTTACGAGATTTTGAATTGTCACAACTGTATAGACGATGTACAATGGCGTGTATAAATATTTTCTAAAAGTGTACGTACACTTATCAGTTATGCAAAGCTCGTACCGTAAAAATTATGATCTCCGAAAAATATTTTCCTGCTCTTCTTGTTGTGTACTTTTTCGTTATTCTGATCTGTTTTGTTGTCTAGGATGTGCATCTTTCGGCGACACTTAAATACTACCAGTGTCTAATGTCTGAGTATCTTTGTTGTGTATCATTTGAATTCATTGAGATAGTCTCAAAAATCTTGGTAAAAAAATAATGCCGTTAAATATACGAGAATTTTAAATACTTTTCAAAGCACATAAACTAAGTGATTCTAAAGGTGTAGCTGCGTTGGCTTGTACGGCTAAATTTCTCGTCACTATTTCATGATTTTTATATAAACGATATACCGAGTGTTGAAGATATTGAATAAAATACAACATATTATATCCACGTGTCGGGTTACAAATAATTTGATCGATGTCCCTGACGGTTTGAACATTCGTTCTAACCTCTCTATCGTTCAATGTCTTATACAATAGAAAGGACTCGTATTTTTCCATATACCAGAAGTAGACAGACTCCTTAAGATTAACACTGAAATTAACAACTGAAAGCATTCCCAATGAAAAATGATTGGCCATTTGCGTGTTTGTTTAAATCGCACTTACTTTATCTTGATCATAATATATTTATCGGGTATAAGCCCCTCTCTACCAGCCAAGGCACCTCGCCACCAGTCATTACTGACTTGCGTGTATAGAGTCAAGGTATCCCCCTTTTTGAAGCTTAACTCTCTTTCGGACCTTGCATTGAAATCGAATTGCGCTGTGGCTTCGAGGTTTTCCGATTCTGGGAATACACAAAAGGTACGTAGATCGCGTGCTGTGTTCGATTCCGACGGTACGGTCATGGAATTTGTTTTGTCACACTCACCATCCTCGGATGGATAGACCTCGGAGTCCATGTCTTCCTGGACCTGGTCCGTCGGCGAGTCGCCCACGTCTCTGAGGGAGAAGGAAATTTTCTATTGGTCGTGAATCGTCGCGATAATTGATCGCAAACGACGATCGGGTCGGATCGTCCGGTTACCCTCAAGATAGGACCACTTACGCGTCATCTGGTTCCCTACTGATGTACTTTTCGTACTGTGTACCTCCAATGTCCTCTGGGAATATCTCCTCGCAGAACGTAATGATGTTCTTGATAAGTTCGTTCACTTGATTCTGGTACTGTACTTGATCCTTGTCCTCCGGTACGGGTACCAACGTGGGACCGAAGCAAATCGCCAGATTGTACGGGTCCATCATGTTCTCGTCCGAGAATTCCGAAAGGCTGTTCGCATGAAATACATTTACTCGGTTAAGGCTTTCCTTCTCATGACCGACTAAAGATGATACCACCAAACGCAGAATATTGGGAAGAAAACGAAGATTATCCGACAGAACAGAAAATACTAATCATGAAGGGTATAGCAGGATAAGGAGACTAAAAGTGCCCTTGGACCGATTTGGACTTGTGATATAACATAACTAGGCAAATTTGAACCCTCTATTTTAAACAGTAGGGTAGTAACAAGGAAAATTCAGATTATTTCATTAGTTATAAATTAAAAGAGTATATATCGTAAAGAATGTTTATGCACACAATTCGCATTTCCTATGGATTAATGAATATGGGAATGAAATAAAAAAATTTAGTACTTTGTACGGGGCTCGAATCATGTTAAAAAAAAACTTCGCAGCAGTTCCGCAGTCGAGACGCTTAGCCCCTCCAATGACGCTTTTGGAAGTTCGGTCAATATTTTAGCATATAATGAATACAGCACGGTTTTAATTAAGTTAATTCGATTTCTACAATTTATTTAGTATTTTACTGGACATGGCTATATTTAAAACCGTACAGTATACTCACTTAATAAAGGAAATATAAAAATTCAAAGTATAGGTTAGGTTATTTCTTCACGGAAAAAAACATCGAAGAAATCAGTCTTGATTTTTATAACTACGGCGCGCCTTACCAAAAAATTTCTACAAAATTGATTGAAGTGGTGCTTTTACAATTTCAATAAGAAATAAACTTTTCTGTATTTTTTAGCGTTTTTGACTTTTCAGAACTAGGATACTCAACTAAAAAATCGCAAAAAATTCACTAACACGTGCCCCGGTAAATATTATTTATCAGATTTTTTATAGAATTTCTGCATGTCATTAAACTGAAAAAATGGAGGAAAAGCCTACAATCCGAATTTTCCCTATTACTACTCTCCTGGTCGAGATAGGGGGTTGAAACTTGGCACAAACGATTTTTTCTTGACAAGCTATCAAACATTTACTTGACAACCGAAATGGTATATCACAAGTCCAAATCGGCCTAACGGCACTTTTGAACCCCTTATCCTGCTATACTCTTTATTAACTTGCTTCGAGATGAAGCAATGAAGACGCAATACTTACTGATTGAGGAAAGCGAACAGATATCGCATTACAATGACAACCGGTCGCGGAAGACTCGAAATCAATTCCTTCATCTTGTTAACGAACTCCTGTTTCGATTCCAACTGCGCTAATTCCATCAAGTGCTCGAAGTAAATGATAGGGAACAACGGCTCCCTAAGCTCCCGTAGATACAGTTTCAGGACACCAGCGACACTGTTGATGTCGGACGCGTCGGTCACGTCGGCCAACGGGTCTTCTCCCCTCTCGAACCATTCGCGGAAATTGTTGATCTCCACCTGAGATCCCGAGACACGAAAGATACCTTGATGATGAAGACCATACAGATTGATCACTCTGATGCAGCTCTTCATGATCAACGGTATCTCCTGATTCGTGCTCTCCAAGTACTCCTCCAACGAGCCGCCGAACAGTTTCGGCTGACCGTTCATCTGCAACCGGCCGATACGTTTTCGTCGAGCTTGTTTCTGCTTGGTCGTCGACAACGACGGATTCGGACTGGCGGTCGAGCCATCCAACAGGCTCTGTCTAATGTATTCCTGCTTCGCGTCTAATCTAGCGATTCTCGAGGTGCCAAGCAGGTATTCCCTGAATTTCTGTAAAATTCCAAGCATAACTTTTAGAGCTTGCCGTCTTCTATTATGATCAATATACATAACTCATTTCTACACTATGCATTTTTATGCGACCGATTCGAACTTCCTATGGACTACATGGAGTATTTCTAGTAAAGTGAAAAAAATAAAGATTAATATAGTAACGGCCTAGTCGCGGTTCCAACAACTGGCGGAATGCCACTGACGAATCGGTTCGAAATCGCGTGTTTCCATCAGCGAACGAAACAGCCAACTCACCGTGAGGTAGAATTCTTCGGTTTCTTGCCTGTCGGCTCTGAGCTTGATTTGCACGGTTTCCGGTGGTCTCGACGTGGGCACGGCGTTCTCACCGAAATACCTCGAGCAGTCGTAGTCCTTCGCGGTCAACATTTCCAATAGACTGGCCTCCGCTGTTTCTAATGTTTTCCACACCTCCTCGGACTCGGTTCTCAACGATGTCACCCTCTGCTGCAACTGCGTCAGACGTTGCTCCATCTCAGCGTGCAACAGCTTTTGCAATTCAGGCTCGGGGGTCTGTGAAGGTCAAATTTCATGAGTGGTCCGAATAACAACGGGGAAACGAACGTGATCAGCTTGACATTGCACGTTGATAGGTTATACAGTAAACAGTTGGTTGAAGTTTAATACGAATAGTGTAAAAGGAAACAACATTCAAAGCGGGTAACGAACCCCCTACCAAGTATTCAAGAGAGAATTTTACCTCGTCTCCCCGTTGCCCTTGAAATTCAAATTTCTTCGGGATCATGAAAGCAGAATGATGGGACTCCAGAAATCTTTGCTTGTCCGCCCTGGAGTCCAGAGCACCGACGCAGGAGGTCAGCTGTTCGGCGCCGGACTGCAACGACCGTTGTCTGCCCTCCTCGGCGCTGCAGTGCATCAGCAGCGCCCGGGCGATGCAATTGTGAAAACCGAAATCCATGCACTGAAACGATTAAAACATCGAACGAATCTTACAAGGAACACCGCGAATGCTGACTCGCGGAATGGAATGAAACCTTGCGAGTTTATGGAGTGATTCAAGACAAGAATCACGATATGTGTCATTTGTGCCCAATCGCCCTTTCAGGGTGTGAAAACTAACGTCAAAATCAAATCGGCAATCCCATTTCTTCGCATATAACATTTAAAGTAAAAGAGATAGAAAAAAATGTTTCAAACAAAAGTTTAATTTTATAATAAGCACTTTAAACTTACGTTAACACAATCTTGAAAAAAGTGATTTTTCTTAAAAAGAAAATTTTTAAACACTTTCAAAATTTTGTTAACGTAAGTTTATAGCGCTTATTATACAATAAAAATTTTGTTTGAAGCACTTTTTTCTATCTCTTGCACTTTAAATGTTATATGCGAAAAAGTGGGAGTGCCTATTTGACTTTGAGGGTGATTTTCGCACCCTTAAAGGGCAATTGGGCACGAATGAAATATACTGTTAATTTTTTCTTGAATTACTCTTCAAACCCACAAAGTTTCATTCCAATCCGCGAGTCATCGTTCGCGGTGTTTTCTTGTTAGTCGTGTGTCTCTGGTAAACCTGTTGCCGATCCAATCGTACGACGGTGGTAGCCAGAGTGACTGTTTAACGGTAGTAGGTCACCCTGCACGCCATTGGGAAGCCAGTTCTGTGCTCTTTGCAAGCCTCATCGAAACTGGTGCAATTATTCCATTTAAAGGGTGACCGAACTACACCGTCGACGTGATGGCGGTATCGATGTCACAGTAAAAGCGTTAATTAAGTAAATGGATATTTTAAAGGATTTCCTAGTCAATGTATGTACTTACTAATCTGGTTAGTAAATATATTCACAAGGAACGAATTTTATACATTCACATTTCTGATTTAGTAAATCCACGCACAAACAAAATTGCATTAATTTATGTTCTAATATTTATTAAATAAAAATAACCAATTTGCTTAAAAAAAAAAGATCCCTAAATCACCAAATACAGTTTTCAGTTTTCATTTTTGTTCATTAAATATACCTATATCTTTGAAAATTATACTTTCCACATTATGCTTTTACTAACGTGCTGTAGAAAATGTATGCATTATCTAGTACATGAGTACATTTACTAGAAATACTATACATTCTTATATTTGGTTCATATTTCTGCTAAAATCGTACGTAAATGCATACGCTGACTAGTAAGTGTATACATTCACTAAACTTCAAGCTTTTACTGTGACATCGACAAATTATTCTTGGCCGGAAGAATACATCGGGCGATTGTAAAATTGATTTTTGAGAGTTCGAAACATAGGCACTGTATAACTTATTCCATTATACCGAAGAAATAATACCGATAACTGAATTCTTTAAGAGCTTCTGTATAATGAAGAGGACACAAAAACCTTCTTAAACTTCAATAGAAAGATTGCAGTTCGTTGTTTCCTTCGTTCCTGTATATAAAAAGTCTCCCGTTTACCGGCAACTGGCAACTCTTTTTTGCCAGCAAGGACAAATAGGGGATTAGCATTTTACTTCCCGTGGTTGCTGCTAATGCTACAAATTGTTTCATTATTTGAAGAGAAAAAGAAATAGTGAAATAATTATACTTCCTGTTTTGTTTCGAATATTCCTCTTCCAGTTCTGCTTCTTAACCCTAGATCACTAAACTATCGTAAAAATTACGACTTCGAATTCGCAATTCTCAGGAATCAGTACGTTACCATCAAATGTCGTCAACATCTGTCCAGGTTGTGTTGAATAATTACTGCCCGCAGTTCCCGTACTCACAGGATAGTTTAGTGATATGGAGTTGAAGTAACAGGTACGAGTGTCTTAATGCTTTTGGTTGCAATGAAAAAACTACGTTAAATAGTGGGCACAAAAAGTACAGGATTTTCAAGAAGAAAGTGCACCTGCACATTACACGAGTACACTGATATAAAAAAGTGCATCTGACACACCGTGATATTCTTTCCCATTTGAAACAGCTCAGAAGACACACACACACACACTATTTCCAAGTTGCGTGGGACACCCTATGTAATCGCTAGTTCAGCCGCCGTGGAGGAAGGCTTAAATAGCCAATTACATTGCATTGAAACAGAGGAAACATCGAACTGAAACACAGTTCGTCCCCAACTCGTACGACCTCGAATTCTGGATCAAGAGTCTTCGCGTCCTACATTTCGATCAATCCTTTTGTTCCAATGCCCGAAACACCGAGAAGCACTTCAACTCGATTTTACGACCGTGCTATATGTCTCTTCCGCCAAAGAGTTCGACTACGGACGCAGCAACTCACGTCGATGAGATCCGACAGATCGTCCACGAAGTACTTGTGGATCGTTGTATTCGAAGCCTCGAGGCATAAAATGTACTCGTTTCTTGCTTTCAACGCTTTCAGCTTAGCCTCCTGGTATTTGTTCTTCCTCTGAAACAGAACAATGACGAATACAAGGTCAGCGTAATCAATTTTCATCGGCGTACCATCCCCCTGCGACTGGAACCAACACGACTGGAACGAATACACCGGGAAATTTATGATACATTACTGTCTTTATCAGTTATTTCCTAAAATGTCATTTTACATATAAATCCGCAGTCTACTACTAATAATGTTTATCAAAGGGAAGGACCGTGTTTCGTAGACACAGGAGATTTGAATTACAATCTATAACAAGTACTAAAATGTAGTTCAATTATTTTCAATTTATTCACAATTAATTATTGACTCAAAATCGCCATTATTTTTTTGAGAGCAAATTCGCCAACTGGCCGAGAAATGACGTAAATGTGTACATTTGGAGTGCTTTCCTTGTTAGATCGTTATTTCTTTGTATTTTTTCTTCTATTAAAAACACTAGATATGTACTATTATTTAAGACAGAGTGTGTTCCAATGAATCCTAATTGCAATTTCCTATTTACAATTAATAATGTCATAGCTGATGAGATTTTATCTCGGTGTCTTTCCTACTCTCAAGAGAAACGACATCCAAATTTCGACTAATAGGCGCCAGGAGCAGACAGTAGGCACGTATAAGTATGTATCCGTGGTTCTATTTTCGGGATCGGGACCGACCTTTGATGCGTCGATTTCAAGTTGGGGGACCGGAAATGTATCATGTGTACACGCCATGGATATCTGGGCGGAGGTTCTAAAATTAACGACGACCGTGCGCGCGCGCGATCTTTCAACTTCGGGATGAATGGAAACTCGGTACGGGTTTATTCGATGCGCGCAGGGTCAGCGCAGATGAGAAACACGCGAGAGAGAAAAGGTTAGGTGTTGGATGACGGTGATGAACAACGGGGAGGGGTTGGGAGACCGCGGAGACTCCCCCCCCCCCCCGCCCCGCCGCCATTTCGGTGCACACAATTCCGTCCGTGGCTCTGGGAGACGCACACGTAGAGTAGATGACGCAGTGGTGGGGGCAGGGTCAGGCCGTGAGAGGCTCAAGAGTCGAATATCCTAACCCCTAGACCTGGCCTTGATTTCACCACGCCGATGGTATATAGGTATAGTCGATGGGCAAGATATTGTGACGTCGTGAAAGTAACCCTTGGAGTGCGGTTCCCGGGCTGGTTTGGACCCGAGCGTTTAAGGTGGTTCGTACCTGACTCTCTAGTCAATAAAGCATCATATTACTAATTGGTATTAAACGTCCATTAATACATTTTAATAGCGTATGAAAATTTTATCTATAATTCAACGACATTTCCAATGATTATTCTTCATTATATTATAAAAAAAAATATATATTTTGGTTAGTCGTATGACTCCACTGTGCTCGTTTCTGGTAGGTTTGGCAACGTTGTTTTTGCACGCATATATAAAAGTATTTTTATAAATACTTTATATAAATGTAAATACTTTATTATTTACATCTTTTAAATTTTTACAAAAGGGTATAGGTATTAAGGGGGTATTCCCACTTGGAGGCGTCATTTGCAAGCGATGTTTAAAACTAAGAATTAATGAACCAAGGTACTTGTAGTTTTTACATTTGTTCTTCACAGCATGAACCTATTTTGAAGTTAAAAAAATGCAAATTTGAAACAATGATATTAAAAAAAATAACTTTATTGAAACAATAAAATCATAAATGTAGGTTCAAGTTGTGAAGAAGATGTTAAAGAATATGTACATGCAAGATTGTGTCAGTTGAAATCGTTATAATTTCGTCATTTCAATGAATTGAAGCATATCATTTTGGAAATACATTTTCAAAGTGTTATACTTTAAGAAAATACAATTTAAAAAATTAGATTTTTTAACCCCACCGAATGGAAATACCCGCTTAATGGTTTTATCGAGGATAGAATATTGTGCCCGTTAATGATTTTTCGAGGACACAATATCGTGCACGTCGTCATTACCTTGTTCACTTCTTTCTCGATGAGCTTGTACTTTTTGCTGCGCGCTAGCTTCTCGGGCGGGGCATTCGCCACCTCTAGCTTGCTGCGCTGCTGTTCCGCGACACGAAGCTTCGTCTCCGCTTGCCTCGACTCCGCTTGGTATGCCTGGTACGTTTTCATCGTGGTGTGCAGCTCGTGCAACACCCGGAGGATCTCCTCATGCGTCTCGTAACCGATTTCACGACACTGGAAAAGTCGAGGAGAAAATACTGTTATACGTTTATCCGATTGATTCCTTGTATTGTGAACAGACTAATCCCTTTGTTGCCCGACTTCGAAAAGGAACAGATATACATGTAATTCGATTTGAAAAAGACTGAGGATACAGTCCTGCGGTACTAGCAGCGTTAAGTACAATTAATTTTCATCTGTTAGAGACCAGTTCAAGAAAAGAAGTCATTCAGAGTTGGTTAGGGAACAGTTCAAGAAACGAAGTCAATGATCGACGATTTAAACATTTTCAAGGTTACTCGGAAATGTAATCTTGATAACATGTCAAGGTCAGGGTCATCGGGTGTGAGTGCTTTTCGGAAGTTAATCCATCGATAATCTATCGAAACAAAAATAATAATCCGAAAGAAAGTTCAGATAGATGTAGTTCGAACGATCCTGAAGCGAGGCCAATGACACTTCACACCCTACACGTCTATCAATCTTTTGTCTCGGTGTTCGAAGCACGAGTACACTTTAGCTCTTGATTGATTTTAGGGCCTCCCCATCCCCCCCCTCTCTTTTCATGTCTCTCCCCAATAAGGGTATCTCGGGTGTGCACGGGTAAATAGTCCGTCACACAAAAGGGTACTTGTTCTATCAACCAAAGACGACACGTGGATCGCGGGCGCAACTGTGATTAATATTTGACCCTTTAGCAACCCGTCGGGAGCTGGGCAAAAAGTGGCTGCTACCACATGTCGCGCACCGCCGCAAGAAAGTGGTACCGCACACAAGTCGAGAACATGTCTGGACACCAGAGCCATAGTGTATTGAGTCTACTTTAAAAAAAAATGACATTTCACATCTTTCCTATATCAACTTTTTCACTCTTTCTGATGTTAAAATTATTTCGTTTTAAGTCGTTAAGTGTACAATACGATAGTTGTAAAAATGATACATATTAAGTCAATAGCTTGTTTCGAGCGAAACAGTGCAAAGTCCATCACATAGGGGACTTAATACAATGCTCACCATTTCTACATATCGAGACTTGTCTTAATACTAGCTAAAGTAAGTTAAATTGTGCAATATATAATGCAATATAGCTTAATTCAATATAATATAAAGTGTATAAGAAATGAGAGGTTAACATAAATTCTGATGAAAATGTCTTTAAGATTTCAATAATTGTAATATAATATAAAGTGTATAAGAAATGAGAGGTTAATATAAATTCTGATGAAAATGTCTTTAGGATTTCAATAATTGTAAAATAAAAAACCTGATTGAATTCTCATTGAATTCTTACCGAACAGTTCCAAAGTTACAAGATTTGGTAATAGTGTACAATTAGGTCAGTATCTCCCATTTTCTTCAAATTGTAATATGTTGAAAAGGGCTCTCTAAAAAGGCAAAATATCATTTTTAAAATGTCGCAAACAATTACAAGTATCTTCAATTTCAATTTAAATTTGTAGCCGAAACCTAATCTAAACGTTACTATAAATGCAGACTAAGTGAAAAAACATAAGCTATAAACAGTAAAAAAAACATGTTTCAGTGTTTATTGCCAAAGCATTATACTGAACAGAGTTGATTAGAGGTAGTTTAACAAAAAAAAAACTAGAAATAAACAAACCCGTCCAACTGATGGATTTACAAATTCTTACTTCACATCTACTGAAATCATGATTGTGCTTTTCTCGGAATTTATGTGGACTTTTAATTAATTATACATTTTTCCTTATACTATATTCCGTTATATTGTATTATAATATTGTATGTATCAATATGTTACACAAATTCGTTTAGCATACATTCAACGCTGGTAGTTCTAGTGTTAATATCGCGAAGCTACATGATTTCGAATAAGTTATGAATGTTATCACAAATTAGAAATATTTTCGACTCCCGACACTTTTTTTCTCGCGGGTGTGCGATGTGACATTGGTCGTTAAAGTCGTCGATGGGACTACGTGATCGTCATACGTTTGATAAAAAAAGAACCTAATTTTTACTCACGCGCTTGTATATCCGTTGCACGTCCTCCATCACCTGGTTCAGACGGCCCACGAGGTGCGTACTGTACACTTCCGAAAGAGCCGCGTGGTCTCTGCTCAAGGACTTCGTTTCGTTGATAAGCTGCTGCCAGCAAGCGTAACTGGAGAATAGGGGCCATTGTTCTCGCCTGGAAATCATTTTTTCCCTTCAGTTTATCACACATATCCGGACGAAATATTGGAAAATTTCGCGAAATTAACCCTCGAAAGACGAATAGTCTTAATGTTCCTATGGACAGCGCGATGTCTGGGTCTGTTTGGACCCCTATATATTTCCTTCTTTTTAATCCTATCGTCCATCCATACTGTTGCCATATGGCTAGATATTTTAAATTGTGAAATAAAATATCAGTAGGTATTCACGATGCAATAGTAAACGGACACGTACCAGTGAATAACATTATATATAAAAACGAGTAAATTAAGTTATGAGAATAAGCAAATGATTGAATATTGATTTCTTTTCCATTCTTTGTTTCATTCTTTGTAACAATTTTCGCGCCATTGGCTAGAAATGTTCATTTATTTAATATTATTCATTCTCTGGTGAAATGTGTCTTTTGGGAAAGGTAGAAAATAAGATAAATAAATTTAGAAAAGAAAGGAAGTGACGGAAGAGGTTGGTTAAGATAAGGAGTGGGACGTGTTTGAAGAATGGAATGGATGAATGAGAGCGCAATGTAATAGAATTATAATTAAATATATTATATATATATATATACTTTTGCTTTTGCTCCTTGTGCCTCAACTGTATACTCCTGGCCATCTTGTCGAGAGACTTGCTGTAGTCGAGCTCCAGTTCGGCTCTCTTTCGAAAAAAATCCTGAAGCTCCGCGACCAGGGCGACTTGCGCCTCCATCCGGACGTCGAGACATCTCAGCTGTTCGTTCAGCTGCAGCCGTATGTCTGCAATAGGAGAAGAAAAACAACGAAGGGATGAAAAAAAATTCGATCTCCGATTATGTTATTTAAGGAGTCTAACGCTGGGTTCTCGATCGATATCGGTTTTTTCTCGCGTTCTATCCAAAAATGGGCAAATTCGTTATCTAGATAAAGAGTTTAAATAAAAGATCCCAAAAAAAGGTACTTCGTCATTTTTAACCGTTTAAACGTGAAAATTCGTATTTTTATAACAAAATAATACTTCTTTTTGAATGAGTCCACATTTGGCAAACAATTATTTTTCATGTCATTAACTGTCTAAAACTCAAAATTACGGCCTTAGCTACTGTTACTATGTATTATTCGAAGCAAATCATGCTCAACTCTGGTTCCGGCCAAACACACACCGTAAATATCCAAGAATATATAAAATGAAGATATAAGATCATTGAAATCGTAATTCATAGAGAACAGTCTACTCCCCTTTACGTGTTTTGATGATAGTCCGCGAACGATCGGTCGCGACACGGTTAACAGAGAATCGTTCATTCCCGGTGGTCATTTGCTCTCTCTCGATCTGTGCCGACGACACGAAAGCAACGACGAGACTCCCGAGGAGACTCTGATCTTTCTCAACCCTCAACACGACACGACCTTTCTCTCTGTCGCACGGAATAAAATTTCACGTGTGGACGGGTGTTTACTTCTCGTATATCCATCGCCCACACAGTACGTATAATATCGATTTTCCATACTTCCGTAGCGTGATTCATTCCCCCGAGCAAGAGAGATTTTTCGAGCCCTTATGAGGGGAGTGGGAGGGGGGGGGTGGAGACGCACGCCACGGAATCGTATATAGCCAACGCCTACAAACCACCCCCTGCAAACCGTGGGGGCTCGAGCACCGTGGAACAAGGTAAATAAACGCGCGCGCGTACAGTTCGCTGCACATAGTGTATAGGTCCTGGAACCGATATAGCGAGACTGGAAATAAAAACCGTTTTCTACATATAATTACTATAAAAACCGTAATTTTTCAAAGAAAAATATTTCCACCAATTGGCATACAAAACTATATTATAAAAAAAATTGTTCTTTCCGTATCACTTTAGAGACTTCCGGGTTGAACCGTGTTACTTCTGGGGTCGAGTGCGGAATCGAGACAGAAAAAGAAAAACAATAAAAAAATCGAAGAATGAAAAGAGAAATAGAAAGAACCAGCAACGTTCATATTTGGGTTGTCAAGGATGGTACACTGCCCCCCGTTTTTCGAACAATTTATTTTCCGTCCAACTCTCCAGGCGTAACACTATTCCGTGATTCTCCAGGGTTAGGATGGGGTTCCAACGGACACAAAGCGACTCACACGAGAGTGAAACGAGTGTGTACATATACAGAGAGTGTGTTCCGAGTTCTACAGGGTGTTTCGTTCTAACTGGAAGCGATGAAATATCTTACGAGGGTTTGAAGTTATCAAAAAAAAATGTTCGTACAAAAGTTGTTTGATAGAAAATAAATATATTTCACCACGTGGTATAAATAATTTTTCTGTGAATGCAGTAGCGTGGAGGATATCAAAGTGAAGATAATTTTGTTTTAATAGAACCTTGTATTTTTTTTATTTGTGATACGATAGCGTTTGTTGGGACCAATACAATGACCTGTCACACCGACCGAAAATATCGATGATTTACAAAGAGGGATTTAACTGTGTCTACACTACATAGCGAAAGAGGGTTATATATAACAAATCCTTGTATAACCTTGTTACATACAACATGCTTCTATAACTTGTTACAAGATTATACCTTTTGGACAAGACTGTATGACATTTCCCATCTCATTATTAATAACGGCATCATACTTTATAGATAATATGTAATTTACTATGTAACACAAAACAAATGTTATATCGCATTTTACTTTCGGTTTTTCTAATAAGTTTTATAACTCTGCTATACAGGGTGTTCCAAACAGATGGAACAATCAGCAACATGCATATTCCTCATTCAAATACAAATCGAAAAGTCCTTTACCGTTTTGTAATCTGAAGCTTCACTTCCGAGATATTAGCAGTTAAACGAACTCCAATCAGCTGAGTGGTGCGTCACACGTATGCGCAGACACAGTCAAGAAGCACACGACCCAGGTCACTGGCCTCTGGTACTTCACTGTGTCTGCGCGTACGTGTAGCCCACCGTTCAGCTGATTGGAGTTCGTTTAACTGCTAATATCTCGGAAATGGTGTTTCAGAAAGCAAAACGGTAAAGGACATTTCGATTTGTATTTGGATGAGGCATATGTATGTTGCGGATTGTCCCATCTTTTTGGGACACCCTGCATTACGTGTTACGCTATAGGTATAGTACAGTGTAGACGCAGCTTTACCCGTCGCAAGGGGAAGAATAACGGACAAGATATTGAAAAGTGTTGAAAGAGAATATTTAAACAGAATACAAACATGTATTCTTAATGATGGTGGCGCATGTTAAAGGATAAATACCATACAGAATTATTAATTAATTCTTATTGCTGGGTCATTCCACGCGAAATCGGACCCCTTTTGGAGTAACATTTCGAATTTTGTTGACACTTGGATATGTTGTGGCCGTTAGTGATGTATAATCGTATCTCGAAGGATTTTTTATAATTTTAAAAATTGTTCAGCACTGAGTGTTCAGGCGCGATCCTCACCACTGGGCGCTTGATTGGTTCCACGGGGAACCCTTCAATGCTGAAGATGACGTCTGAACAGTCAGTGTCGAGGAGCCATCGAATACTCACCGAAAACTTACTGTATATGTATATCGAACCTAAATTATTACATTCTACTACACGGAATGATATCGTGTGGCAGGTCGTTGTATTCGTCTCAACAAACGCTATCATTATGAATAAAAAAAAAATACAAGGTACTATTTCCAAAAACTATACGTGACTTCGATATATCCCCCATTACAACATTCACAGAAACATTATTATATACCGCATAATGTACTCCTTTAGACCAAGCAACTATTGTACGAACATTATTTTCATATTATTTCATTACATCGTGAGATATTCGTATGTGCCGAGTCGAATAAAACGAGCACGGCCGCGGCCGCCCGTCATTTACCTTTCGTCAACGCTTCCCATTCTTGGCGTCCGGCGAGCTTGAACATTTTTCTGCGTTATCCCCCACAGTCAAGTTCGGTGATCTCTCTCTCTCCGTGGACGTCGGTGGATCCTCGTGAACACCGATCTCTCTCGTGAACGCTTTTTGTTTTCACGATGACCCGCGATGTGTCAAAAATTAGCAAACAATTGCGTTTTTTTTTCTTAACACGTCAATTCACTCGTGTATTATGTCAACAGGCCCGCGGGTATTCCCATTCTACGATATCTGCACCACAGTTTTCTGGATAGGAATGTCGCCCGTAGCTCGATCACTTGCGGAGATTCGCATCTAAATTTCATATGGTATCAACGTCAATTTTTTCAGCGGCTGCGTGCGCGCGCGCGTGTGTGAATGCGGTGCAACGATAATACGTCTGAACGGGGGATGATGGCGAAGAACGAGTGGTCGATGAGAAAATGAAAGAATAATACGAAAGCTGGCGTGTGTCTGATTGCGATGGTTATACGCGTGTGTTTTTTCGACGAACAGTTATCGACCACCACTTGATTTTTCAAATATTCTCCTTAATGCACACAATTTTGTTTACAATTGATATTGTTTTGATTTAAGGGTGGTTTAACCCCTCTAAGAGAATTTGAAAAAGATATAAAGAGTTTATTCGATAGTTTGATGCATTAGAAAATTATGCAAGCGAATTTTAGTAAATTGCAGTATTAAAATATTTTTTCACCCAGTAAAATTCAAAAGAATTCAATACTTCTATAAAAAAATTCTAATTAAACCTGTTACACGTTAAATCTTTCAGCGGAAATTCCACCCCTTTAAACCAAATATTCATAGATATAAAAGAACGCGTGTCGCTTAGTTTTTTAAATACTATAACATATGTGAATACGAAAAAAATCGCAGAGAAACGCCTACCTAGGGTCTCTTGTTAGTAAAGTCATATTATATTCCACTGGAAGTACTAAATCCGTTGCAATTCAGCTCCCCATTTTGATTAATTCACACGTTCGTTGTAAGTATCGAAGTGGTCGGAAATATTTCATCGAAAAGTTTATACAACAAGAATAATCGTGGATTGCTTACTTATACGCAACCGCGACACATGTTAGAAAATAATATATATACACGGGCTGCGATGGTTAATGGGCAACGAAAATCATCGATTATAGATTCTGGTAGTTTGAGGAAGTGAAAAAGAAGGCAGTCATCGAGGGGCGCCCAGATCTGACGATTTAGTAAATATATGTACGTATATATGTTACAGTAAAAGCGTTAAGGGATTGTAAGGTTTGTAAAATAAAATTCATCAAATCTATTTTTATTTCAAAATATCCCGCGATTAGAATTAATAGGTAAAACAGCTGATTAATAAAACTTATACCTTTGAGCTGTTAAATAAGAGGGAGAATTAAAAAAATTTGTTGTATATGCAGAATTATTGTTTATTAAAAATTCAACATATACATCTTATTATATGTTATTTCCATAGTAATTTCGGAAACATTGAGCTATATAGTTGTCAACAGAAGAAAATGGCTGCCATACATTTACTAAACTTATGTAACTAAACGCTTTTACTGTGACATATACGTACATAAGTAGATACAAAGTATCGAATGCGTAACAAAGTACATTCGTATTTACAAATGATTTCAATTAACGAATTTCCATTGATAATTTGCAATGCACAAAATTCTCTCAAGTTTTTCACATTTCTGACGATATTCCGATAAGCGCGTATGGTATGGGACACTATGCGTATAACAGATGTCAAGCATCATGGTTTATACCCAAAATTATCCTCATGTCTTAAAAAATTTTCTAATTTACGATAGAAACATCCAAATAGGCGGTTCGAACCGAACCAATCTAGAGTCTTACAAGTTCTACCAAGGACTGAAAATTCAACCAAGAACTGAAACAACTGAACTAAACTAACCTAGAATCGAAAGAAATTAACTCGAAACGCGTTGGTACTGAATGGCTCGAACAGAACCAATCCAGTTCCGAGAAAGCTGACGAATACATCATACTCAGAAGTCGGGAAGATCGAATCGTACCGAACTAACAAGGGAAGGCACGGAAACGTCCCCCTCCGATTTTGATGAAACTTCGTATGTCTGTTAAGCAGTTAAAAATAAGGGATACGTATTTTTTTTATCGGCTGAGATGCGACTTTAAGGGTTGAAACCACCCCTCGAAGTTTCGACCCAAACGTACTATCCTGAAACCCATAGAAGATACATGCAAATTTCTAATGGACGAGGTTTGCGGTTTTTTATGTAGAATAATATGGTGCCAACAAATTGTCGAAAATAAGATTTGTTTGTAACAAAAGAATTTCGGATTCAAACTTCGACAGGTGGTTTCACCCCTTAGTGTCGCGTCTCAGCCGATAAAAAAAATACGTATTCTTTATGTTTGACTGCTTAATAAACATATGAAGTTTCATCGAAATCGGAGGGGGACACTTCCGTGGCTTCCCTTATAAGACCCAAGAAGCTCGAATTGGACCGAACTAGGACTATCCGAGAAGTTCGAATCAAAGCAAACCAGGACCGAGAAATTTGAACTGGATCAACTGGGACTCACAGAGCCGAATCAGATCGATTCATCGCCGAAAGAGTTGTATTAAATTAATCCAATGTCCAGATCACGAGTCGAACTGACCTAGTCTCGAGAGACGACTCACGCAACTTCCAGAGTCGAACATCCAAGCCAAAGGATCTCCTACACCTAAGTACTATCGACAGGCAGAGACCATTTAATCAGAAGGCTCAACTGCAAGTATAGTGCCTCCCCGAGTTATAAGTAACTTCGTAAAAACAATAAGGATTTTGGTCCTTCGCGGCTTTAAATGTTTCTGTGACAGGTCAAACGTTCAAAGACGGTCAATTTATTATATTTTGCGGGTGGTGATTGTCAACATTAGTTAGATGATCAACACTAGAACTACCAGCACTGAATGTATACTAAATTAGATTGTATAATATAGTAATATACTCAATATACATATAATACAATTTAATGTAATATAGTATAACATAAAATGTGCAATAAATTAGTAATCCTAAAATAAGAAACCCGCAATCCGTCATTTTGACGGGTTTGGTAGTTCTAGTATTAAACAAAAAAAAATAAATGATTATTAAAAAAAAACTCCAGATTCTGAAATTGAGATGTTCCGAGACAATTACCTCGAACAGAATGCCAACTGTCCGGGGATCGTTTCACTCATGCAAAGGTCGATCGAACGAAGGTGTTACCGGGAGAAAAATTGAAAGCTCAGTGACACAAAAAGCGGCATATTCGCCTCCAAGCACCGGGCACTTATTATAGCCCGAGAAAGGATTCCGTTAATAGAATGCAACAACTCTCTCGGTTCTCGCTGGAACACGGAAAGTCTCTACGTACTATAATGTATATGTATCCGCGATTATCGGCTCGAACGACGACGCGATCGACTTCAGATAACCGGTTGCACGTTGTTGCGTGAATTTTTCAAAGAGCAACGGATATACAGTTTTGCACGCAGCGTGGCGGCTAGGCGGTGAATTATTTTTAAATTGCCTTCAAGTACGAGCTTAATAGGCCATTTATATCACGGAGGAGAGAGAGAGAGTCCAACGGCCAAACGATCTCAAAGTGTGTTATGAGCGCTCGCCTCCCTCTCGCCAAATGCGATATTACCATCGGACTACGGGATGTTTATACCAAGACAGATTTATATGGGATCAATTTGAAGAGACTGAAATCGAACAGGAATCTGTGCGATGATTTAGGACGAGACGTTAGCATACTCTCTAATAAAATAACAATCAAATTTTATTAACGGGTCTGGGTTAGGCCACTTTATTGCCACTGTGAAGACCTGAAAAATTTGTTGGGAACTTTTTTTTCAGTGAACCAAACGTTCAACATAAACAAAGTGTTGTCCGTTTATTAATGTACTTATTGAGAATATAAACTATTTATTTTTGAAACTTCTAATAGTTTTATATATACATATATATAAAGTGAGCGCCTTGAAAAAATGATGTAGTGCTGGCGTAGGTAATTGCAAAAAACTATATTTGACTAATCAGTCTGAAATTTGTTCATGTTATTCAGCACATCAATGGCTATCGTAGGGACCACGGAAACCTTTATTGACGAACAATTTCATACTAATTACAATGTAAAATAACTAAAAAAATTCACCGAATGTCGAAATTTGAGCTTTAAACCTCCGTCAGTTTCTTTATTCTTCAGCGGTCAAAATAATGTTGGTTCCGACGATAACGACACACACTGATTAAAAATCCGTTTGAACTTTTTTAGTCTGATGCTTCGTTCTCCCGGAATCACCTACGATTATAATTTTACAAGGCGCTCTTCTCGTCAGTGCGATATATAAATAAAAGAAACTATTAGAAGATTCAAAAGAAAAATATTTAAATTCTCAATAAGTGTATTAATAAATAGACAACAATTCTTTTTCAATGTAAGAGTCGTTGCAGCCCGTCATTCCTTATAAGAAAATGTATTAATTTATTTATACCGAAAAACCATTAGTTTCCTGATATTTTAATTTCAAAATTTCGAAGTGATACCAGTAATCAGAGATGAGCAAATTCATTATTACAATAAAGAATTTTGAATAACGAATGAAAGATTTTTAAAAAAAGCAGCACTTGGTCATTACAATTAACCCGCGGAGTACGGGTGTTTTTAATGTTCGTAGAGACAGTGGTGTTTGGGTTCTTTTAAAACCACATGCTTCCTTCTTTTTAAACATACTTTCGAACGAGATCATTAAAAAAACCTGCTGTTTTTATACGACTAAATATATAAATAACTCCTAGCTGAAATTATATTTACGAATCGATAAGTTAGATATGGCTTTTAAACACTCGGGTCCAAATGAACCCGGTTACCGTACTTCAAGGATAAAACGTGGAAATTTGATTTTGTATAATAAAATAATACTTCTTGAATAAATAAACACTGTAAATTATTCGACACCATTCAACATTTATCGATGTCACCAAGCGGGTCTGAAGATATTCGAGACGATCCTATTTAGATGACTCACAACCTGTATAAGTTTCAGACAATCGTTCCTGACACTCAGTTTTTTTTATACTCAACTGGTGGGTAAGCGATCCAT